TCCATTGGATATGAAATCTTATAGGCCCATTGCACTGACAAGTTGCATCGGAAAATGCATGGAGCGCGTGATTCTCTCACGTCTAGAATGGTTTTTAGAGTCAAAGTCAATGTATCCCGAAACAATGACCGGCTTCAGACAGGGTCGAAGTTCCATCGATAACGTTATAGATCTAGTTACTCACGTTGAAGATCAAAAACTTTGTGGGAAAATAACAACAGCCGTGTTTCTGGATGTACGAGGTGCTTTCGACAATGTAAGTCATACCGCTGTTTTACAAGGCCTTCGAACGATCGGTATTGGTGGTCGTCTTTATCACTGGATAGCTGATTACCTACGTAACAGAGCGATCTTCATGCGCACGAAAGAAGGAGATACAGCACAACACGTTCTAAAGAAAGGAGTACCTCAAGGGGGGGTTTTGAGTCCTGTGCTCTTCAACATAGCTCTTATTGGTCTTTCTAAGATGGGCTGGAAATCCACTCGCATCACAACTTACGCCGACGATATATGTATTTGGACATCTGCAATTTCCCTTAAGAGCATACAGACTCGACTGCTTGGTACACTTGCTAACGTATCTCAGTTTCTGGCAATGCGCGGGCTTGAAATATCCCCTGAAAAGTCTGCCGCTATTGCCTTTACACGAATGAAAATGGATCGATACCCGTTAAAAGTGAATGGTGCTAAAATACCCTATGTTTCATCTCACAAATTTCTTAGAATTTTTATCGATCGCGGCCTAACATGGAATCCCCAGTTGTCTTATCTGAAAGTGAAGTTGTCTTCATTTCCTAACCTTGGCCGGTTCATAAGCGGAACAACCTGGGGAACTTCGACGGGTGCCCTTCTTCGCCTGTATAATAGCTTATTTGTTGGAATTCTTCGTTACTGCCTTCCTGTAATGCATGGCCTCTCTCCTACTAACATGAAGAAGCTACACTCACTACAAGCACAGGCACTCAGAGTTTGTCTAGGTGTTTCTAAATGTACATCCACCATAGACGCAATAGCAGAGTCCCACTGCTTTTCCATAACAGCTCTTCGTACGCAGGAAACTCTTCGAAATCATATGCGCCATCTTACGAGGCACCGAGCCCATCACTTAGCGGACATCCCGGAAAGGTGCTTCTACAGCCGCATTGCACAAGAGATCCTCGATCACATGCACATTCTTCCAACATCTTTTCAGCGATACAATTTAATCTCTACTCCTCCGTGGTCATTACCTCGAATTAAGATCTACAGCACTATTCCGGGTATTACAAAGAAATCAATGCTCCCCGCTGTCGCTCTTCGACAGCTCTCTTTATCTTACATTCATTTTGAACACTTATCTTCATGTCACATTTACACTGACGCGTCCACAACGCTCAATCAGTCCTCTATTAGTATGGTAGTTCCCGCACATTCCTTAAAAAAGGGTTATAAGCTCTCCCATAGGATGTCGTCCACAGCTGCCGAGCTGGTAGCTATTTGTGAAGCGATGAGATATATTCTAACAGTTCCTCCTCGACCTTGGACAATAATAACAGACTCTAAATCATCCCTTTAGTCACTCCAGCACCCATGTAAGAAAAGCCCATACGGACAGATATTATTGGAAATCCTCAAACTACATTGGGACGCAGTTTGTCAAGGTAATGAAATATGTCTTCAGTGGCTACCAAGTCACTGCGGCATTCAAGGCAACGAATTGGCTGACGCTGTGGCAGCAGATGCTCAAAGCTCTATACACGAAGTTCAAGCCCCATTTACTAGAACGGACATAAATAGTACAATAAGAGTCCTGGGGAAGACTATAACTGCACGCCTCTGGGCTAACGCAACCGATCAAGATACACACTTAAGAGCTATTGATCCTCACCTAACGTTTCGCGTACCTCGCGGTCTCACTCGTCGGCGCCAAGCTGTACTACACCGAATACGTTTAAAAGTAGCTTACACCAATCAATACTTATACCGCATAAGTAGAATTGCCTCTCCACACTGCAATCACTGCAGAATTATAGAAGACTTCGCACACGTCTTGCTGGAATGTCCTCAGTATGAAGAAGAACGCACTCAACTGCAGAAAGAAATGCAACTACGTTGTGGAGAAGACCTCACCGTCTGCAAGATACTGGGACCATGGGAAAACGAAGCCTCTGCCACAACAGCAACAAATGCCCTCTTGCGATACCTATCGGCGACCGGTCTCAACAAGAAACTCTAACGCTGCGACAAGATATACACTGATTTTAATTTTCCTCGTTTTATTTTTATTTATTTTCGTGCGTTTTTAACTCTTACTATATCTTTGTACCCACATCCCTTCCCCCTAACCAGAGTAGCAAGTCAGGAGATACTTCCCGGCTAATTTCTCTGGCTTCCTTTTTTCACATCAATAAAAAAAATAATCTACTGACATGATTGAAAACGGCACCATCAGCACTACCTATGACCAAAATAAGTATCAAGAAAAAGAAGAAAAAAGAGATTAGGGGGTTCTAAGTTGCCATCCCATCTCTCTTCTTAAAAAAAGAAAAAGAAGAAAACCACACATTCTCCTACTGACATGAATGAAAACGGCACCATCAGTACTACCTATGACCAAAATCAGTATCATCAGCACCACCCTAGCTTTGCCCCAATCAACATCATTCACCACGTGGAGATGCGGTATTTCTGATAAGCTTATGGTAGTGTCAAAATGTCGGAAGAAACTACTTTGTTGGCTTAATTTGTACAAGTGTTAATTGCCACATGCCTCAAATAAGGCATAGTAGTTCGCCAGTGACATTTGAATACTAATTTTTTCAGATTGCTGGTTCCTTTTCAATGCAACACAGAGAAGTCAACAATAGTGATGTTAACATCGAACCGATTGCTTCGAAATGTTACTTAGCCGATGATATGACGAAATGATTTGCATGTTTCACAAGGCTTTTGCGCAACTAAGCGCTTACTAAAGTTGGATGCTCATGCTTATGAACAACCTTTTCTCATTATTTTGCTGCTAGGCATTTAGACACCATATTGATGTGTTTTCAGTCACAGCTACGGCATTGCTGACAGCTCACTGACTGCCCTACCTTGCAATGCTGTTAAGCAGCTCTCAGGAACATAACTTTGCCAGTAACTGTTGAAATGCTCCCATCAAAAATTTGCATGCAAATATATGAAAATGTGAAACACAATATAAACTTGGTTTGTGAAAAATTGGATATATATTGTTAAATCTTACTTTAAAGGGGTACTCCGGCGATTTTTTGAGCTACCTCAATTAACTATATTTTCTGACTCCCTAGCCTTTACTCTTTCCGGTATGCTATTTAGTATCGCGAAATTCACAATAGTTATTGCGAAATCGGCAAATGAAAATAATGCAAAAACCAACATTCAAATATACCCGCACTTTTCAGTGCCGTGACGTCAGTAGAAGGCAAGCTTGCCAGTCGAGCGAGCAGTCTATAAAATAGAATATGCCAATCATTTGTTCCGTACTGGAGCGCGGGGACTGGAGCGAGCTTCCAAAACGTTTATTTGACACCATGAAACTGCTTCAAATCAGTTGGGAACAAATTCTAGTCCAAAGAGTGAACCCCTGCACTTCCACAGACGTCACTTTTTCGTTGTTGCCAATAGAGACTTTCAGTTTGAAAAACACGGTGAGGACCAAAATTGTAAATTCAACAACTTTGTGAAAAAAAATTATTTTGACCTAATATTTGGGATACTATTTTGGCGATGTTGTTTGACGAGTTTAGCAAAATTTCAAGCAAATCTGGAACCATGAAGAAATCGCCGGAGTACCCCTTTAAACATGATCAGAAACCGAAACCGAAACTTTGGCTCCGTCTGGCAACATTGGCCTCGGGCCGCCAAAACATGGCTATCACGTGGTACGAAATGTCACGTGATCCTCTACGCAATGACGGGAGGGGCTGGTGCGGGCCAGTGGGCCACCATTGGGGCGGGTGTGTGCCAGGCACAAGTGTCGTCTGCACTGCACTCTTTACCACGTTTTGGTGTCTACGACATTCGACAAAGTCTGCACAACTGCGGCATCAGTCTGCACATATAGTGTGAAAGAAACTCCCAAGAGACAATCACAAACAGTGAGTGAGACAAGGACGGCGGTTCTGATGCAGGAAACGGCGGTAACGGCGGGACGGCCGAATGGCTCCCAATACGCCAATCAATTGGCGTATTGGGAGCCATTCCATTTGAGAGACAATCACAAACAGTGAGTGAGACAAGGACGGCGGTTGTGATGCAGGAAACGGCGGTAACGGCGGGACGGCCGAATGGCTCCCAATACGCCAATCAATTGGATACCGCTGAATGACGAGAGGATATGTTGCTGACGTCGCCCGTTACGTTGGCTTGTCTAGAGAAGTAAAAACAAAAAGAGGAAATGGTGATGAGTTAGCTTGATGTTGGCTACGCCAACGCCACAGCCTTGACTGCGCTGTTAGTTGCGCTTCAATTCGCCCGCTAGAGCCAGCTGATGTCGGCAACTTAGCAAGTTGCAAAGTTTTCTGGATCGTTTAAGAGACATTAAGACAAAACTAGGTCGTAATATTTGACCTGTGGTCTTCCTACTGAAGGGGACTGCATTCTTTTTTCAAAAACAAAAATTAAGCAAAGTTGCCCTTAAAGTTCCTAGTTTTTTTTTTTTGTAACTTAGTGTTAGAACAGCCTGCCAACTGTTATGATCTGTGTCGTATAATTAAAGACGTTTTAGGCTACATTATAATTTTTATCTTTCTAGGTTGTATAAGAATTTCTATTTTAGTCCCAAATGTCGTCCCCACCACCTACTGTAATGCCTCATGGCACTGTAGGTGTCTGAATGAATAAATATATAAAAGCGACGGTGTTCCTATTAACGAGCACTGCATTCCACCCGAGCAAGTAGGCAAGTGCATATCCAGCTGATAACCACCAAACAAAAAAGTAGCACCCCAAACTAACAGCTCGGGCCCGCAAAGACGATATTCAATACGACGAGCCTCTTTTCTGTGTGCAGCCGAAAATCAACAATTTGTTTATTTTTTTTACCGAGAAACAAGACGAAAAACAGGCGCATAAAACAATGGGTCTTGCATTACATGTCCGAGAGCAAACTCTGCACAGCTTGTTCCTACGTCTACCGTCCCCCACTCTGGGCGTCCGTCCGGCTGCTCGAGTTCTAGCGGTCGTTGTTTCACGGCACAGGGCGCCCCCCTCCCCCCAGCGGCAACAAAGGAGTTTTGTACAAAACGAGGCTCCCCTGCGGAGGCTCGACTCCGAGAAAGCGTCCCTTCAGAGTCTCACGCACGCACACCCCTCAGGTCGCACCATCCTCCAGAGAAGGTCTGCGGGGCTCCGGAGCAGACGACGATGTGCCCGGCAAGGAACTGCCGGGGCTTGGGTCTGCTCGCTGCTGCTGCTGCTGTTGTTGCGTGGGCGCAAAGGAGGATTGTGCGGTGGTGCACTGCTGTGCCTGCTGCGCGACTCCCAGGGGAATCTCCCCGTCGTCCTCTTGCTCTTCGGGCTCCTGCATTGGGTCACGCACAAAGCCGTCACATGCAACAGTCTTGCAAAGCCGCCTTGCAATACTGTCTAGCTACGCTGTCTCGCATTGCGACAATACTCCTCACGCATGGCGCCTATTTGCAGCTCGAGTCATTCGCACCACTATGTGGTATTCCAAACCACTGCAAGCAACACTGCCTAGCAGTACAAGTAGAGTGTTGCGGTGCCTCTCAATGTATGTTGCATGGCGCTAGCTCGCAGCATTGTCACCCGTCGTACGAGCACTGCGTCCAAATATGTGCTGGACAACGCTGCTTGGCAGCAACAAAACACACCGCGAGCAACACTGGTAAGCAAATTATACAGAGCAATGCGCCGTAAAGTATTATGCTCAACAAATAAACAAGAACAGACGCAGTGTGTTGCAGCACCACAACACGTTGCAACACTGCTGTGTGATGCAGCAATAGATTGCTATTCTACAACGGTGCCGAGCAACACTGCGATCCGATGACGCAAAAGACACTGTCTTGCAACGCGGCCTCACAGCGCGACAATGTTGCAACGAAGTCCCACACTACAGACTGCACAACATCGCCTTCCTCCGCACACTGATGAGAGTTACTAGTGCGCTTCTGTGTTGCAGGATCGATAATGTTATTGAAAATACGAATTTGAAAATTCCATCCATCTAACATTTTTGCTACTTCTATATTAATCTGTTTGGGAAACCGAGCCAAGCGGGAATGTTTGGCTATACATTCCTGACTAGGAAGAGGCCCTAGACCCCTATTCATTCTATAAAGTAAATACCGAACGAAGGACTGCAGTTCTTCCGTGTTGGATGTTTGCTCTGCTCACCTCCTCGGGACAGAGCTGGATGGCCCTGGACAGGGTGAGCCGGGCACTGTGCGACCGCTCCAGGAAATAGCCGTTGGATGTCTCGTTGGACTGGGCCGGTGGCGACCACTGGTTGTAGCCGTACTGGCTGCTGCCCGCATATGGCCGCTGCGTGCACGAGCCACTCGCTACACGCCCTAACCTTTCCCTGGACTTCGCTCGTGGCCCAAGAACTACGTTACCACACAAGCTTTGAACCCTTTGTCATTTGGGATTGTGGAACTCCGAAACGAGATTCTTAGAATGAAATGTAAACATCTTTAGACAAAAATCTGTCTGGTGGAGTGGAACTATAGTAATAAAAAGGAAATACTCCAACCAAAGTCCGAAGTAACCCAACGTTTCAAAACCTGCTAGGTTTCTTCTTCGGGGGGCGACTGAATCGCACGGGGCAGCAGCAGCCCTCGTCTTCTTCGTCTGCCAAGAGCAACCCGTTTCTAGACATGGTAAAAGAGTAGCGCCAAAAAGAGGGAACACAGAAGAAGATAACGCAGGATGAGCGCTGCTTCTTCTGTGTCCCGTCTTTCTTGCGCTACTCTTTTATTGCATCTGTTAATGACTGACTAGCCTGTCAATCCACTATTTTAGACACTTTTCTAACAGAGGCGGTCCTTTGTAAATCGGCTGTCTCGTAGGCCCTGGGCGCACAAAGATGGCAAGGCACTCGGGGACCCGTTTAAACTTCCTGGAGTGACTTGGACAGTAGCATCTTGATTCAGATCACAAACATTTTTATGCCAAATTTGCCATTCAGTAAATAGTAAAAAGTTATCAAAGCTCAATTAGCTTTCATAGCAGGCATGTGGGATATTGAGTGAACCTGTTTAAAATGTGCATGGTTGAAAAAACCCCGAGACTGCGGGTAAACGACACAACTCTAAAAAGTCTCTAACACAGCTGAAATTTTTATTTTCCAAAATCTGGTTATATAGGCACTTCGATCCAAAAGAAAAAAAGGGGGAGAGGGTGAGAACTCCAAAGAATGCCGCTTTCCACCAATGTAACCTTTGACTAATTACAAGGTCAACGGACTCTGCGTCATGCACCTCTCTTATCTTTGAACTTTGGTGGAAAGTGGCATTCTTTGGGGTTCTCACCCTCTCCCCCTTTTTTATGTTGTATCGAAGTGCCTATATAACCAGATTTCGGAAAATAAAAATTTCAGCTGTGTTAGAAACTTTTTAGAGTTGTGTCGTTTACCCACAGTCTCAGGTTTTTTTCAACCACGTGCAATGTACACCAGCTCGTTTGCGCCCTTACTTTTTGTTCATTAAAATGTGCCACTTCCACTTAAAAACGACCTTCACGATTTGGACCCAATCTTTCATTTGGGACGAATGTTTTCAAGAACGAACGAGTAATTTCATGCCGAAACACTGTTCGTACGCAAAACACAGATAGCATCATTTAGTGATGAAAACTTGAAATGCAGTCATACGCTGAGCGACACCGTTAGGAGAAACACCACGTCGGCACTTTTTCTCGTATTACTTTGAGACGGTGTTGGCAAGCACCAAATTTTACCGCTCAGGTTAGTGCCCCTAATGAGCACTACCGACTACACTATCAGTTTTGATGAGAGCCTTATCATTCAATGAGAAAAACAAAAAAGACACCTGCAGTCACCTGTGTGAGCTAACAATATTGTGCTAAGTATTATTTTCGCACCCAATGCATAGTGTGCGGGGGCAAATTTGGGGTCAAAAATAAAAGTTTTCGCTTAGATAGTCCACACCTGGGGCATAGTCCGCACGACACGTGCATAGTCTGCCTAGTCCGAGCGTAAAAATGATCATACACAGCACACCTTGACAAATTCCTGCTGTATTAGCTGATAAAGAAGCTTATATCATACGTAAATCAACATTAATATACTCCGTTATTCATAAAATCCTTCCCGTCTTGTCACAGTGAGACTTAGAAAAAAACAAATCCTTGTATGGTCTGTACCTATAGATCGACCACATTGGCTAAAATTTCAACCCTTAAACACGTATAGTCTGTGCACCATAATCCAGAAGATACGGTACATGCCTAAGCAAAAAAGAAACACCAATAGAAACGGACCACGACGGGCAAAAACACATCGGGCCCCCCAGACCAACGGAGTGGCACGGGGCAAGGCCCGAACGCACTTACCCGCTCCAGCTCGTCGTGCAGCCAGTCGACAGAGGCGGTCCACTTGCGCTTGAGCTCGCCGTTGGTGTGCAGCATGTGTGCGGCTGCCGGGCACGACCCGAACAGGGCCACCAGGCACTTGATGCACTGGTACGCACGTTTCTGGTAGTGGTTCTTGCTGCGCTGGATCGTGTCGAACAGGCCCTCTCGGTCGTCCGGGATCCCTGCGGCGGTGGACATCCACGGCACTCGTTCAAGGTGCACTGCGCTAGCGGGTCGTGCACTAACCTAAAAATGTCGCTTCCGAAATCACTGTGCAGGTTGTTGTCGAAATGCGATGGCGCTTTGCATCGTCTTGTACCGCAAAGCATCCCTTTATTAAACTGCCGAGGAACTCCCGCGGAAATTCTAGGAATACCTTTTATCGACGTCCACGCAGTCTTCCATCGCGTTTAAAACCAATTCGCATAATTTTCCGACGTAACTGTCCGCTCCCTGTGGATGGACCTCCCGCGACCTGCCGACAACTTTTGCTGTAGCATCACTGCAATTTAAAAGTTTCTCTCTTAATACGTAAATATAGTAGACGTAAGGCCCTTACTAACTGCATTTGCCGTTCAGAAGTCAATAGATCGTATTACATTTGTTGGGTGCATTACGCCATCCATGTATGCGTGATCGAAGTAGGCATATAACGACACATGCCCGCCACCTACCTTGTTTGTTACAAACCGAGCTACGGACGCTGAAGTGGGCAGAATTCGCTTAAAAAGGCCATTGCATTTAAAGAGAAGGAAGGGTGGGGGTGGGAGCTCACCCTTGAGGGCGTTGTGAATACGGTGGTTCTGCCAGGAGTCCTCGAGCAGCAGCACGTGCAGCAGGAGGTCCATGAAGGGGCGCAGCTCGTACGTGTAGGTGTAGGCGATCTGCCAGAGGAGCTCGCTGAGCACCGTCGACGAGAACTGGGGGTTCTCCCACGAGCAGAAGCGCAGCAGCTTGGCCGTGTCCTCCGACCCGTTGGCGTCCTCTATCACCTTCTTCACGTAGCTGGAACGGGAGACCAAGGAAGCAGTATGGATGAAATGAATGAAGATAAGACGGCCATCAAGTCCCACCACTGCCAGTATGCATCACTCTTGGTAAAATAATGTGGTCGACGCACTCGTCAACTCGTCTTTTTTACGACGTTGCATATAATGCCCCGACTGGCTTACTTTTCTCAGAGCTGAATGTTTGTGTGCCTGCTGCCAATTACAAAAAGGGAAAAAAAGAAGCTTTTTAATACTTTTATTTATGCAGGACTAGAAGATAGAGGACTAAAAATGCTGCCATATTTCAGGTGTGCCTAGTAAGTCTACAGATCTAAAGGCAAAAGTTTATATTTTTAGTAGTGGGATTTATAGCTTAGTACATGAGGCTGTGCAAAAGCTCATAACCTCTGCAGTATTAAGTGGGCACACCACCACCATTACTATAAATGTCGGTATATATTTGTGGGCTTTTGTTTTGTGTTTTATGATATGCTTTCTTCGTATTGAGTAGTTCCCAAATTTTCCGAACAGGCTCTTAAATATTTTCTGAGGGAACGAAATTCTATAACCAAGGCTAAAAAAAGAGCTTTATGGGCCCCATCAAAATTATGTTTGACCATTTTTAGCAAACATTTATTACTAAATATACTTCCGATTGGCATAAAATGAAATCAACGCAAAGGTATAAGTCATTTATGGAACTATGTAACAACGGTACATGGCATTTGCCTCCTCACCTAGTTTTGTTGAAGAGACAGGCAGCCACTTGTGGTTGGACCACCATGAGGTAGTCTGGGCAGAGCTGATCTCCCGCATGGGGGTTGGGCAAGGGGGCGCTGTTCTGTGGGGAGCCGGAAACAAGGCCACATTCAGCGGACATTCCCCAATTCCCAAGAAAGATGAGTCCCCTCTTCACTGCAAGCGCCTGCTTCTCGTAGTGAGCGAAACATCTCGGACATTTTGAGGAACCACTTCTCAACCTAACTCTGATCTGAAGAGAAGCTTCGGAGTGGCGCAAAACCTCGAAAAAGTCGTGGCAAAACGCCACTTTGTGCTCGAGTCACCCGCGTGGCCACAGATAGTAAAGATTACTCGATCGCAGAGACTTTAGCTGTTGCGCTGTTACGTTCTTCCACTCCTTGAGCTGCAAGTTGCAACCAGCATTATGTTAGAACACTTTTAATGTTAGAACATTTAACAGTATATGCTGAGAAACTACTAATGAACACACCAGAGAGATGTTTCTATATTTTTCTACACTATTGGCACTGGACAGTGCAACATGCGGACAAATAGGGAACCTAAGCAGAGGAAGGCAAAGAGCACCCCCAAGCTCAAAAATAAGCTTTTTCAATATAACAATTAAAGATTTGAGCAAAGTACTATTTTAAGCTTCTTCGAGAGTAAAATCATAAAACTATCGGTAAATTATAAATCAGCAGCAGCAAACCAGACTAGTTAGAATCAATTTAGCAGCAAGCTCAATATTACTATATAATGTACAACACAAAGCCTCAATCCAATTAGAAAAAAAACCAAAACATTTCGCTTTTATCGAATACAAATCACGAGACCGAGTATTCGGCTAGTAAACATATTTTAAAACAGAAAGAGTCGAGGCGTAGTCACTCACTGGAAGGCAGGAGTGTGTCTTGCTGGAGACGTCGCAGCAGCGTACCAGCAGACTCACTAGCTGGTACAGCTTGCTTAGATCGGCGTACTGGTACTTGATGGGCGGACCGGGGCCCTCATCCAATGCCACCAGCATCAGGGTTGATAGCACGTTCAGCCGTAGCAGTTGTAATCTCTGCAAGGACGACGGAAGCTTGCAACTACGCTTCGACCCCTCTCCAAGGCAGCACACATCACGGAGTCGACGACAACTGAAAGTGACAAACGCTGCTCCTGCTCTACCCGCAAAGTGTCGTACTATTATATGACAACAAAACGGTCAGTTGGTTCATTCCATTACACGCTAAAAGTGCCGTTGTCTCCTTTTAGGTGGCAAGACGCGAGCAACCAATCTATTGAGAAGTCACGGCAAACTTTGTCTTAGCTCGTCTCAGGGTCGTGGTACGCTCCCAAGCCCACGGAAACGGTTTCCACGGTTGCGGCTCGGCCAAAATAGGCACTCGACGAAACCAGGAGTGGGCACCCACCTCCGGCACCCCGAAGCAGGCGTACATGTAGAAGAAGCCAAAGTACTGTGCCAGGTGTCGGCCATGTTCCGACACCTCCTTGTTGACCAGAGACAGCACTGCCAGCAGCAGGTGGTCCGACAGGGTGCCGCTGCCCTCCAGGAGCAAGCCTGCACCGGCGCAACGGAGAGCGTAGAAGCGCCGCATGCACGATTGCGCACTCAAGTCCGGCAAAGTGGGTTAGAGCTAAGAGCCACCAGACACGCTACGCTTCAAAGTAGACCCTTTGGCCATCTTGGTGTTTAGAACTGTTGCTGCCACTTATCTGAAGCTTTACCCCCCATCACGGGAAACGCTTTTCCGAAGCAAAACAATGGGCTGCCCAAGACTCCAGACAATTGTGTCCAAAGCTTGGGAAGTCACATTTTCTAATTGTAACTACCGCCGATCACGTCCGTTTTGCACCGGGCAACAAAATGGTGGCGCCCACGAGACAAATCAGGGGCAAAGTGTCGATACTCTAAACATAGCTTATTTAGCGACCAACGCGCGACACCAAAATCACTCCCACGGGAACCCCTCTACGAGGGACACTCACTGCAGCTGGAGGCAAACGGTGCAGGGGGGCTGTAGGGGCCGTCTTGAAGGGACGCGTGGGCCAGGAAAACAACCATCTTGGCAAAGGCACTGCGCACCTGCGCCCGAAAAAACGTTGTTTCATAAAGTTGTCCTCTTTACGCTCGCGGAAAAATGGCGAGACAAGTTTCTTTTTATGCTTTTCCTGAAATAGTTCGACGTGGACAGGTCTACTTTCGTACAAATCGTAATATTTCGAGCTGTAATGGGGTCGCAAAATTGGGCCCTTCGACGGTCACGCGCTAATAATAATTTAATATAGAAGTGCTTTTCTCTAAAAAGAACTAAAACCTTGAAATAGGCTTCTTAAAAACGTCCCTATTTGTGGTGCACAAGCGTAATTTTAAAAATGTCTAGTCGAATTGTATATTAAACAATGGGTGCATGCGATTCGGCAAAAAAGATTTTTGTAGCAAATCTCCCATTTACGTTACTTTTTGTGAGGAAAGATGTGAACCTGTGCAGCGGTGCTTTCTGTTGTCCGTTTATAAAAACACATCACTTATGTAAACCACTCCTGTAATGCAGCCTAAGAAAAAAGAAAAGAAAGAAGAGAAATGTGGCAGAGCCGATTGGCTGATTCGAAAGTGAAACGACGCCGGACGCACCTCGGCATTGGGGCACTCGAGCAGATACTCGGCCAAGCGGTGCGAGTGTCCGAAGAGCACCTCGGTGGCAAACCAGAGGCGCACTGCTCGAGAATGCCGCAGGTGGACGCACACCACTTCACACCAGTCTGCCGCTGGGCCCCTGCGCAGCATGAGTGTAAACACCGTGACACCACCGAAGAAACAGTAAACAAAGAATGAAACTACGAAGACAAAGATCGTCCAGACAAAGGTGATTGCTGTTTGCCTTTACATTCCATGCCCTTCTCAAAGATTAAATTCTTAGGTAAGAGTGAACCACTCCATCCATGAAACTAAAGTTCTTACAAACAAAAGTGAGTTGCTCTTAAAGGGCCACTGAAAAGAATGTTTTTTTAAACAGTCGGGACACACGTATCAAAAAATAAATTTTATGTGGGATTTTTTTAGTAATATTGATGGCACTACATTTATTTTAGTTGCGCCTGAATTATGCATGCGAAGTCCATGGCGTCACAAAATGGCCATACACTCTTTCCATCTCAATGTGATGGCCACAACCTCTCCTCCACGCGCCTGAAATGCCGAGCAAAAACAAGTGGAAAGAAGGTGACTTCCAACTAAATTGCGACTCGTGCCATCAATATTGCTTTAAGCGCAACTCCGCTCAATTCCGAAGATTTCGAGATAATGAGTTATTTTGCATGAAAAGTCCCAGCAAAAGACACCATGTCCATTGCTTCGCGAAAAATAGGATATATATTTTTAAATCTAATTTTTAACACGAGCAGAAATCAAAACCGAAACTTCGGCTTCGTCCGGCAACATTGGCCTCGGGCCGCCAAGAAAGATGGCCATTATGTGGTACGAGATGCCACGTGATCCTCTACGCAACGACGGGCGGGAGCGGGGCGGGCGTACGCCACGAGTGTCGTCTGCATTTTTTGCCACGTTTGGGTGTCTACGACATTCGACGACGTCTGCACAACTGCAGCATTAGTCTGCGCACGTAGTGTCCACAGTGTGGACGAAACCCCGGGAGACAATAATCACAAACGGTGAGACGACGACGGCGGCTGTGGCACGGGAGACGGCGGTAACAGCGGAATCACGGCGGGTCGGCCGTTCGGCTCCCAAGAGGCGTGCTGCGCAGCCGCGTCATGCCAATCACGTGGACACCGCTGAGCGTTGAGAGGAAACATTGCTGACGTCATCGGCTATGCTCGCACAGAGAAGTAAAAACAAGCAAAGGGGGGCAATGGTGATGACGTCTAGCTCAATGTTGGCTCCGCCCACGCCATAGTTTTGACTGTGCTTTTGGTTGCGCCTGAATTCACTTGCTCGAGTCAGCGGATTTCGGCAACTTGGCGAGTTGCAAAGTTTGCCGGACCGTTTAAGAAACATTTAGACAGAACTGTGTCGTAATATTTGACGTGTGGTCTTGCTAGGCGATACTGAAGAGGACTGCACTGTTTTTTCAAAACCAAAAATAAAGCAAAATTGCCCTTTAAACTTTTTTTTTTTACGTAAATTTTTTTTTTGATTTGCATGTCGCAAGCAGATTGTTTAAAAAAAACAATTTCTTTTTCTTTGAGTGGCATTTTAAATAGAGGCAAAACTGTTTCCAGCAAGGTTGTTTTCTTACAAACAAGAGTAGGTTGCTCTTAAATAGATCCAAAACTGTTTCCGGCAAAGCCATTTTCACTAGAAAACAACTTCACTTACTTCAGTGCTGTTATCATGTCGTACAACCTCGAAAAGCTACGTCAGTGTACTACTGTGGTGGAACCTCTCTAGAGTAAAGTCAATTTTTCAGGAAAAAATCTACACTAGAAAAATGTCTGGCACTTATATATCAGTACCTCAAATGCATGCACCAATACTGTGAGCAAACTTCATCTTTGCTTCACTGTGTCTGCAACTTTACTATATTAGTCTTGAGTACTGAGAGAGTCTACTACATTCCTGTGTTGCAGCACAAAAACCTTGTCCCAAGGCGGGCCCTACAGACATGCGGGCCTTGCACAGGCCTCAAGCGAGGAGGCCTCATACGAAAGACAATTTATTCCGCATAAAGGGAACAACATGAACAGAGCCAATAATCTACCGTGCATTCCAGCTCACCTGAGCGTCTTCTTGGTGTGCAGGGCAGTGAGGAAGAGGAACCTGGCCGCCAGCTGAGTGCTCAGCATGGCCAACTCTTCAGCCTCGGGCAGCTGCAAGATGAGGACAAGCTCGGCACAACTTGCCCAACCGGAGTACCCCCCCAAACATAGCTAGTGACCACGGCACAGTTCGGTTGTAACAAAGTCAGTGGGACTTATTACGCAACAAAATCAGAGGGAGTTACCGAATGCTTTGATATAGGGGCTTGCTTTTCGTTGTGTGTGAATTTCACCACTCAGAAAAATCGCAGTATATGTGAGTTGCTACACGTTCTAGAGACGGCATAAGAAAACAAAGGCCCCTCAGAAAGGTGACGATGTTAAATTATAGAGCACACATTCTAAACACAAAGGAACTCAAAGCTAGTAAAAAAAAACATAAAAAAACAACAACATAAAACAACCTTTTCAAAGGTACAGAGTGGCACCAGAGAGTTTGCTAAGATACCTTTTTCAAGGCTTTGATAGAAGTGGCCTTTTGGCATATACACCATCTATGAGGACTGCCAAAGATCTTCAGATTAACTCTTTCCTGACCACGGCCATAGGCCATTAATCAGTGATCCATGGTTTCCAAGCGTTGCTAAGAAATTCAATTTAGTGCAGAGGATTACGTTCCACAATCTCGTGGATAGCCGAGGAACTGTAGTTTCGGTTTCAACATAGGTTTGAGCTTTATCACAAGCTGGTGGACTGTCAAGAATAGTCTTGGGAATAGTGGTTGCACTTGTCTAATATGGCTAACTGCTTGCATCAGTCTTTGTAACAAAAATGGAATTATTTACATACCGTATTTACTCGCACAATGAACGCACTCGCGTAATGAACGCACCCCCCAAGTCGGCTCTCAAAATTTCGACTTTTTTTTCACTGGCGTAATAAATGCACCCCCAACTACGACGTCAAAATTTTGACCCCCTCCCCCCACGCGCGCGAAATGAACGCACTTTTCTATCCTGGTGCAGCGAGGTCGCGAATGCATGGGCAGCATGGGCGAACAAAACGAATTGCAAAAGGCGTTAAAAAAATTCGCAAAGATCCAACGGAAGCAAGAAAAAAAAACATAAAAAGAAGCTTTTTTTTTTTTCACAGCGCAGTTTGGATTTAGGGTTTGCGCGCCGCCGCGCGCAAGGAGGTAACAAAGAGAAGCGCTCTAAGCGAACGAAACCGCTAGCAAAAAGCGGCAAAAAAAAAACAAAAAAAAAAACCACGGAACTAAGAAAAAACAAAAAGCTTTTTTTTTTTTTTTTTTGGCACAGCGCAGTTTGGTTACGGGGGGCCGCGCGCCGCGCGCAAGGAGGTAAGAAAGAGGCGCGGAGAAGCCCTCTAAGCAAACAAAACAGCTTGCGAAAAGCGGGAAAAAAACAACAACACGGAACTAAAAAAAAAAAGAAAAAAGCTTTTTTTTTTTTTTTTTTTTTCACAGCGCAGTTTGGTTACGGCGGTGGCGCGCAGCGCGCAAGGAGATGAGAAAGATAAGCGGAGAGCCCTCGCCTAAGCAACGCCTAAGCAAACAAAACAACTTGCAAAAGGCGGCAAAAAAAAAAAAAAAAAAAAAAAAATCCAAGGAACTAAGAGAAAAACAAAAACAAAAGGGAGTTTTTTTTTTTTTTTTTTTTGCACAGCTGTTTGGTTACGGGGTCGGGCGCCGCGCGCAAAGAGATAAGAAGTTACTGCGATTTTCCAGGATAAAAGGTCCGTTCATTATGGGAGTAAATAGGGACGCAAAAATTTTCCTTCGCGTAATGAACGCCCCCCCCCCTCCCCCAACTTTGCATCGATTTTTCGGAAAAAAAGTGCGTTCATTCTGCGAGTAAATACGGTAATTCACTGTACTGTGGCATATTTTACAGCGGAGCTGTTAAAGGACACATGCAGAGGAAAAAAACTTATTTTTAACATCCTGGTTGGGAAAAGGAAGTCATAAAATGAATTTACAACGAAAAAGAAAATTTTTTAGAGCTATATTTACGGCGCGATATGAATTTATAGTTGGCGCCCGCGGGTGCCACGGAAAAGTTGTCTCTTATTTGTCACCTGACTGGTACATATTTGTCACGTGGTGCTTGCACTCTTTCGGAAGCTTCCTATGGCTTCTAAAAGTAACTTATTAATCTTTGTTTAAAGTATAACAAAAACACAGGATTAATAAGTAACTTTAGAGCCCAAAGGAAACTCCTGAAAAAGCGAAAGCAGACGCGATAGCCCTGTGCGCCGGTCAGATGACGGCGGCGGCGCCCCAAAGCAGACAAACTTGTGCGGCGGCGGCGACGGCGGCGATGAGAAACGCGTTGAAGCGGCGTCGCACAACACTCAGCGTGCGGCGGCGGCGTGACTTCGCGGCGGTGGCGACGCAGCGCAGGCCTACCACGTGACCAGCGGCGGCTCCCGCGGGCGCCAACTACAAATTCGTTTTTCGCCGTGAATATAGCTCTAATTTTTTTATTCGTTGTAAATTCGTTTTATAATATTTTTTTATCTAGCCTGTTTAAAAAAAAGTTTTTTTCCTTTGCACGTGTCCTTTAAGGGCTAGTTTCCCCAGTGTAGTGTCCGCGGGCAGACAAATGTCGACAGAAAACTCCGGACAGCTACCACCATCTATGAGCGACAGCGGCAACCAGCTTGCCAGTTGTCTGGTTGCCGCTCATAGAGGGCAGCAACCTCTCCAGAGTGGAGAGGCTGAATTTCTCTAGGCGTCGTCCTCGAGGTCGCCCTAGAAGTCATCCTTGAGGTTTGTCCTTGGCATTGTCCTAGATGCTGTCCTTGAAGCCGTCCGAGAGGTTGTCCTGGAGGTCGTCATAGAAGTCATCCTTGAGGTTGTCCTAAACGTCGTCCTTGAGGTCGTCTCGAGGTCATCCAGAAGTCGTCCTGGAGGTTGTCGTCGAGGTCGTCCTTGAGGTCGTCCTAGACGTCGTCCTTGAGGTCGTCCTAGACGTCGTCCTTGAGGTCGTCCTAGACGTCATCCCTGAGGTCATCCTAGAGGTTGTCCTTTAGGTCATCGTAGAAGTCGTCTTTGAGGTCGTCCTCTAGGTCATCCTAGGAGTCGTCCTTGAGGTCGTCTTTAGGCGCCTCCTCGAGGTCGTCCTAGAAGTCGCCCGTGAGGTTGTCCTAGACTTTGTCCTCTAGGCATCATCCTTGAGGTCGTTCAAGAAGTCGTCCTTTAGGTCGTCCAAGACGTTGTCCTCTAGGCATTGTCCTAGGCGTCAAGTGCTCTGAGGACACTTTGAATGATGTTATAGTTGTGAGTTGCAGATGCTTGTCAGTAAGCATTACTATAATTTCCAATGCTGTTCTGAGCCGACGTGCACGTTTTATGTTCCCAACAAGTCAGACAAAAATGCTCAATGTAAAGGAACTGCAATCAAGGCTGACAAAACCAAGATGAAACACAAAGAAAGCATTCTGCTGGGGACGTGAGGTGTACAATCTGTGCTTCACTGATATAAGCATTCTTTCACTGAAAAGTGGACGTTACGGAGGCTAACTCTCCGACGAACCAAAAATAGACGTCAGTTAGAGATCTTGTGCAATCTTGTGTGCAGTAAAGACGAGGGCAAAGGGGAGAACAGGTCACAACAAAGCGCCTTTTAGGGGCGAAGCTCCTTAGGGTCTAGCCTTGTCCATCCGGCGTCCGTGCTCACATCGATTGCCATCCCATCTCTCTTCTTAAAAAAAGAAAAAAAAAAATGTTTACGCAGTCGACAGGATTCGAAACTGTGTGGGGAGACACCAATGGATTTCTAGTCCATCGCCTTAACCAGTCGGCCACGACTGCGGGACGAGTAGGGGGCTCTGAGATGTGGTAGTAACTCAAGAGCTGGGGATGCTGGCGTGCATAGACCTAGTCTTTGCGAACTTCAGGATGGATCCGCTAGAAGAACCACTGGCTCTGTATTTCACCGACCATAAAGCTGTAATAATGAAGTTGAAACGCAACCCGGAACTCAGCACTACCTATGAGCAATAAAAAAAATCAGTACCATCAGCACTACTTATGAACAAAATCAGTATCATCAGCACCACCAGAGCTTGACCCCAATCAACATCATTCACCCCACGAAGATGCGGTCATTTTGTGCCCTGTTCTCCCTTTTGTCCTCGTCCTTGCTGCGCACAAGATTGTATAAGATGTCAAACCAACTTGCCCAAACAACCACTCTTCTTGAAGTCAGAATTCACTAACTTGCAGAAGTAATGGCCGTGGGTGTGAGGAACATTTTGTACATTCTTAATTTTTATTTTATTTGTTGTTTAAATTGAATAGCTGTAGAAGCGTCGACGTTTATGCACCTTCCGCAAGTACATTGTCTTTTTAAGAAGTAAAATTTTAAAATCTTCACATTATACCAACATCAGTTTTTCTTAAAAAAAAAGAAAAAAAAAACTAATTGGTCGCATTTTGATTGGTTATATTGTTCCATACACAAATTAGTTAAGAAAATAAAAGCATTTGCACGAATCCTTTGAAAACTTCTACATTTCCCATGGTCAAGAAAGTTAAAAAAGTTAACATAGTTAAAAGCCAGTTGCTGCAATTTTAGCACCCAATTTGTACGCTTCACCTTCCCAGCACCTCTTATCAAATAAATCCAGTTTCAAGGGATGTGCGAATAGTGGATTTTGAGTCCAAGCAAATTTGAAGCAAATTGTGGTTTTGGCCGAATATTTTCTAATCGAATAGTTTCTCCAAGTCCCGTCACTAATGTGCACCATGCTTAACCCTTTGACAATCACATGTACGGCGGCACTTACACATTTGAAAGTGTCCGCCTAAACGCGAAACTGCACACATCGCAAAAGGTGTTTCTATTTGTTTTGTTTCTGGCCAACTATAAACCTTTTGTTAGCATGGTGTTTCACTTTTCTGGAGCTATTTATAGTTTTGAAATTAGACGCTTGGCGCATGTGATATGTGCAAAATGGTTGCTTCGTATGTCCACTGCTCAGGCGGGTACTGGTAATTCGAGTGCTGGCACTTCCGATTCAGAATTCCAACGCTTTCAGAACTAAATTCAGAGGATGAGTGCTTCCCATCTGATGAAGAAGCTCAGTAAAGCACCTCCGGTTCGGAATCTGAAACCGCTGGAATGTTGCGGAAGCGGACGGGTCAAGATAAAACCGAATGGAAGAAAGGTGACAACTCTTCACCTTCAATACTTCCATTTGATGCTTCTAAACTGGAACAGGTTACAAGCACTGTACGTGCACCCGCTAAATAATTAATAAATAAAAAAAAAATCTGTGCATTGACTTTTTTTTTATGCTATTCCTTTGGAAACAAAGCTCAACCACTGGAAAGAAGCCTTTAAAGGGACAATGAAGGCAATTTCGCACATCTTTTTGGCGACTGAACTGGGTTCCAGGCACGTCTCATGTCACGCTGCCCAAATTTCAGCCGAAACCGGCGCTTCTATGCCGCGCAAATCAATTAAACAGTCGCGGTAATAATCGTACCGGGATCGACTGGAGCGACGCCCCGAGAGTTGCGGGAGAAGCCAGGAGAAGAGGAGCTCACGTGACCGATGCGGGGCCAAGAAGCGCGACGTCACAAGAGACGCGTCAGCGATTGGTCGAAACGAAAAACGTGCCCTCGGTCACGTTTTGGTTCGCGATTTTTAGGAATACTGTTCCAATTTCCACTTGAGTAACCATGAAAAGTATAAATCGGACCGAAAATGATTACTAAACCGTAAATAAAGCAGCATAATTGTTTCTTGCTTTGCTACGCTGGACGCGAAGCGGGCAACGAACAACTATGGGCAAACAAAATAAAATAAAAAAGAACACGGTACTGAAAGGATTCTGCAAAATTGTAGCTGTAGATGGCTGTTCCAACGGTCGACTGAAGACCAGTATTCGTTCGGGCGACGCTAGTTTTGTGTTCTCTGACGACGAAAAGAGGACGTCCGCGGAGAAACCGGATCCCGGAACGGCCGGATCGCTGCCGCTTTCCCCTCCGCGTCCGTCCTTCGGCATGCGGGCCGCTGGTTGCCGGCTGGGCGGTCTCTGTCGGGTGATGGCAGAGCCCGCCACACACGTACTCCCGTTCCGTTGGTGTTCGGTCACTGAACGGAAGCTCGAACTCGCTCGCGAAAGCGGCATTGCCGTAGATGTTGACAGATTCGGCGAAACGACCGCCCCACCGCGCTGCTATAACCCACCGTGGTAACCAGAGTCTCAATCTCCTAAATGCTACCGATACCGACTATTCACATCTGATGTCACTACCTACGTCACCTCCGTTTTTGGAGGCCCAGAAACGAGAACGGAGATAGTTCAGTTTCGGTTTCCTTACTTCTTTCGTAGGCACAAAAATACGCGTCATAAATGTCTACAAAAAATTGGGCAGCATGCTATGTTCCCAAGAAGCATAAAAACACCAATTAAAAAAATTAAATAAAATCGTCTTCATTGTTTCTTTAAGATAAAAAAAAAAAAAAAAAAAAACTCGACCGTCAATGGGCTAGATGAAAATTCAACTGATGTAATGAAGGTTGTTCCCAACCTTCTACTTGTCCACTTTGAACGCCAATTAATTTTAATATAACTATATGAACTGTGGCATGTTAACGACAAATTTGTAGCAGCTATCCTTATCTACAGCATTTATAAATCTGCTTGCTATATGCAAATAACCTTTCAAAAATTCAAACTTCATCAAAAAGAAAAGAATAGAAAAGAAAAGATCAAGCACGAATGATAAACGTGGGTTGTCAAGACATCACTGCCTAACATATACTCTTGCATAATCGTGGCGGGTTAGCCCCGTTGAGCTACTGTGGACTCCGGGAAAACAATACCCATGGAGCCTGCAAGCTTTGCAGGTATCGCTTCCCCGCAGTGCACAGGTGCTCAGTAAGAAGCACACTCAACAGGGGCTAACCTGTCGCAATCAACACTTCGAAAAGGATGAATATCGCAGTTGATCTCGAAGTAAATATCAAATAGCGCGTTATTCGAAACTACTATTCAAAAATTCAAATATTCGCACAACCATACAGAAATTTATAATTTCAAAAGTTTACGTAGACATAGCAAAGTAGTTCAGGAAGGACCTTGGCTAGATTGAGGAAATCGAACGAATCCAGGTTTGCAGTATGCTGCTTAGGTTTCATGTGCAATTTCATGGTACGTATTTCACATATGTAGTTGCACCTTTTCACATTTTTTGTACAATATAGGATGTTGCGACGCTCTTCCAGAAGCCGTTGCGAGAAGAAGAGCACACTTACCAGTTTGTCATGACCAGTGGGCGGGTTGACGTAGGGGGCGTTGCAGCTGATGAGCTTCTTCATGAACTGGAAGTACTCAATGCTGAACTGGTTCCGGTTGTGCATGAACTTGATGTTCTGGCGCCACACGCTGCGCTCAATAGCCAGTGGCATGCGCAGGCAGTCCGGTGGACGCGGCTCTGGAATCGGAGAGTGTAATGCTAAGCTTACTGTCCTCTCTGGGGTCGACATTCGATTCCCCCTCTTTAAAAGTCCAACGAAGATCATCTGCTCATATGGCGCAAGAACAAAGGTTGGCTTCTGACCAACTACACATCCCTGAAAAACCACAGTTCTCAAGCTCTCTCCAACTGGTGACAGCATAAAACATCAGCAAGTTAAATCTTCCTAATATAAAAACAAGGAATCCTAATTGGATAAATTTCAACTCTCTGGGACCCACGACTCAGAGTTAGAAAAGTATTGCCCCATAACATCTTAGACTCGGAAGTGTGGTTAAACCTGAAAAATTGTAATGTTCAAACATTCCAACAGCAGAGCCAGACAAAAGTGACAAAGCATGCAGCATGTGGTGCGCCAAAAGATCTCTTACCTAGAATACTATAATGATTGCAACTCTTACACCTGGAGGTGTACCTTCATATTCGCCCAGAGGTACACTAAAGGTCTCGGGAGCTGTTTCCAATGCAGTCGACGTGATTCATACCGGTAGGTGCTGCCACTGGTGTGAGGGGTACATGTTCCACAAGCGTAATGGTACAGTATCACAGACTAGAGCTGCACTGAGAGAACCTCAGACTACTTCCCTAAAACTTGAGTCCTCAAACAGTTGAGAACTGCCAGGTTCTTGGGCGTCCCAATACTTTTCTTGTACTTACCTCTAAGTAATGTGCTTCTCTAGTGTAGGTACTATATTTCAAGCATAGCTCACATAAGCATGTCTAACAAAGTCTCCAAATTTCTACCCGGTTCTACTATTGCGCAAGTGTTAAAAATAGGATCCCATTGCTGTCGCTCAATGTAGGTTAGTGTTTCTGGATACCTTAAAGTTCTTGTACGGCATGTGACACAGCGCAAAAAATAAACTGCTAGGCTTATATTTAGTTCAATGTGAGCGCGTTGGTGAAGTTAAATAAAATAGAAAGAGTAAACATAGGGACGGACAGAACAGCACCGAAAGAAGTGCTGGTCTGTCCGTCCCTATGTTTATTATTTTTGTTCTATTTTATCAAGTTTTTTCATTTTCTTCTTAGAACTAAATGGCTGTCCTCTAAACTACTATAGTCGGTGACAGGTTAAAAGTTCAAAGGAAGCTAATCCCACCTCTTTCCACCTTAGCAATGCAAAAGCTGGAGAGGAGGCGGCCTTCTCTCCACACTTGCTCTGCTAAAGTGCAAAGAGGTGGGAGGAGCTTCCTGCGAACTCTCAATCTGTCACCAACTAAAGTGCGACGGAAACTGCTCATTCAGGGCAACAACGTAACCAGTAAAGGTTAATGCTCATCGACAGCACGTTTAAATAAAATTCAATAGAGTGCCAATGTTGCGTTCGTGCCAGCTGTCACATGCAGTGTATCCCAAAGGCCCCTCTCCGACCCCAAAAAAAACAACCTTGTTGGGTGCACTGACCTAGGGAGAGGTCTTGCAGGCCCTGCTGGAGGCTGGGTGTCTCCTGGGCTCGCTGGTAGAAGAGGATGTAGGCGTTCCACCAGCGCTTCTGGCGCCGGTACGACATGCGCTTGAGCATGTGGTCGAACACTTCCCCCATGTACTCTCCCCCGAAGCACTGGTTCTTCATCTCTTCCTCCTCCTCCATGCGGCACTCGGACACCTCCCCGTCGTCAAATTTGTACCACTGGGGGCTCTCCCCGTGCCTGAAACGAGCAAATGCAACGACACACACTGACAGCTTCGCAAAGACCACGGGAGCCCTCCATTGGGGCAATGCAACAGACGAGGCCAGTTCCCATTTGGAAACAGGCAGAAATACAGTGAGAAGAGACGCTTGCAGTTAATCTGCCGTAATATCCCGAGGATAGCTCACCTAAAATCAAAAGCAAATCGGGTGAAAATAAAGAGTGGGCTAACTTTCGGTGTGCGGTCAAAAAAAGGTGAAAGGTTGCTAGAGTTAGATTCTGTGACCTGTGAAACTTGTGATTGCAGCGAGGGGTGATGAACTAAAAACGACTGCCATTCCTAGTCAGTAATGTTCGCTTATCTCTTACCGAGGCTAAGTAACACCATTTCCACCGAGGTCGCCATTTGCCGGGGTCCAGAAATTACTAGAAGTGGGCTATCTCTTGGTGCTATTGAAAAAATAGCAAATCGTGCCGAAAATAGACCCATCGGTTATCTTTTGAGGGGGGAAGGGGAGTCGGGACATTATGGTAAAATTTTCGCTACCAAGGAGGTTGCAAGTCCAAGCTTGCGACGCAATTTCGGGACGCCACTTCAGACCAGATTAGTGTTCCAAAATCGGAGGTGAGAGTATGAACGCAGGCTCGTCGGCAAAACGCAGCAGCAACTTGACCCCGAGACAAGGCTATACAAAAATGGGACAATGGAAGAACAAATTTTATATATGTTTTATATACTCTACTCACAAAAAGGTGAAAGAAACCATCACATGCATCACTAGGTGGAACCACAGGGCTTTAACACTTTTGCTTGCACCACCTGTCTTAGTTGTCATCAGCGCTAACTGCTACATCACGCTTGAAGATGGCATTGTCATTGCCCCGTTTCTGTCCACCCTCTTTTCTATGTTAAGTTATTACTGTCCCGAAATCTGCAGAACTGTTGGTCCTAACTCGGTACAACACTGGCAGCCAAAAATGTGAAGAAAAGTCAGGTTGGTCGGGGGTCAAGCTCAGTCAAAACTAGTACGTGAGAGGCCAGACTAGCCTCTTCTGAACGACGATAGTTGGGCAGAGGGGCACCCACCGGTAGAGTATGTATGAGTAATAGTGTCCTCCGCTGGCCTGGCCGCTGTGCACCACAATGCCCGTCAGCTGGTAGCGAGTTGACCCCAGGTCTTCGGCCAGAGGTTCCTCCTCAATCACCTCCCCTGCATACACAATCACACACACTCGAGCGAAAAGGCAACAGCGACAACAGCGGCAGGAACATCCGCTGCCACTGGGTCATAAAAACAAAACTCTCACAGCAGCACGGTCAAAAAGGAAGGATGTCCATGGTGCCTATTGTACATGCCATGCTAAGCTACTAACATAAATCTTACCAGACTGTTTTGGTGCAGACAAGGCTCCAACAGCCTTTATTACAGGACTCCAGAGTCAAGAATTTGTAACTGCATGCTTCTTGTCTTAAAAGAGCACTCTCCCTGTATGCATAGGTGCACTGAGGAAAAGCCTCCTCCTATAATGACTCCTATTGGGCTAATTTTATGAAGTTACAGCCTACAAACTAGAACCACTGCAGCTTGACAGAACACTGCATACTGTGGCATTAATCAGGGGAAGAAACTTCACCGATTCACCGATTGATTACAGCTGCATTGATGCTGTTAGACAAGTTGCAACGCTTTATACATGGGTACATGATTGCCTGCTAAATGAATATAAATGCAAGCTGCTAGTACTATCCTCCCACATTTTCTAATACTAAGAACCAAGCTGTCTTGTCAGCCACAAACACGGTCAGTTTTGCTCATCATCAGGGCGCCTATGCGTTTGCATGGTTTCGTGCCAAAACGTTTATAGCTACCCACTAGCTCATGCTACAGAGATCCATACAGTGGGCCCATGTTTGTTGCTAGTCCAATGCTCTTGTTACTAGCGTTCTGCAGCTTCAGTCTAAGCATGCTGTATATCTACCCCAGGAACTTCCGTACAACCCATGCAATAGACCGATCTCTACGCAAACAAACTTGAGGGAAGAACGGCACTTGCCTTCCATCTTGGCCAGCCCTTGCACGGTGTAAGGTTCCATGTCGAGCTCACGGGGAAACTCAAAGTAGTCGTTGAACTTGATGGCACACTCCCGCTCCCAGTCGTAGTCGAAGCGTTTCAACTGGATCGCCAAGATCGGGGGCAGCTTCTTGATGCACAGACGCTTCACCGTGTCCACCTGGGCACAATTGGACGGCCAATCACCCCCCCTGCCAATCGTGCCCTGTGAAGCTGCTCACGGGTCACTGCTGACCGAGCACGGTTCCCTTTGGGAAGAGTCCTTTCACTAGCATTCCTTCCCAGTCATGCTCAAAACCAAACAATCTTGGCCTTTCCCCATGTTCAGAGTCATAATTTCCGGAAAAATATTGGAAGCTGAAGAAATGCCCAAACAAGCCAAGGGAGTCAGACTCATATTAATTGCTACGCTGTACATTGCTTATCTCTTGCTGAATTAACAAAACTAATTTTAGAACTTGAAGTTTCTTTTTTATGTCTACGGGTCAATGTCGTCCCGCAAGTCACCGAGCTGTACTGCGCCATTGCGTGTCTCCTCCTTTTTTAATTTTGCTTTCGCTTGTTTTGCTGACCATACTATAATGCTTTCAAACCACTTCACCGAGATGTGCTCCGATTTATTTATTTTATTTATTGAACATACCCTCAGGGCTTGAAGGCATTATAGAGGGGGAGAGCAGATACAAGCAAACAGTTCCCTGCAATCGTTTGTTGTGGCACTCCGAAAGCTGAATTATCTTACTATCAGGGTGTCGAACCGGAACCGAACCAAACCGAAAACCGGAACCGAACCGGTATTTTTTCCGGAACTGAACCCGAACCGTCATATTGTTATCGCGATGAACCCGAACCGGAACTGAACCGGAAAAAAAATAACGGTTACCGGCTCATGTCAAAACGGTTCGGCCACGCGCTGTTGACAATCAATGTGCTATCAATGCCATTTGTTTTTTAAGTGCCGTCAACTGACACACACCTCGTTTACATATTTTTCTTCTCCACTCAGTCTTAGGAATATAAACACTGCATCCATGAATCTTGACAAACGCTGCATCCATGAATCTTGACATAGGAACCAGTATTGCGCTGGTTGCGGCTTGCACGGAAGAAAAAAAATTGAAAGGCTGTGCAAAAAAAAAAAAAAAATCGCGTCACGGGATTTCATTTTCCTACAATCTCGTAAATCCTAAATGCTGCTGTGTGCTCATTTTATAACATGTTTCTAGAACGCGCGAGTTCTTGAAGCTTGCTTCCATCGGAATGAGAAAAGAAAAGGCTGTGTGGTTTCATAATAATGCATCCGGTTTCGTATAGGCACTTAGAAGCTAACATATTTGTGAGACAGCGAACTCTTCTATTTTAATATTTATCCTATTACGTCCTTCTGGCGTTGCGTTCGGTGAAGTGTTTTTCATACTCCGTATCTTGTTTAATGAAAACTTCTTTAAGGGTCTAATTTGAGTTACCGAAGGCTAGTTCAAATAAAGAAAGCTGTATTTTCTCCCCACTGTTCCTTCAATTGCTTACACGCCGAGGTAGCGGGATAGTTAGCGAGTTCTACTTGTAAGTGGGTTTGTAAGGAGGTCGCGGATTTTACGGCTACTGCGTCGGACCCAATTAGATGAAGACCGAATGCGTAAACGTCAATGAGGTAAGCTTTGAGCGCACATAAAGAAACCATTCCTGGTAGAAATCCCTGAGCCTTACACTACGATGTATCCCGTTTCGTATGTGCTGATTTCAGATGTTTTATTTGTAATTTATTTTGATGCTGCAATTTGTCATTTATAATTTCCGAACCGGTTCGCGAACCGGTTCAGTGCCCTGAACCGGTTCGCGAACCGGTTCGCGGATCGAATTAATCGAACCGGAACAAAATTAATTTACCTGAACCTGAACCGTAACCGAAACCATATTTTTTTCGGTTCGACACACTGCTTACTATAATATATTTTATAAGCTAATAACCTTCCAGTACCTTAGTGCCCCGAGTAAAAGTTCTGCCGCGATATCTCCGGCATTTTCCGGCATAAACTGTCACTCATGCCACCTCCTACCTTAGTATACCGCAAAGAATTGGCAGCATCCCAAAGCCGCTTCTCAATATTTCGACCGCAAGTCCCAGCATGACACCCATGATGACAAGGTGTCACGCACCTTCTTGTTGCACTTGTCGCAGTGGTAGGCATTGGCGCCTTCTAACAGGTCCCCCTTCACGTACTGCTCCAGGGAGTCCGACAGGTTGCTGTGGTTCCGGATGTCAATGTTGAGCGTCGTGAACGACTCCTCCCTCGAGTACCTGGAGAGACAATGAGTCGGCAATGATGTCAATGTCAACGCTGCCTTTCCTCGCTGTGGTGGTAAGTGCCGAAGCTTGAGTGATGGTTAAATACAAATTAGAAAGAGAAAACGCAGAGAGAAAGATTCATACAACTGTATCGTCTGGTCGAAGGAGAGTATGCGGCATTTTGTCGCTCCAATTTGTAACAATGGCACTCACATGCTCCATAAAATAATGTTCAATCAATGAGAACTGTATGTCACCTTGCTGCCGCCGTTTTTAAAGAACAAAGTGAGGACTACAGGAATAATCTAATAACCTATACTCTTAGGAAAAGGATCAAGCACAATGAAAAGTGGCAATCGAAGAAATTTCACGCCACATATTTTATGACAGCGCCCAGCCATTGGAAGCAGCTGAGTAACCCTAAGTGGAAGCTGTTGATCCTGCAAGCTACTCCCAGTTTAAAAAGTTCTAAACCAGAAGGTGAAATCTCGGTAATGTGTTTATTGTTTTCGAATGCTTTCCTAGTTACTGTTTCCTTCTTTTTTTCCTTTTTGCGTCCCGTAGAAATTTATTACATTGCAATCTACTTATAACGATAACGAGAAAACCAGAAAATTCAATCGTTATCAATTGATTATCGTTGTATCTGGACTAGAAACTGAGTATTTCTAGTCTAAAAACTCTAGAAACTGATCTTTATAAGCAGTATAGCATCACATATGGCATCATTATAAACCAGGCTCGATCCAAAATGGGCCGTAAAAATCGGCGCCGGGACGTAGCAATCTCAACTTTTCGTCAAAGGTGCATTTCACAGGTCGGTTCTTTTATGTAAAATTACAAATCGCAGCTCTATAATCAAAGCATGCAACCCACCCTCATCCCCCACCTTATGTAATGTCCTCCCGGAGACCTTTTAGGGAACAAGAATAAAAAATGACCGCATCTCCACGTGGTGAATGATGTTGATTGGGGCGAAGCTCTGGTGGTGCTTGTCTGTGCAGACGCTGAGCCGCAGCATGCAGAGCCTTTCGTTCGTTTTCATCCATGTCGGAAAGAAAATGTGTGGTATGGAACGTGGTTATATACGCATTTGAGCATTTGACCGCAGCGCCCTCTCGTCTATAAACGTTGAGCCAATGCATGCAAAGTTTAACGCGATTATATACGCATTTGACCGCAGCGCCATCTCCTGTTAAGACGTTGAGCGGCCACATACAACGTTTCATCCATGACATCCCCAGCTCTTGAGTTACTACCACATCTCAGAGCCCCCTACTCGTCCCGCAGTTGTGGCCGAGTGGTTAAGGCGATGGACCAGAAATCCACTGGGGTCTCCCCGCATAGGTTCGAATCCTGTCGACTACGCAAACATTTTTTCTTTTTTTGCCCTACACGAGCATGTGAGTACGTGAGCTCACAAGAACGATCACAAGCACGAGCACCAGCAAGATCAATGTGAGCACGGATGCCGGACGGACAAGGCTAGACCCTAAGGAGCTTCGCCCCTAGTAAATGAACAAATAAAAGGAACGAAATTTCAGCCGCCATCAACATCTGCCCATTCCTTTGACAAGTTCCGGGTGCTGTTGTCATGCAGCCGGCAGAGCGGGGGGAAATGGCGCCTTGCCTGTGGGGGCATCCCTTGCAGATCTTCTGGTCGGCAAAGGTTCCTCCGAGCACCTTGGCCAGGATGCACGGCTGGCCGAGCGTCTTGAGTGCCTCGTCCAGGCTGTCCACCAGGCTGTTGAAGAACTCCAGGGCGTCGTGCTGCTCCCGCAGGTTCACGGGTTCGCCCCACAACCTGGCGGCAATGGACCAAAATCCCGCTTGAGGGAACACCCTGGTCTTGAACATTTTTCTCTAATTTGTGATCTGCATTATATTAAGTTATCACATCTAGTACTACAAGTGTTTTTGCCAAGCACGAACATAAGCTCATTGTTTTCCTGTTATAAATAAAAAGAAAATTATCATAAATGTTCCTGCTCAACTTTTTTACAATAACCCCATACAATCGAACCCGTTTATAACGAACCCAGTTAGAACGAATTATGGTCTATATCGAACACACAAAATTTTAAGATCAATATTCATGAGAAATATACTTTCTATAACGAACCACACATCGGATATATCGAACTGCGAGCGCCCGCTACCGCCCCCGTGGAGACGCGCGGGCTTCCCTGTAATGCACAGAGTGACAGAGGACAAGAGAAAACCAAGAAAAACACGATGGCCCTTGAGAAGATGAGTCACAAAACCGACTGCGAACGCCCGCAACCGACCCCCGCGGAAGCGCGCTGGCTTCCCCGCCATGCACGGAGCGACAGAGGACAAGAGAAAACCAAGAAAAACACGATGACCCTTGAGAAGATGAGTCACAACACCGACTGCGAACGCCAGCAACCGGCCCCCGCGGAAGCGCGCTGGCAAGTGATAGAGCAAAAGTCAAATTTGGGGGTTTTACGTGCCAAACCAACGACGGGCATCTGGCACGCCCCAGCGGAAGACTGAGGATTAATTTCGACCACCTGAGGATCTTTTGACGTGCAACCGAAAGCTCGGTTACACGGCGTCTTCTCCGCAATAAGCCTCCGTCAGATTGCGGGCACCTCGGCCGGGATTCGAACCCGCCACATGGGGATCCGTAGGGCGACGCTCTCGCCTCGGAGCCACCGAGGCGGCTGATAGAGCAAGCGTGCAATGACGTTCTGATGACATCATCCTGCAGCCGTACCAGGCCGGACGTGGCTCTCTTGTTCCTAGCGTTTTGCCGAGGAGGCTCGTTGTTCTTTGTGTCCTTCCTGTTCCCGCAAGAGATGGCGACCAAGGTGCGGTCATCGTTACCGTTCTCTACCAAGGTGGAAATAATCCGGCGCGTTGGACGCAGCGAGAAGAAGTCAGAAGTCGCCGCATCCTTCAAGGTCGCCAGAAGCACGCTGAGTACGATACTGAAAAACAAGCCAGCGATCCTGCAAAAGGCCCGAGATCGACCGAACGCCGACGGAAAGCGCATTCGGGCGCCTGCCTTTGACAGAGTGGAAAAGGCGCTGTATGCGTGGTTTTTGGATATTCGCGCTCGAAACCTTCCAGTTTCGGGCCCCATGTTACAGCAGAAAGCAAAAGACTTCTCTCTGTCATTAGTGCCACGACTTTTTTTTCCTTCTCAATTTTACGGAATTATCGTGTTCATTTATTGTCTGTTACCTAGAAATTTTCGGGCTTTCTTAGATGATATGTGTCAATATTGAAATTTATTGATAGAAATATGAATACATATGTTCCATCATGAAAGCTGCCTCGCGATAACACGGCTCTGAGCGCCGGCGTGAGGCTTGCTACGCTCGGCAGCCTTCGCCGCTATTCCGCGCGGTTTCCTTTTATCTCTCTTGCTTTTGCTGTCCTCACGAAATAGCGATATTTGCTATAACGAACTACTTGATATATCGAACTAAAATGCGTGTCCGATGGAGTTCGTTATAAACGGGTTCGACTGTAATACAATATAGCAGAAAGTGTGTTCTAAAAAAAAGTTGAGAATGCGACAAAACCAATTATTTTTGCTGATAATTAGAAATGACTCATTAGAGTCTTTGCCAATTAAAACCTTTGCAGTTTACATTTTTTAGAACTATTAACCTAGTTGCGCTCTCAGATTTACGAGGTATTAAACCCTGAAAAAAGTATTGAAATCCAAATTCTGGATCAAAAGATACCTTGGGCGAAATTGTGTTGTGATGAAAAAATGAATTCTGAGAAAGCAGCAGAAGCTTTTCGAAACATGCTTGCAAACAGCCTGAATATGAAACTGAATCGATGTAACTCTATAAATCTGCATTTCCTGAATGCAGTACTTACAATTTATGTTGTTTGTGACTTATAGAGAGTGTTCCGTGTTTTCGGATAAATCCGAAGAACTCCGAAAAACAGTTGCCAGTAAACTTTTGGTCAATTCTGATTTGTTTGATAAAGTCAAAATTTTATCTGCCACGGCCCCGCCCCCCCCCCCCCCCCCCCCCCCCCCCCAAAAAAAAAAGACGGTATTTTACAATTAAGTTTTATCAGCACGCAGGGTCAATGGTCCTGGGAAAATGGCACCACAGTTACCTTTCAAATCTCGGACCATTGCCAAAAGGGGTCTTACCGCTTATCTTGTAAAGGTTCATTCAGGACAACAGGTCATTGTACTTTTGGGTCCCAACAAAAGCCACTGTTTTCGTTTCCAGTTTGAGCCATACTATTTGTACTTTAAAGGGGCCCTGCAACAACTTTTTACTGGTTTTTAATTTGCACCGTACATGAGTGCACTGAACGTAGTAACTTAAAGGAACTTTTCTTTTCTCAAATTTCGCTTTATTGTAAAAGTTATAGGCAATTTAGATTTTCAAAAACAAGCAAAAAATAACCTCCTTCATGACGTCGTAGGTCCTGGCTTGAGTGGCCGTGAACTAGAGGAGGAGTAGTGAGCTCATCGAGCGCTCACGGCTGCCGCACTCCGTGTCGACGACTAGAGAGGGCGCCACTAAAGCACGTGTTGGATAGGCTGTATGAAGCGGGCGGCCAAGGCGGCTCGCATTGCATTTGCTGCGCGATTAAAGACTAATTCGGCATAACACTTCATTGACCACAAACGACAGCAAACACGGGGTAAAGATCAGTTCAGAACGGGAGCCACTTTGCGCTCCCATACCGCCAAAGGGCCAAATCGCCAGCCAACCCCGCGCCGAGAGCCTTCGGAAGCTTCGGAACGCTCCGAACCGGTCGGATCCTCGAGCCGGTATACGACCGCAGCGCCGCCGCATACATCCGGGACCTTTCTACGCCTGCCGTTCCGTGGTGCGTCATTCCACTAGCTCTTTCTAGTATGCGCCGTTTTTTCCGCCGCTTGGTGGCGGGTATTTCAACGGGTCATTTCTTGTTTCCGTACTTTCTAAACTGCATTTGTTTCTTTTCTGATCTAAAATACTATACAAAAAATACTTTTATAAATAACTGGAACGGTTCACGCCACTTATATTTTGTATTTCGACTACGAAGAAGCTTTTAGCGGCTTTGACCAGTAGTAAGCCCAGGACCAAAGACGTCACATTTTGCGCGCTTTCGGTACCGCGGGTCGCCCTCGTCGGTGGAGGAGGTTTCCGCGTCGTCTGGTTAAAATATGATGCACTGATATTTAGTTACTCTCTCCGTGCCCGCTGGCTTGCCCGAACCCCAAGAGACGTGGAAACCGCAAAAAAGGTAGATGCTTAAATATGATTGCAGGGCCCCTTTAAGAGGAAGGAGAGGTTGTGTTCTTGTAACAGTGAAAGTTAAGGACCATAGAGATTGCATAAAATGGGGAAAAAAGGGCAGTTGAAACTTCTTTTTAACAGCCTTTACCACTCCATCTTGTGCAGCTGCGAGATAGGTTGATGGAATAGGACGGGATGAATACGAGCTACCCAGCGACTACCTCCAGGAGTTTATTGATTTTAAGGCCTCAACGTTTATTGAAGCAACAGCTGTGTGGAACTTTTGTCGTGGGACAAATTAGTTTTGCCATTGGCAATGGCACCAATGCCGAACCAGGTAAAGAAATATTAATAAATACAAGCACATTTTTTTTTTTTTTTCATTTGGCATACGTTTACACCCACATATTATTTATTTATTTATTTTTAATAGGAACTACCGTGAATTAAACCCCAAATTCTGAAGAACTCTCAATAAAACAAATATAAACTCCCACTCGGAATTTTTGGAAAAACTTGAATTTTGAAAAACACATTCCGAATATGGCAAAAAAATAAACTCCAAAAAAACGCCCTCCGAATTTGACGAAAAGCGAACTCCAAAATCGCGGAATCCTACTTATAGATTGAGAAAAAAAATGTTGTGAAAATAACTTTTTTTGCTTTTTTATGTTTTTCAGGACTAGAGTTTTTTTAAATTAAAATCAACATTGTTGTCATGTCCCACTGTCAAAGTCAACAAAAGTAACTCTGATCTGAATCAGAAATCAAACCATTGTACCAAGATTCTCCAGTTTTCACAAACCCAAATATCGACCTCTCACATTCGTAGCACGTTGGTGCAATGAAAGAAGGCTGCAATACATGTGCATTGCAGTTTGCACAGTGCAAGGCATATGCTAAGAAAGGTCCATAAACAACTAGATGCCACTTCTTTATGAGGACTATAATAAAAATGCAACAAAAATTTGAGTGCAATGCAGGCATTATGTTCAAGTTTTCCCTTTAGTAGCAGCATCATCTAGGACTCTCACACAAAGAGTCAGAACTTGAGGAGAACCATGCCCGTCTACCTTATCACTGTGCAACTCCGGAAGTCTTGAGATAAATTAGTGCATCAGCGAAATCATATTCACAATACATCGAAACAGTTCTTTACAGGACTAAACCAACACGTTAAAATATCTTAAATTTTTTTTTCAAGGTAGGTAGTCCATTTGGAATGAGCCGCTCGAAGGGGGCTCAATGAATACGATTAAACCTTTTTCGTCGATCTCGCCGTCGTCCGAAATGATCCGGCCCACGGCAACTCGAAGCGCTCACTTGAAGTGCTTCCAGAACCCCCTGGGCACGTAGTACTGCAGCTGGCTGCAGGCCAGGTGTCCGAAGACGGCCTGCACCTGCTTCAGGACCCCGAGGTTGTAGTCCCGGCGCTGTTCCTCCCGGCCCCCTTCTTCCTGGGGACCCACGCAGAGCTCCGCTTCGGGGGCACCCCCTTCGGGGTCGCCGGAGAAGTCCTCGTTGGGGTCCAGGGCCGCCCCCTCCACTGCCAGCAGGCCCTCCCGGATGCTCTCTATCATGTACAGCTGTAAGGGGAAGACGCCACACTCCATACCAAGCACAACAAATGATGGGACGGCCACGGAAATAAAACGTGTCGGTGGCAATTATACAAATGTGAAATTCTTAGAAATGTTCGGCAAAAAATCGACGGTCGACAGAGGCCGGGAATGTGCGAGTATGAAGAGCATCTTCCATCCACATATACGCACAAGCAGTGGTACAGTTTCCTCATTGAAAATCGGCAACAAATTGCCTCAAACTGTTAACAGGGTGGTGTTAAGTTGTTGAACTCTTGCATCTTGTTTCAACCGCTGGTATAACACATTTGCGAGGAGTTAGAGCTTTCGACAATGTGGTTTATTTTCGCGGTGCGAGAAACACAGTTTGCTTTCCTTCGCAAACACCCGGTGTGCTACCATACGGGGCTGTTTTCTTGACACAAGATAAAATGATTATCAAGGCAAAATGTCCATGACTGTGACCTCGAAGCATTACCACTTCCAAGTTGCAAACGTGCCACCTTTTATCCGTTCGCATTTCTGAATCCATCAGAAAGCTTCCAGCTTTCTATTATGGATGATTAATGGAACACCAAACACACAGAGCAAGTGGGTTCAGCTACAAGGCCGTGGAAAAAAAGCTGCATTTGGTGGCTTCATTTCAATGCTGGCTTCACACCAGTGAAATGCCGGTCCAGAAGTTTCAAAGCTCTGAACACCGAGTCACTCTGAAGATTGAGTCACTCTGAAGATTGAATCACCTTGGACACTCAGCCACGTGCACATTGAGCCACTGTCGATAGTAAGACTGCCTGGACATTGAGTCACAGTGGACACAGAGTCACCTTAGGCACTGAAGCCCGAATCACACTGGACACCGAGTTTCTCTGAACTTTCGACTCTGGACATTGAGTCAACCAATTCATCAAGAGCAGACGTGCCCTCACCTGCTGCAGCACGGAGTTCATGTAGCAGGTGGCCCCGGCATTCTTGAGCCCCACGAAGCCCCCCTGTGGCCTGGGCCCCACGGGGGGCAGGTAGTCCCAGTCGTGGAGGGGTCCCTGCCCCTCAGCGTAGAACATGTCCTTGAGCAGGCGCACGGCCGTGGCAAGGTTGGCTAGGCTCTGGGTGCACAGGGCCACCACCAGGTCCAGGGCCGCCGCCAATGCCCGGGGACCGCCACACACTGCCACGGCCGCGGGGCGCCCACAGACGTCCCCCGCCCCGCCCGAGCACCGCCTCCGCCGGAGCTGGGCCTCCACTCGGGACGACGGGAAGGCAAAGTCCTCAAGCAGCTCCTGGAACCAAGTTGCCGTCAACCAAGAGTTTCGTCAAGAATATGCTCAGTTTACCTCGATCCTACAAATGAAGTCGATACACACAGAATTTGTCTCCACGGCATTCTTTGGTGTTTGTGGTGAACGTTGCGTTTTTTTAGGGGAGAAGCTCTTTAGCGTCTAGCCTTGTCCCTCCGGCGTCCGTGCTCACATAGATCTTGCTGGTGCTCATGCTCGTGAGCTCACATGCTCGTTATAGGGCAAAAAAAAATAAAAAAAGATGAAAAAAAAAAAAAAATGTTCGCGCAGTCGACAGGATTTGAACCTGTGCGGAGAGACCCCAATGGATTTCTAGTCCATCGCCTTAACCACTCGGCCAGGACTGCGAGACGAGAAGGGTGCTCTGAGATGTGGTAGTAACTCAAGAGCTGGGGATGTCATGGATGAAACGTTGCATGTAGCCGCTCAACGTCTATACAGAAGGCGCTGCGGTCAAATGCGTATATAATCGCATTAAACTTTGCATGCATTGGCTTAACGTTTATAGACGGGAGGGCTCTGCGGTCAAATGCTCAAATGCGTATATAACCACGTTCCATACCACATATTCTCTTTCCGACATGGATGAAAACGAACGAAAAGCTCGGCATGCTGCGGCTCAGCGTCTACGCAGACAAGCACCACCAGAGCTTCGCCCCAATCAACATCATTCACCACGTGGAGATGCGGTCATTTTTTTATTTTTATTTGGCTATAGCACATTATTTTATTCCAAACTCTGTCCTTTGTAATCTAATGGTGGGCACGTCTTGGATTTTTTGTTTCTTCCCCCAAACTGTTTGAACACAAATGCTAAACGCTCATCACCAACTGCAAACACGGAATGCCGGCATCCGGCGACCGACATTCAAACATTTAGTAGAGACCACCGTGTTAGAGACAAGCTTTGCCGACATTCTAGTGGTAGAATGTCGAGCTTACAATCGTGGGGTTGTGGGTTTGATTCCCCTCGGAACACGCTTGGAATTTCATTATTTTTTCTCAATTTACCACTCCTTTGTACAGATTGTCCGCAGAAGTATCTGTTACGCATTTCGTAATGGTTTCCGTGGCATTCCGTCACGCTTTCTTCAGTAACCCCAGTACTCAGACACATTCCGTGTTAAAAAGTCCATACCAGATGATGAAACAGTGCACGCAAAAAGACGACCACAAAAGAAAGCAGCACACACACATCGCTGTATAAGTGTTTGCTACCTGTGACTACAAGAAGGTGCAAAACGTTCCGGGATACTTTGGTAGAAGAATGAAACTTGGCGAAGACCCCAGCACATCCTTCAGCACGACAAGGCAGCCCAAACGGTCGCCACCTATTATTTACCAATTTATTTTAATGAAGAGTTGCATTCTTACTGAAGCTAACCCATATTTTATGAGGGTCCATTGTGCAAGGGGTGGCCTAGCACCGTGTATGCTCGAAGTGGTGGCCCAGTTGGCCAACAGCCAAACTCGTGTGCCACGAACCACCTGCACATGTTCGCATGTGTTGTGTGTTGACAACACAATGTGAGTCGCCCTACCCGAAGCTCCTTCGCACCAGTCTGTGCATTCTCGGTGTTGTCACGAGAAAGCAAAGGAAGAAAGATGAGGCGACGCTTAGAAAAAACGCGGCGACCCGTGCCAGGAAGACGGATATTGCACTTCAGCGTCGGCTGTGTTTCTCACAAAACGCAATTCCGTACACGTTGGTTTGATCGATAGATTGGAGTAGAGCTGCAAATTTTTAACGTAGGTGCAGCATCACCACTGGCTTTAAAGAGAGGGATGAGACCCACCTGTACCAACCCCCTGGTGGTGTCCAGCCCCACATGCTGCTTTGCCTGTGGCCCCAGTAGGGACACCAATTCCCTGGCCACCCCCAGGTGTCCCTCAAGTAGGGGCTCTGGTACCAGCAGGGCACCTGCCTCCTGCACTTGCTCCTGCAAGCACACCATGCTGCGTTACACACAGCAAGACGCTGCCATCCAGCACCCAAGTGGCCCAAAGTGTGTTCAGTGTGCCACTTATAGACCTTTCCAGAGACAGTCTTGAACGAAGTGATTTACAGCGTGCGTCCCTGGTTTCGAGAGTGTATGTCAGTGTTGCCAGAACACACTGAACTGTGTGGTTCTCATCAGTGGGCTGTTGCAGCCTGTGTAGGCGCAATTCGGGACGCTGTTGGCGGCTAAAGCGCCGTGTTTTCTTTTTTCTTTTGTGCTCTATGGCGAATAGAGTTTCTCAAGGTTTTTAAGAAAGCATTGTACTATTTTTGGGAACAAAAACGAACAAACAAAAACTATATTTTGTGAGTCTGTGCATGACAGAACAAATGCAACTGGAATGTTTGTTTCATTTCCTGTTGATTTTTTACTACGCCATGCACTCAGCTGTGTCGATCTACAAAGGCCTTGACTGTCGAAAATAATAAACCACAGAGCTGAAATGCATGGGTATTTCCCACTCACAACATGAAATTCAACGAGTCTCATCACTAGAACATATTATATGTACCCCACGGTGCAGCGTTATCTGAACAGGATTTAGTTGAAAAAGATCTTAAATGACACAGCATACACCAAATACAGTGTCGACGGGTCACTTCTAGGCGATCGGACGGAATCCAGCTTGTCTTTGGGCACGCTTTGAAGAGAGCAGTCTTTTTCAGAACACCAAAGCAAACGAACGAACGTGTCTACTCTGTCGCCATTCCCTGGACCCTATCAGCTATTTTTAGCGAAGACCGGGAACGTAGCGGGGAAGAATGTTCGAAGATTACCTCGACAAAAATAATCCTCGAAAAATGTCCAACGAACCGCGACGTGGGCTGCTTGACGTTTGCTCTCTTTGCCTGTTTCCTGTGAAGGCCAAGTAGGCTATGAGCCCTGGTATTCCCTGGTTCTCACAGTGGAAGATAACTCAGAAAGGGTAAGCATCCTGAACAGGCAAATAAAGTAAAAACTTTCAAGAAAAGCCGGCAAACTCTAAATGCACAATGCAGGTGGGGAGTCGCACTGACCGGGTCTCCACAGCTCAGGCAGGTGGGAGAATTTTCTAACCGATAGGGGTCGCCCGAGTTGCAAAATGGATTGGACACGAGAACTGCTTGAGCACTCGACTTCGGCTCGTAACAATCAATGCCTCGGCGGACACTCAGGTAGTGGCTCGTGTCCAACCACTGTGGTGGTGAGAACAGCCCAAGTCTAACAATGTCCGGAGCTCAGCACGCACTTTCTACTTTGCCAGTCCCAGTACATGGGTATGACTAATGTTGGCGGCATGGGATAGGCACCAGGCCATGGGGCCGCTTGTTCTGGCTTCGAGTTGAGCGGATGAACGATGCTCTTATTTCTCTAATCTGTTTGGCGACAGCCATTGCATAGAAAGAAAAACAAAGGCAAGTTTATTCAATTATTAACGTTAGGAAGTGATTCTAAGTAGTATTTAGAGAAAGTAGAAAAATCGTTTTATGGATCCTTTAAGCTTTCCTGCAAAGCAGCTGCGTCTAGCTATAAAGCCAATTCAGCTAGAGCAGGACACGGTGCATCCTTGTAGTTTTCCTGCAGTGCAGCCATGTCTGGCTGCAAAGCCAGTTCAGTCACTATAGGACATGCTGCACCCATTTAAGTCTCTTGCCAGCTGACTAGCCACAGCACCAACACAACTTTACAAGATCCAGTTTCACGGTAAAGCTTATTAGATTGAGGACCACAACAAGTTATCTGAAGTTCTAATGCTCACATCCAGTTACCATTGCACTGTTAATGCCTCACTCCAAGTGCTTCCCTTCCCATTTCCCTTACGCCCCCTTTATTCGAAACACATCACTTTTTGTGTCTCTCAAGTAACTGCCTCGCCGAGCTGTTCACGGCTCAATACTAGAACTACTCTTTCCCCATTTCTGAATCTCACTTTCAGAACACATTTTGATCATCCTGACGAAGACTGGTAAGAACAGAATCTGTGATAGACCTTGCACTTATCAGCATTCGTCAGCAGGGTCCCTAATAAAGGCTCTTCCCGCTGCTTCTGCCATCTCTTACATTCTCACTAAGCTAGCCTTTCTTCTTCCCCCGAGGCCACGATGAAAGAAGAGAGAGGCATCTGAATGGCACTGCCTCGCTACAAAGCAAGTGTGTCCAAGATTCACTCCCATTTCCGGCAAAAGCCGCGAGATGGCGCAGCATGACATGCTCACACTTTCGAAGCAGTGCAAAAGGGTATCTCTTTGCGTCGTGAACAAACGTCACCCCTCGCTAGCTCAGTCAATAAAGCACTTGGCACGGAATCTCAAGGTAGCAAGTTCAAATCCTGCCGGGGGACTGAAGTCTTTTAACACAGTTTCCTATGGGCGTAACGCTTTCTGTGTCGGTTTTTTCTTTACAGCCAAACGTTACAGATTTCCATGAAAATCACCTGATAAGACACATCCTGTGATAATAAAACACTGTCATGGCCTTATTTGAGTACACCAAACTACCGCTTCAATTACTGCTTCTCTCTTAAATGTGTGGCTAAGTCCCCTTAGGCACTTCCAGAGAACAAGCAGGGGCTTTCGACTCACCCGGACTTTCTTCAGCCAGAGCACCTCGTCGTTGAGGAGCTGCTCAGCAGCCGCCAGGGTACACCTGCTGGAGCATGCACAGCTGAGCAGGGCACACAGCAGCCCGAAGAGCTCCTGACACTGGGACGCGTGATGCTCGAGCTCCTGCGATTCAGCACCACTCCAAGTCATCAAACAAAGCAAAATGGAGTTGGTTCTTCAGAAACAAAGACAGCCCACACTGAAAACATAAAACATCAACGAGGCTTTTACCATGCAGCTTAAGAAGTGTTTTATCTTAGTCGGGGAGTTGTGGAAGAGCAAGCCAAAAACAGCAGAGGCCCAACTCACAGGCAGCTGGGCAAAGAGCAGCTCCACCATGAAGACCAGGCAGCCGTGCCCAGGGTAGCACTGGGTTGCCACGAGGCACAGCTGATCCGCTGCACACTGCCGAATGGACCTGCAGTAAGGGGTACTCTGAAGTGGACTGCCAGCATTTGCATCGGCCAACGGCGAACGGAAGTGTGCGTGATCCAGCCCTAACACCAGGCACCTGTGCCAGAGCTCATATCCACACAGGTGGGCCTATCTACAGCAGTACCTTGTTGATACATTCTCAGTTAGTACGTTTTTCCTTGGTGACCCAATTCCCCCAGTTCCATTTCGTATGGAGTTAGAACTCCGTAATTACGCACCACGCGTGAGGCGCACAAGTCAAGCTTCGCTGCTCTGCGTCGGCATGCTACAAGAAGCGGCTGACACGGGGGAATATTGGCCTCTTGGTGTCAGCTCCAGGGGCTTGGAAAGTTCGCTTGCTCTTGAGGGTCGATTTCTTGGTTACTAGGTTGACCCCTGAACTTTGAGAACGTTGCCAGATAAGAGATGTCGACCTATATTTGAAGAAATACGGCACTTTTTTGCAACCGGGAAAGTCCATGTGAAACAAATTGTTGATGATGAAAAACAACACGCAATGCAAGGACAGACAGGAGTGCCTTCTCCTGTATGTATTTCTCCCCTCTGCGTCCTTGTGTTTCGAACTGTTTTTCATCATGAACGTTTACATAATAGCCCAACTGTCCATTCTTGTAAACAAACTGTTGTGCACTAGTTGCTCTCTGTCTAATCTATGGCCCCTCGAGAGTGTTATTGGTCGTAACATTTTCCTGAATCACCCATCTTTTTTTATTTTTTTTTGTGAGGGTCCCCTCAAATACGAAATAAAGGGGATCAAGGGATCTCCTGCACAGCGAACCGGCAGTCCAGCCGCCGCTGCCCACCTGTTGGGGCACATGAGCAGCATGTCGAGCACAAACTGGGCCCACGGCTGCGTCTCCAGCATGAGGGTGTCCAGGGCCTCTGGCTGCAGGGCCAGGGCCAGGGTCAAAACCTCCAAGGCCTCCTGGCACAGCTCCAGCTGCTCCTCCTGGAAACCACACACCCTGCTGTCTCTCCTTGCCCATACCGGTCTTGACGCGTGCATCCGGGTATGCATGACGCGCCGACTCCTGCCTTCGGTTTTGCACGGACAAGGGACGGCCGTAAAAGCTAATCGGCTTGACCACGCTGCTTCGAACGCTTCTTTGACCGGTTTGCCTGGCACTGGTGTGAAGCACGAGCAAATACAAATGTCACCGTCGTCGCGGTGTCCCAACTCGCGACTCCCCAAGTTTACGTGGGCGACAAAGCCGAATAGTGGCCTAAGGCGGAACAAGCGTCTGCTGCGTTTGAGTCTGCCGCTGCGGCATCGCGAGGGTCACGGTGAACGACAGCATGACGCAAGTGCGAAGACGTCGGGCAGAAATTGAGAGACCACAAATGAGGATGCCGTAACCACACCAGTCCGAGACATGTTCTAGGCACCGGCATGATGGAACGTGCGAATAGTTTCGCATTCGACGAAATTTGCCATTCAAACTAAACACAAAGGTCGTCGAAGTCGTCAGGCGGAACTTAAAAAGAAGATTCATGGAAGAGGCTCGAAGTGACGACCGACATTTCGCTGAAAACAAGTCCCGAGGAAGCCCCATGTCTTGGTTAAATGACGGCTGCTACTTCAAGGTTTCCCATAGGCACCTTTCTGAAACTGCTGCGTTGATTGGGGATCCTGATACATGCAGTCTCCTTCAAAGGTTAAGAACTACAGTCTTAGCAATAAAAGCGTGCACACAATCAATGGCCCCAAGAAACGCCCAAACACCACTTTTGTGGATGCTGCATCCAAGGTCAACAAAAGCAATGTCGCTTTTGTGAATGCAGTCTCTCGAGAACAAAGCCATTTTTTTTTCGCGTTCCTGGGGATGGACAGTGTGAATTCGTGGTGCAACCCTCCGGACGACACTTTTGGCCCACGACAAAACGAGTGCTCGGTCACTTGGGGGGTTTGGGGACCTAGATAGAATGGGACCAAAGGGCAAGTGAGGAGACACTTGCCTTGGGCGGCACCACCTGCGACCCGGGGGCCTTGCCCGACGCTGCCCAGGCCAGCTGGATCAGTGCCCGCACCGTGCTCAGCTCGGGCAGGTAGGTCGCACCCTGCACACACAGTGTGGCATTGGCACCCCGCCCCTTCTGCAGCCATACTACTAATAATGATGTAAATAAAAGCAATAATAATTATGTTAAATAAACACACACTGGTACTAGTATGGGTGTGGTCACGTCAAAGCCAACCAAAGGCATGTGGAAGGACAAAAAAATGAATACAATAAAAATAATAGTATTAATATTACCGTAAAATCCCGTAAGGACATCCTCCCATGAGAGATCGTCCATCCCCTTTTTCTGGCTAAATATCAATAACATTAAAATTCCAAAACACGACCCACCCACCGATTCCCGCCGGACGTCACGAGATGTTCAACGGGAATGGCATCAACCGCGCAATGTGCTGTACAGGCACGTCTGACAGCGAGTTTGTAGTGGGTTCCCGCTTTTTTGTCTGCAATCTGCAGCCGCGATATCAGTTCCCATAAGACATGAGTTGTTCCTGCGTGTATATTGTATCGCGAAAAGCGAATCTGGTGTGTCTGCGATCTGTGGAATCCATTACCGTGACATGCAAGTTTGTGGCGGATTCCCGTATATTTTCTACGCCGTGGAACTTGAACCTGCTCTGTCTGCGATTTGTGGCATCCGCTCCTGTGAAGTGCGAGTTCTTGATGGGTTTCCGCGGGTCTTTTGCACCGTGAAACCTAAATCTGCCGTGTCCGCAACCTGCGGTATCCTTCCCCGTGACGCAGGACTTAGTAGCAAATTTCCGTGTGTTTATCGCATCATAAAACGCGAATTTGTCATGTTACGTGGTTGGTAGCAGGTGCCCCGGTGTTTATCACTAATTTTATAAAGTTCTCCGGTTGCATCCCTAAAGATAACCGACCCCATGTTTTTTTTTTGACCATTTTATCTCTTCATTTTAAGTTGGCATTCTTACGGGATTTTACGGTAATAATAAGTTTATTTTCACATACTGAAATTAAGAAAGTTATATACAGGGTGTTAATACTGACAGCCCTATTACGATCCATACGCACTGTGTCTCACGTATTACATGCAACATAACCAATGTTTCGAATCTTTAATATGAGCAGTCAGATAGAAATGCCATATCTTGCGGCCTTGCAGAAAAGCAACTTGAGGCAAATGCATCAGTGTTTCATACAGGAGTGTTTTTCTCAAGTTTATATAAAATGAATTGTCCTTAAATGATTGACATGAATGCTCAGCGAGGCCCTCAGATGAGCAGTAGGTGCACAGCCTCCAACATTTGGGGGTGGGGCGGGGTGCATCTTGTGCCTGGTTCCCTTTCGCAGCATATCAACCAGTCAAATAATAATAATAATAATAATAAAAAAACAACAACCTTATTTTAAAGTGTTCATGTCCATCAATCAAGAGAAAATATGGTAAGATAAAAAAAAAAAAAAGACCTGCTAGCCAGTAAACCTGCTAGCCAGTAACTATTTGGAAGTTTCAACTAAAAAAACAACTGACGGAATATACACCCCATGTTTTGAGGGACTACACCCGACCTTCAAAGCCCCGCAATCAAAGAAGGCATTACACAAGGTGTAGACAAGTTAGGGATCCCATACATTAATTCAACAACAAAAACAAATAAAACTCACAAAAAAAACAAAGCGATAAACAGAAATTATACAGTCAAACTAATTCAAACAGACAAATGCTGCAAGAAATAACAAAACAATACTGTGATACAACTATGAGTTAAGGAATTTAGTTGGCGTATAATTTTTATAACTCTAAGTTAGCATCTGTCACAAAGAAACAATTTTGAAAGGTTGTCGTGTGCTCCGACCCTGTGAGGTTTTCAAATGTATAATCAAAAGAAAGAAAGGAAATGCGGATGGCTGCTGAAGTGTGCACTGTGTCCATGGGCTTTTAGCTATACAAGACCGAAAATCACCAGCATAATCACACCAAGTGAAAAGAGCTTGTGAAAGGAAGTCCGCGCAGGCGAATCATTTTTGCAGCGCTTTGCTTCCTGCAGCAGCGGACACCTTCAAAGTGCTGCAGGAAGGCTCCTCGAAACTCGGGGGGGTAAACCACGGAGGAGGTTGCGGTAAGGGAGGGTCCCTCAACTCACCCCGTGTCTCAGCAGCTGCGCCAGCCGCTGTGCCACACTACGCAGCATGCACTCGGGCCCTGGGTTGGGGATGTGGGTCAGCGCCTGCTGCAGCAGGGCGCCCCTCCCCTGGGGACTCTCCTCCGCCCAGCCCCCCGCGGAGGCCGCATCGGGGGCCCCCAGGGACAGGCACTGGCCCACCGTGGTCAGCAGCAGCTTGCTCAGCTTCAGCAGCAGCAGCTGACCGCTCCTGAAACGGGGCCACTCACTCTTGGTACGTGCATCTGCCCCTCCCGCCTCCTATTTGCAGCAGGAAGGCGCAGCTTTACAAGATTTGAAACCCATAACTGCATCAAGAGGGGGGACGATAGGTTGACAATTTTGAAAGCCTCGAACGGTACACATAGCGTGCACTGATGTCACTAGGTCAGACATAAAAGTTGTAGCAATCGCTGGGCGGTTATGTTACACGCGAGACGTTCCAGTTTTGCTCCGGAACGTTACCGAACCCGGTACCTACGCTCACGGTGTTCTTCATCCGATAACTTAACTCGTGGCATATAAACCTGATAGCGGTTCCTGGAATAAAAATGCTGGCACTAATCAAGTTTAATTTTTTTTCCTTATTCTTTTGGTTACATAACCTCCCCATCAGCCAATCAGCAGAGAGCTTTGTTGATCCACCTTCATCACTGCATCACTTCTGGGCTTCATCGAAATCCAAACACCCACCTGACTAGACAAAGAATGTTTCATATTAATAGAAGGAAGGGCGCGAGGGCGCGTAGCTTCCGCTGCGTTAGGACGGTGCTTCTGGCCACGAGAAAAAAGGGCGGACTGACGTCACGTGCAAACCATGTTATAGGATGGCTTTTTGGTGGGAACCAGCTGAACATAGAAAGAAAGGAAGGAGATAAGAAAAGACCATTGACTGCTGGACTACACTAACTCTTTTATTGAACCTGCCTCTTCTTCTTGTAGTGTTGTTAATATCACTCCCAATATTTGCGTCTGCTTTTTCTTCATTAATCTTTTTGTTTCTCACTTCTTCCTATGTCTAATGAGCAAGATGATTGGAGTCCTACAGAAACAGTTTTACAGTGATAGCTGTTGTGGGCTCTTCCCACAACTGGAAATCATGTCCGTTGTTGATGTTGCAGTTGTAGTAGTTGGCAATTTAGGGCGTTCGTCGACGATGTTCCAAAATCCTTAAAAAAGATCACCCGCTGCTGCCGCCCCTGGGAACTGAACCTGGGTCCACTGCGTGCAAAGCGGAGATGTTGCCACTGAGCTATGCCACAGCATTAATAACCCACTCTATGTTTTGCGTTTTTTGTAGTACGCAATGCCCATTGTATGCGCTCTCTGCAATAACAAAATGCCGCCATAGCACTGTCCATGACAAGAGCTTGTGCCGAGAGACGCGCGTTCATGCGCTCCAGAACAAAAAAGAAATAAAAGCATTGGGAACAAAATGGTCAGATGTTTATTTTGTTCCGAATGCTCATGTTCACACACCCCATGGTGCGTGAGCGCGACCCTGATGCCGAACGACTTCGCCGTGATGTGTGGCAGCTGTCAAGGTGAATGTAGTCTGGATTAATGCAGGACTGCTCCAATTTTTTCACAGTGGAGCTGTTAAGGGCTAGTCTTCCCAGTATCATGTCTGCGTGTCGATACAAAACTCCAAACAGGTACTGCCATCTAAGAGCGACAGTGACAACCAGACAACTGGCTTGCCGGTTCTCTGGTTGCCGCCGTCGCTCATAGATGGCGGCAACCTTTCTAGCCTTTCCACTCTGGCTTTCACCAGAGCGGAAAGGCTGAATTTCTCTAGGCGTCGTCCTAGAAGTCGTCTTTGAAGTCGTCCCTGAGGTCATCCTTGAGGTCGTCCAAGAGGTTGTACTCGAGGTCGTCCTAAAAGTCATCCTTGAGGTCGTCCCAGACATCCTCGAGGTCGTCCAAAAAATTGTCCTTGAGGTCGTCCTAGAAGTCATCCTTGAGGTTGTCCTAGACGTCGTCTTCGAGGTCGTCCTAGACGTCGTCCTAGACATCGTCCTTGAGGTCGTCCAAGAAGTTGTCCTCTAGGCATCGTCCTAGACGTCTTAAAGATAACAGCTTCGCTGGTCCTCACTTTTCACGTGAAATGGAAGGGCTCTACATTTTTCTTCCAGAGAGCGCATGCAGTGGGCATCACATACACTACAAAAAACCCCAATAATAAACCAGGTTAAGAACACACTGTGGCATGGCTTTGTGCCAACGCCTCTGCTTCGCATGCCGCGGTCCCAGGTTCAATTCCCCCGGGCTACACTTTTCAGGAATTTGGCAACATCGACGACGGACGCCCTACTACGTCAACCGTAACGTCAACATCTACAGCAACATGAACGAAGGACGTCATTTCCAGTGGTGGGAAGAGACTGTAACAGCTATCGCCGTAGAAAAAGAAGAGCAAATATGAGTGCCCTATTTGTCACGGTGTCGTAACTCATGGCCGCCTAATCCTGTGCGAACTGTCAAGCTGGAAATCAACCCATAGCAGAATAGATGTCCAACGTAGAGAGCTCCACTGCTGCGGTATGGTCATGTCTCGTTAAAATGGATACCCTGCCATATGGACACCGTTTGGACAATCTTTGAGAAGAACGGAGGTGTCCCCATCAACGAGACATCACCATACCCAGGGATGGGCAAAATACATGAAAATATGTATCGAAATACAAATACAAAATACTTCGTCAAATGTAATTAATTACAAATCTAATTACATTTCCAAAAAAGAATTTAACCACAAGGTACAAATACAACCAAATGTATTTGGTCTCCTCCAAATACTTTTCCAAATACATTCCTCAAAATTTGCGTCAGCGACTTCAGGGCACAAAGGGTTTCTGGGTATCTTATTTTAATTTTGCATCGCACACTCGGGAGTTAGTGTGCGAGGCTCTAGTAACAGAATAGAAATATAATCACAAAAACATGTAATCAGCTTGGACGTAATAGGTGAAAAAAGTACAGAGCTTCAAGCAGCTTTTTTTGTCGATTACATTTTGGTATCGACCAACAAAGATCCGAGACAACTAAGACGCGCAGCACTAGCTAGAGAATTTTTTTATTGTTGCAACTCGCATCAGTTACGAAAATCTGGACGACCCGCGCATTTAGCATATTCCAGGCAAAAATATGGATGGAAATCAGGCTGGAAAGCATCACAAGTTGTCACGGGCACTTATTTAGCCAGTCTGCCTGTGAACGTTGATTTCGTCGCTATTCTTGCCCTGGACTAGCACCGTAATCACAAAGTCACTAAACGATTGTGCTTGATTGAAAGACACTGCATTCGGTGCAGAACATAGTTTTCTTCCTGCTCTGGACAGTGCCTTTAAAATAAAGCCGGAGGAGAAAAAGAAAATAGCCCCATGGTCGAATAAAGGATGGAGACTATATCTTACAACCACATGCATAAAGAGAAGAATTCTCGTGAAAATAAATTTGAGGGATGTATTTTTGCCCACAAAATTGTAGGTATTTAATTACAATTGTATTTGACATACCCACGTTTTAGTATTTAAATACACACATCAAATACATTACCCAATTTGTAATTAAATACAAATGCAAAATACACAAAGTATTTGAAATACGTATTTCAAATACTAGTATTTGAAATACTGCCCATCCCTGACCGTATCTAAACAATCACGGCAGGCAACAGCACGACACCTCCACAATGTCATCGGGCCAAAGACCAAGGGACTACACTCGAGGACACAGCAAACGCGCCAGTCAGAAACGTGTTCCAGGCGCCACAGAATGAGAAAGGAGGCAATCCGAAGACTTGTCAGTGTCATCACCTTCGGCTGGAGGGGTCCAGTCCCGAGAGGAAGCGCTCCTGGGTGAGCATGCCCAGCACCAGGGGCACACCCCCGCTCTGCACAAAGCCGCACTGGAATTGCTGGGCCTCTTCCGAGCACGGGTTCTGGGCGGGTAGCAGCAGGGCATACACCACCTGCAGAATGCGGAGCAGGCACCCAAAGGGACCGAAGTATATTGGCAGGCTCCTGATGATAGGCGTGACGGTGGAGGTAGTCATGAATATTTGTTAGGGTTAAGGAGGAACACTGGTCTTGCAGCTTTTTTCTTATTTCATGATCAAACCCAATTAAACTGCACAAGCTTATTCAACCTTTTGAGTTGATTTCAAATATCTGGTCATTTCCTCAGTCAGTAGAATTGTCCTCAAAATAAATAAAACTCACCTGCCTTTGTTTGGAGAAACAAAAGGGGAAAAAAACTACTCAACATAATATCCCCTTTAACACATGGCTAGATACTACGAAGTGTAGAGAAATCAATATTGGAGGCACTTTTAGGATTAACCCATTATTAGTAATTTTATCACACATGGAAGTTCAGTGCTCAATATGCGGCTAACAAATACTAGAACAAAAAATCAATTAAAAATTTTCTTGGACGTATATTAAAAAATCCACTCTCAACATGCTTCGCACATTTAGCCACATGTTTCAGGAAAAGTTATGTTTCTATCTGCCTAAATACTAAGATATTCCTCATGCAAATTTTTAAAAAGTCCAAAAATTGTGTTTTGTGGAAACAGTTCTTTAGAGTTGACTGCAATGCACATTCAGCCTGCATAGACATTATAAGTTGATTTATAGCTCAAGTGTTAATCCACAAAATTAAAAACCTGGTAGATTCAGGAAAGCAACAGCTGTAAGGGTCAACATTGCCATTTTCGAAAGAATGAAGCTTTAGGAATTTTCTGCCTCCAAAGACCCCATTGTCCCCCCTTAACACTCCCTTTATTCGTTACTACATCCAAAACCACATCCAATCGCTCTCCCCCACAGAGACCCAGTCCCGCATTTTCCCATTGCTTGGTCCCCCTCTCAGATTCCCTCTTTTTCCTAGCAGCTGCAATTTCCTAGCCCCTCTCTCCCCAGATTCCCCCCTGGCAGCTCGGGACGTCGACCCTCACATATTAAATGATTTGCAAGACCTTAGACTCATTAAAGAGTGGGCTTTCTTCCCTACAGAGTGTCTGCAATTGACCGTCATAGCTCTGATAATACGTCTATTTATACTGTCTTCCACAAGTAGTGAAGTATAGCGCAACAATAGGATCGCTCTGCCGGTCGCTCACCTCGAGGTGATACAGCAGCTCGGTGGGTGACAGCGATCGCAGCAGGGAATCCAGAGAAGGGGTTGTGGTGCCTGGCTGGTGGCTGCAATGCTGGCGCAATTTCTCCATTGTCTGCACATCTGCATTTCCCAACCTCTACCGTTAGGTTTGTTTAGTCAGTGACAATTCAAGAGAGCATGTCTCCCCCAAATTGATGGAAGTGTGCTCGGGCATCTATCGGTGCCCGTACCATAACGTAAGCTATGACCCATTCGGACTGTCCACCTTCTATTAATTTCTTCCTTTACCAAAGTAATCCATCGAAGCATCACATCCATTGAAGCAACCTCTCCTCAAATGGTTACTGAACTCAATTTCTCATTCATTAATCATTTGAAGTTAACAAACTGGTAGTTCACTAACCACTGCCTCGTGAACTATCAGACTTGTCGACCCCTGCAGGGATTAAAGAACCAGGTAGTGGTTAACGAACTAGCCTGTCAGCAGTCAAAACTGTGAAAGCAACTTGAGCCGGGCTTTAAACTAAAAAGGAGGTTTCCCCCTCACCCGCAGGCAGGATCTTGAGCAGCGCCATGGCCCCTTCCCTGAGCTGAGGCACCTGAAGAGAGCTGCCCAGGTCAGCCAGCTTGAACAGGAATTGGGTGTACCGGGGCTGCCTGGACATCAGCTGCAGGGGAAAGGCACCGGGGTTGATCCAGAAGCAGCCGGTAACAGCTGCATCTCCAAAATTAAAACCCCTTTCCAGGCCCTCTTCCTCACTTTGCTTCCACCAAGAGAAGTTTGGTACAATTCACTGACAAATTCAGCTAAGGGGTTAAACGGAGAGCAAAGCATGAATTTGGGGGATTGGCAAGCGCTAGCGACGAATCCGAAAACAGTATGAATACATTCGCTGCATGCCGCCATGTTAGTAAATTTCTTTTCCACCTCCACCGTTTTTGCACTCATTTTTTTAACCTCGCCACACCTAGGAACATCAACGACAGTACCGGCACATCGCATTGGAGCTTACTGCTGCAACAGCATATGGACAGAACTAAACTTGCACGCCACGTTCGGAGGTTATTTGTTCGAATTATAATCTGATACACATTGTTTTGGGGAGAAATAAGAGTAGAATTATAAAAGAAGCTCCTCTTTCTCCCTTCTCCATCCAAAACAAAAAGCTTCTTCAATAGCGAGTGAGTTGTGACAGCACGACGTCTGTCACGCCAACGTGCATCCCGACGATGCAGTCCTCACCACGCCAGGTAGGCAGGCCTCTGCGTCCGACCGCGGTCCCTCGTACTGGTGCTGAGGGGATCCCACGGAGCTGTCGGAGCTGGACTCTGGTGACGAGGGTACCTGGGAACCCAGCTGGCACAGTTTTGCAGACAGAACCTGAAAGACAAACATCACTTTCCTTCAACACTCCACACTACAACACAAGACACCAGATCACTCTGCTCACAATGAGGCAACAAAGAATGTGACAAAAAACAAAAAAATTTACATGAGTATACTTAAGACTGCTTATGTGTAGGAAGACAAAGCATTATAGTCCAGCGGGAAAAGTGTTTCTACACGTATTAAAGTTTAGGACAACACATAAGACGACGTTGAGGACGATCGACGCCAAGTATGGCGTCTAGGACGACCTCTAGGTAGTGATGCAAAACTATCGATAAATTGACTATCGATACTATCGATAGTTTTTCCAAAACTATCGATAGTGTCCCAGAACTATCAATAGTCGACTATCGATAGTACTATCACTAGTTTTTCGATAGTCGACTATCGATAGTACTATCGATAGTTTTTCGATAGTCGACTATCGATGGTTTTTTACTATACTGGCGACTAACGATACTATCGCTAGTGCTATCGATAGTCTTGCACCACTATAGTCCGTTACAACTCAAGAAGGCAGGTCGAGGGTAAGATGGGCCGGGGAGGAGGAAGCAGACGGAACGCTAAAGAGAGAAGGAGGTTTCCCCCTCTCTTCTCCAGCGGTTCGTCTGCTTCCTCCTCCCCTGCCCGTCTTGCCCTCACCCTACGGTTCGCCTCCCCCTTCTTCTTTTTTCGCCCTAACCCCCATCTTCGTCATCACTGAAAGCTGAACCAAAGTTGGGATGGTAAGTGCCTGGACTAGTTGGTGCCCCGTTTGAAAAAAAAATTAAAGCGATAAATAGACAAGAGGGTGCGACGCAAACTACTAGTGTCGCAAAACTATCCATAGTAAACTGTCGACAGTACTATTGATAGGTTTACGATAGTCGACTATCGATAGTTTTCCGATTGTCGATTAACTATAGTTTTCTGATAGTCGACTATCCATAGTTTTTCGATAGTCGACTATCGATAGTACTGTCGATAGTTTTCCGATAGTCGACTATCGATAGTACTATCGATAGTTTTTCGATAGTCGACTATCGATAGTAGTATCGATAGTTTATCGATAGTCGACTATTGATAGTACTATCGATAGTTTTTTTCACTATCGATAGTCAGATTTCTGGCGACTATCGATACTATCGATAGTTTTGCACCACTACCTCTAGGACAACCTCAAAGACGACATCGAGGACGACCTCTAGAAGAACGTCTAGAACAACTTCTAGGACGACCTTAAGGACAACGTCGAGAACAATGCCTAGAGGACGATGTCGAAAACGATGCCTAGAGGAGGACACTGAAAGAGGCTGTGGTGTATTTGCGTGGGCGGCCACATATGCCTGCGGAAGCCGCCGTAGATGTTGCCTCACAGTCCATCGCACAAACTACACAATGAGCACAGATGAAGTTTGAAGCGACCTTTTGCAGACGGCGCTCCGGCCGTGACATCCCGCTGATGACGCTTGACGACGTATTTTACACCGGAGCTGTTTATGGCTAGGGTTCTGTGGATTTTTCGTGTGCAGTGACTAAGAACTCTATGCTCGCACCGCCGCATGCGCCACACGCGCACGCCTTCCCCGTATCAAAGATTCAATGGAAATAACCCAAATAAAGCGTTGATGAACGTGCATGCAAGATGCCATTTGTTTTAGGCTTTTCCTTTAGAACAGTTACTGCTGCAGATACTGGCACGTGCGGCATGTGGAACACCATTCCCAGCATTCTCCTAGGTACTTGGGCAATAGGTCTATTAACAATATGCATCATTTTTAAGATCAGTAGACTCTCAGGTAAATAATAAAGATTTCTCAAAGATTTGCCGCTGTGCAACCCGCGTCGGCCATGTCTACACTTGTACCGCCCTCTCTTTGTCGTCTTTCGAAGCGCTTGCGTGCCTAGTTTCCTTTCCTTCCGCTCGCCCGGGGTGGCGGCCCCGTCGCACGCGTCTACTTTCCGCCGGGTGGCGGTCCCGTCGGACGTGTCTAGTTTCCTCCGGCTCCTCGGGGCGGGTCTGTGTCGTCTGCTAAACAGCTTCACTGGTCATGCACCTTCACAGAGTGGAATGGTTCACGAGTTTTTATGGCCATATTTTGATCACAACGCCGTCGGACGCTGCTTGTTTTCCAAGTACTGTAACAAGTGAGGTCATCCTAGAGGTCTCGGACGACTTCTAGGACGACCACAAGGAAGAGGGGCGACCTTGGGCATACCACTGAGCAGCACGTGCCGCTCAATCGCCTTTTTATGGCCATTTACTCCGATTTGTCGCTCAAGGGGACAAGTAAGGCTATCGCTTAAAACAAAAGGAAGCAAATGGCATGCCATTCAACTGTTATCCTATCTTTCGGTGGTCTACGTTTGTACACTGATTATTACAAATATAACCACTTGCGTGGCCGAGTTGGCAGTGCAATGTGTCCGCTCAGCATAAGCATAAGATTCGAAACCCAACAGAATAGTTCTTCCTTTTATGCCTTATTTCCTGCTCTCAAACTTTCCAGTAGAATCTCAATATTTATCGTGTGTTTTCTCTAAGAATTTTATCCACACCATTAATATAAAAAAAGCCATGGCTGGCAGCATCCAATTAGTCACACTTTTGTTGTCGCTGCAGTGAATACAAAAAAATACCTTTCTTGATTTAGTTTCAGGCACAAGTTTGCCTTAACGTTTTCTTTAGTTTTACATTCATCTGCTCTTTTTATTTGTGACAATATGGGAGTAATCTACATTAGAAGGAGTCCGAAACCCACCATTCTGTCCTTGATGGGGAGTTGGGACACCAGTTTCTTGTCGTCTGCCGGGTCAAGCAGTTCCGCATTGATGAAAAGGTCAATCTTCATGTTGATGTTGTTCACTTTCACCCTGCAAGGAGAGGAGCCAGAACATGCTTTTGTTTTCCCAGGATAGGACTTAAAAGAAGGGTAGATGCTATACAAAAGATGTGAAGGAGGTAAGGTACAGAGCGCGACACTGCTAGCGCGAACAAGCGATCGCAAGTTTTCTGTGTTTTCCTTTTAAAACCGAAAGGCTGTCATCAAAAATATCCTCGTTATAGAAAGAGCTCATCTAGGGCTCTCATATAAGGGGTAAAACCTTGTGCCCACTAATATTCTTTCCTAATAAAATGCGAAAAGGCGCCAATGTCATGTTCGCGCTAACAGTGTCGCGATGTGTACACCTAGACACATTTAACAAATTAACTTACGTGACAAGCAAAAAAAACAAAACAGGCTCAAGTATTTTTGAACTACAGCCGCCTACCGATTTTTTGGACGCCAATAATTCAGACTTGTTCGATATTTCGGACCTAAAAGAGGAACTATGACCTACCCGACAGAAATAGTGCATATTCACGACCAATGTTGCGGACAGCTTGAAATCCCAAAAATGAGATTTTTCGCACAAAACTGTCGCGAGAGATCCGCGGGAAACACCACCGAGAAGTCGCCATTTTAGATTCTATGTTGGCTGCACATGGGTTGGCTTGATTTGGCAGCGCCACTCGAGTATTGCTAAGTCCTACCACTAGGGTACGCTATGCCACAGCTTTTTTCTTTTTTCTCTTGCTGCGCGTCATTATCATCAGCATTGCTACAATTTTGCTTTGTTCATTCGCCATTCTGCAGTCGTGAACTTGTGCCTCTCATCTTGTTTCGATGAATCATGTTTTCGGACTATGCCGGCTTGGAGATCGTGACCTCGAAATGTCGCTAAGAAGCGCAGAAAGTACTCAACCATAACGCTAGAAAAGAAGGCAGCGATTCTCAAGCTAATAGAAAGTGGCCGAATGCAAGCGGAGGCGTAACCTGAAGCAATGCACTACTAAGGGCTTTTTTCAAGCCCGCTTCGACGTAATGAAGCAAGTTTTTTATTCTGCAGATTTTTCGGACTGCTCTGTTATTCGGACACTTCTTCAATCCCTGCGAAGTTAGAAAAATGGGTCGGTGAGTAGATTCCCGAACATCCCAATAAGAGCGGATTCCTCGAACAGAATTGACACTAAAAGGTACACTGCTGTCTGCACATGACCACCCAGCATCTTACAATAATTTCAGAGTGGGCCCCTTTCAAAGACCAGCGCGGTTTTTAAAATGAAAAACCCAAAATTCTCGGTTTAAAGCATGAAACACTGACCATGCTGTTCAAGGTCTTGTTTTGCCTTTTCCTCTGTACTGCAGCTTGATAGCCACTAAGAGATTAACAACAACTTTTAATAGTTTAAAAGCACAATGTAAAGATGCAAACAGCCGAGGAAAGCAACAGAGGTCAGTGTCCCGACCACGTTACATGGCTCTGCTTCACGTTACATGGCTGCGCGGCAGAGTAGCATAGGTCTAGATTCTTATCGGTTTCCCTTTTTCCAACATCACAGAGCTATGCTGCGGGGAAGCTTAGTTCTCATTCTCGGTTCCTGCGTTTTCCACAAAACAAAATTGAGCAGGCACTGCGCAGTGGAGCTGTACATACAGCGGCTAGCGATGAGCTAGAATGCGCAAACGGCGACCAGGCAGTACAGACTATGCGGTGTCCAGTGATGTGATTGGCCTAAGCCATTTTGGAGCACCTTTTGGAGCAGCCAAAACAGTGTTTTGGAGCAGCGAAAGTGGCTTTTGGAGCAGATATTCTAAGCTAAAAATATTCGTTTTAAGTGGCGGACAAACGAAAGGCACTTCTTGCTGCTTTCTGACAGAACTCGCTGTTTGTGTTTTTACGGCTAAGACATCCCACAAGTGTATTGTAGGCGTTGCCGAGCAATTCCAAAAAGAGGGCATGCTACCGTTTTACTGGTTCCCGACGTGCCAGATTTTCATCAAAAGTAAGCAAACGTAAAACAATGGATTGCAAGCGTCCCGCTGGTGCCTCTGTCGTAGTCGTAGTATGCAAAATGCAACTGTCCAGCATGCGACAAAAAAAATAAAATAAAACAGTCCAGCGGCGCGTGCTTGCCAGGCCGGAAGGCAAGACAAAGCTGAACACACAGAAAGAAAAAAAAAGAACCTGAGCGCATCGATGCATGACATCGCGAGCCAGGGTCAAAAAGTTCTTGGAGCACTTTGTGCAACGACTGAACTCGAGACAAACAAGCACGCTGTGCGGGTTCAGCGTGCAGACATTGCCTTCTTTGTTTTAGCTCACTTCTCTTCACCAACTTTCTTTCACGGCATATTTTTCACGTACCGGGGTTCTCTCGGAAGAAAGCCTACCGAGAAAAACCTAGGTAATCAATATTTCGACAAGCAGTCATTGAGCTAAAGAGGGATTTTTGTATTAGAGTATGATTTAAACAAAGACAGGAATGTCGATGAATAAGTTTAGGAAGTGCCATATCTGCAGCGACGTGGGGACGGCAACACCCGATGTCGCGCGACCACAGTAATTGTGCACAGCGCGAGCGTTTCAGCTCACAAAGTAACTCTCGCCGCGCAAAAACGTGGTTTTGTTTCACAGCATGACGACATTGCTGGCACCCGGCACACTAGCGTCGGAGCGTTCGCACACGCCCGCATCTATCGTTGAAAAAATTAGAAAAAAGACGCGAGACGAGATTCCCGAAGCGACGAGGGCGCGAAACGCGAGACGGCGGGAAAAACTATACAACGGGGGACCGGATGGACGATTCACGCAGGGTATCTTTGTGTCAGGAGCCGCTTGCGCCACCTAGCTCACGCATGCCTAATAGACCGATCTCACCAAGCGTTCCACGCATGCGTGACGCCGCCATAACTGTAGTTCGTAGGAGGCAGAAGCCAGTTCCCGAGGCAGCTCGTGCCGCCTCGTGCTCTGCTCGCGCAGACCTCCAGCAGGGTTATCGCGCGTGCAGAAAAACTACAGCTCCCACGATGCACGTCGGCAGCGGTGGCGTACTCAAACTAGCTGGTGAGATCGGACTATTGCGATTTTCAGTTTAGTTTCGGTTTTGAAAGGCTACCGAAATCAGTCCTTCGGCGCAGGCTTGGCGCAGATTACCCATATTTTGGCAAAATGTAGCAGGATGTAGCAGGGTTAGCCCATAGGCGCAGTTTGGCGCAATTGGCGCAGCAATCGCATCACTGGGTGTCTAACAGGCAATGAGTGGAGGGTCAGAATGGCAGTGGATGTGTTCAAGTCTGTCTACCACTCGCCCGCCGTGCGCGACACCTCCTCATCCCCGATGCACGCAGGGTAGACCTGTGACTGCTTGGTTCTTGGAGCCTGGTCGCCGTTTGTGCATTCCAGCTCGTATTGTTAGGCACTGTACATTTATACCCAAGTGTCTGGCTATTTGGAAGTCGCGACGGCAGAGGATTTCAATGACTCACTTGGACAGAATCTGTCGGCGTATCGAGCCTAGGGTGTCGTTTGTGTGAACCCAGAGCTCCAAGTCCTCCAGCTGTCGACCTTGGCTCGGAAAACGAACCGTCAGACCCAAGTGCTTGCCCCGATGAGCCCTGGGTGGAAAAGGCCACCGAGTTGATTCGGCTCTACGGACTGCAGCACGGTTAGCACCAACGAGTGATCTGCAGTTCTTTTTGTCTTCTCGTGGAAATAAAACTCATCAAAACTGAAATTATACACAGGCTCGATCGTGCTGACAAAGACCGGGGAGCACACAGTACATCCTGCACAAACCATGTGTGGTTTGTACTACATTTTTCATTCTTTTTATTACCTATTTTTTGCTTTTTATCTTCAAGTATTTTTATTTTATTATTTTATGTTTATTTTATAAATTGATTTACTCTGACTTTTGTTATTCATTTTTATTTACTTTATTATTTTCATTCAAAACCTGCCACTCTTGCCGGCAGATTTGCATTCAAATAAAATTAATTTATGCTGTCAGACCAGCTGTGCCAATAGCTCAGTAGCTATGACATCCGACTGCCACCGCACTAATCCGGGTTCGAGCCCCACCGAGGCTCATAATTTAAGTGTTAACTTTACATACAACCTTAATGTCCGTAACGCTCCCAGCGTGTCGCTCGTACATGACGTTCGTTACGTTGCTCGTTCACGACAATTTTCTCAAAGGAAACATCCCATGAAACACTTTCTGTGGTAAAGGATGACGGAATGTATTTAGGTTAGACAGCAACATAAGCCATACAATTTCAGCATCAGTCAATACCTTTTCGAGCAAACTGTCCAAAAAGCACCAACGCCGTGTCCGAACTATCCGTGTTGCACGGTGTATGCCGCACACTCACATCATCTGAGAAAAAGCTGAATGACCCTTTGGCCCATTTTTAAAACATAGCGAGGGAAAACTGAACTATCATTCAACCTTTTTCAAAATTCAACTTTACAGCCAAATAAAACTTGTATTAAAAAGATTATACAAGCTTGATCGTGCTGACAAAGACTGGCGAGCACAGCACGTGCGACGGGCCTTCCAGGGAAGAAAAGAAGGGCATCTGAACGGCACCGCTACCAAAGATATGCTCTCATTTCTGATACACACCGTGAGATGGCGCACCATGACAGGAAAGGCCACAAAGTGCCAAAAAGTTGCATGGTCTGAACACCAACCCTGGATAGCTCGGTCGGCAAGGCACTTAGCCCACTATCTCGACGTGGCGAGTTCAAATCCTGCCGGGGACTGAAGTCTTTTTATACGGTTTCCTATGGGCGCAACGCTTTTCGGTGTCTGTTTTTCGTTAGAGCTGGCTGTTATGCCCAGCCGTTACAGTCAAATGTTACAGAATTCCGTGGAAGTAGGCCGACAAAACAAATTCAGGTTTCGAAAATGTTAAGTGAATGTGACTGCCATTTATAGCTGCAAGATTACGTGCTAGCAGTGGGTAACAATCTAATCATGCACATCTAAAACACAAACATCATGTACGAACACGTTCAGTATGGCAAAGCGAAGTCACCAGCTGCTTTCCACTTTTTAAACGTCTCAAATAGGACCAATCTGTGGTTGATGATAATGATTAGGAGTTTAGTGTCACAGCAGCAACAAAGGCAATATAGTGCACAAAATTAAACATATTCAGAGAATACTAAAAAGAGTATCCAAGGCTAAATTATAACTGGTGTAGATATACAGTTTATGAAATAACAGTGAGTGTGCAGCCGAGCTGGTGATAATTAATCGTAACACCTGAGACAGTTGTGCAGATAAATTAGGGAACTTTAAAGTCGAAGAAAAGACAACAGTAGTATATCCATGAAAAAACGGTTAAAGTGCAGGCGAACTGGTGTAAGTTATACATGATGATTGAAAACCTGAGACTGTGGTTTAAAAAACAAAATATATAGTATATCCAGTTCGTTGAAAAAAATCTAAGGCATAGCTGAACAAAACAAAAGGTTCATCACCAAGCAAAAAGGTGGGGTCAAAATGAAAAACGATCTCTAAAAAGTTTTGGAAAATATGATCAACGTAGTAGGCAATGAGACGTATAATTCTATAGAATGCTTAAGGGGGCACACCCCCAGGGGGAGTCAACTTTTGAACCCTTGTTTTAAAATTAACGAAATTTACAGGGTAGGCTGGTCGTCATGCTAGAGGGTGTATGACAAAATTTCAGGTCTGTCGGTTAAATGAAAAGGAAATAAGAGTAGCTTCTATCAGCAACACGCCTACGTTGTTTAGTTAATCTATCGCCAGAAAACTATTGCAATATTAAAGATTTTTATTTGCTAGATATGTAGCAGAATGCCTAGAGGGTGCGGCTATGGAACATTTTTTCTAAAAAGTAATTCATTTCTATAAACTTTCTCTTCTGCAAAATTGGTCAACTTTTTAGTCTTCTGTGCCTTCGCCAAAATGTCAACATTTTTTACAAAAGATATCCGTAAAGTGACAAAAAAGTTCCATAGCCGCACTCCTTATTAAATTTCAGTCAGGATAAGGGAAGAATGCGCTTTCCCTGTTTTGCCATTATCAAACGATAGATTGACTAAAATGGAATTTATACCAAAAAGTGGAACGGAGAAAAATGTGTTCAAAGTGCTCCAAACCCTACCTTTTCTATAGCTTTGGTGGACGGAAAATAATTTATAAAAAATTAACTATACAGTGAAAATTAATGAAACTTTTTGGGAATACTCTCTAGATGTTGGTGGATGTAAAGATGTCATTTTTCAAAATCAACTTTTTTTGCAGAAATTTTTTTTTCTGGACAGTGTCTCCCCTTAACACAGTCAAAAGCTCTCCACAATGATCGCATAGCGTAACGTCTTCACCATGGAGCAGAAACTGACGTGTCGAATGGGAGTGACCTATTTTCAGGTGGCACAGGAGCACCTCCGTGTGACGTTCCCTGTTAAAGGGGCTCTCCCAAATCCACAGAAAGGGCTCGATAATGCAAAGTTCGTTGTTGTTCTCCATATCCCATTCCAACTGCCGTGCATGAAAAATTGATTTCTTCGAAAGTGGTTTAAAAACCCCAGTAGGGTAAGCCATCAGATGTTATTAAAGAGCCTCGAGCAGACAGCCAATTTTTCCGCCTCGTCATCGCCCCCGATCCTGACGTGACCCGGCACCCAGCGAAATTTTATGGGCAGCAATCTGCGGAAACGACAAACTGAGTCAAGTTGCGCAAGGGACACCGCTCACCTTGCCATGGGAAGAAGCGTGCGGTCCCCGGCATAGTCACCGTCGCACTGCGCCACATACTCGGACAGCACGCGGAGCACGCGCACCATGCGGGTGGCGCTCTCCTGTAGCGCCTCTCGGGGACCCTGCTCTTGCTCCAGCACGCACAGCGTGTCGTACGCCGCCTTCAGACGGTCCAGGCACGACTGAATAAAGTCTTCGTGCATCTCCACCTGTCAGGGAGGGTTCGCCATACGTATGGCGCCTAGAACTCGACAAACGATTAACGACGCAATAAATTGGGGACTCTCAAACTTCTTAATCTTGAGTGACACTTACCTGCCACGACCAATTGCCAACAAACCCATCCCGGTTCAGGCATTAATGTAACTAAAGCCTTTTGGGAGTCTACAAAGCTCGAAAATGGTTACTAAAAAGTTTTTTGCTCATAGTTACCCGTTGATGGACGTTGGGGTGAAAAATAATGCGGCTGGGACAAGGACAAAGAAAAGGGTTGCGCGAGATGGGCGCCGACTAACAACTGAGATCTTATTAGATTTCAGTTTTTCGTTTTTATAGCGAAGCTGTTATGCGCCAGGATCTGGGAAAAAATGCATCCGCCGATGTTGACAGAAAACTCCCCGTTGGTCGTGGCAAGTATGAATAAATAAAAATTAAAAAAAGAGGCAACCAGCGTGAGTCAGCCTTCCCTGGCATTATTAGATAGAGAGGTCCTGATCCCTTGTTATCATCTCTAGGCATCGTCCTCGAGGTCGTCCTAGAAGTCCTAGACATCACCCTCGAGGTCGTCCTCTAGCATTGTCCTTGAGGTTGTCCTCTAGGCATCGTCCTAGACGTCGTAAAAATAACAGCTTTGCTGGTCCTCCATCTTCACGTGAAGTGGAAGGGCTCTACAATTTTTTTGTCCTTTTTCTTTTTTGCCTTCGTCCCAGTCGCACCGTTTTTCTTCTTTGTCCTTGTCCCACTATCGCAGTTTTTCCACTATGAACTCCAACCAAGTCACCCATTCGTCCATTCAATGGATGTCTCAGATCTGCTAAATAGGAGCCTAAACTGGAAAAATGCACTACTTGGGATAGGGTTGATAAAAAAAAATCTAATATACAATAGCACAAGAGGACAGGAACCTGAAAGGGACAGGACAAGCACTTGTGCTATTGTATATACTATGTTGAACTAACTAGCCCAGAGCCCAGCAATTGGTTTTAATCTGGTTGAGAAAACTTGAGAACTCGGAGAATCCACGGGGGCCCTCCGGGGAACCCAGTTTCATATCCCACGCAATAAATAACGGTTTGTAGCATTCTAAACATATTCTGGTCTAGGGTAACGACCAGGCTTGAACTGGCGGCGGCGTCGACATAGCAACAAAACGTTTCCTTCCAGATGCCTTTTAGTAAGGGAGCCCTCACAAAAAAGGGGAGAGGGGACCCCACCTGGGACCCTTGCAGCCGGGGTCCCAGACTGGTGTAGACCTCCCGGAGGAGCTCGATGGCCCGGTCAGCCACGGGAGACGCCCCGTGCAGCACCACCTTCCAGAGGTAGTCGGCCCCGACCAGCTCCACATCCTCCAGCTGGTACACCCGCCGCTTCACCACCAGCTTGCCCTCCTTTGAGTTGACCGCCTTGAAGAAGCGCTCAAAGCACCTGCACAGATGTGCACGTTAACGACTGGAGAGAACGGGGAGGACGCGGAGTCCTGAAAAAACCTCAGGTTGCCGCACTTAAAACGTGCCTCGTCCTGGCTCGGTTTGCATTACGCTCAACTAGTATTGGCTCCTGCAGGCTGCAAACACCTTTTTCTTCGTTTGTTTTGCTCCTTTCATGAGCACGTGCGAAGCCCGATTTATTCAATTATTTTGTGTCCAGAAACAGCCATGGCCTAGGTACAGTTATGTCTCGTTAATATTGACAACTTTGTTCCCCCGTAAAACCGTCCATATTGAGATTAACAATCCATAAAGAGACAAAAATATGCATATTCATCAAATCTGTCTCTGGAAAGTTTGTCAATATAGTAGGGTGTCCATGTTAATGCGGCCCATATTAATGAGACATCACTGCACTGGCAAGGAAACACAAAAAGAAAACACACAAAAAAACCAAGCTCTTTTACAATTGGGTGGTCAGAGCGCAGTCAAAAGCGCACTCACTCACGATGATACCTACAACAGCACCGAGCGCAATAAAACTGTTCTCAATTTGTAAGGTGTGGGAAAGTGGACAAGGGTATTGTAACAGGCTCGCAAGTGAATGCAACCTTGCGCTCAGAGGATCATCACGATCGGTTCCTTTCGAAGCCTGTATGGCATCTGCGTTGCCGAGCGAGAGCGAGCAGGAACGCTCTGGCGCTCTGCAAGTATATCAGGCGGCTTCATTGCAGGCGGTCGACTCACTTGATGCCGTTCTCGGTCAAGACGCTGGGCTCCAGCTGAAGCACATTGTTCTCGAAGAAGTCCTGGTTGATCTCAGGATCCAGATCAGGCTCTTCACCCATCAACTGGAGAAAACAAAGACAAGACTGAAGGCTGCTGAAGACACCCGCACCAAATGTTGACGTCGGCGTTGCTCACGCTGCCATCTATTTCTAGTCAAAACGTGACCAAAAACAAGCGCTCCAACAACTCCAGCTTTGCTGTGCCTGTAGGAATAAGGCAGCGGCAGCAGCCAGAACGACCATAAATTTCAAACCCGAGCTGGCCTAACTATAGCATGTTGCAGGTTTACCCCTTAAGTGCGGAGTTTGCTTTTTGGGTGCACGACCAGTCCTTGAGGGAGTATTTGCACTCAAAAAATTGTAAGCATGTTTTTGCGCTATAAGCTCAAATTCGTCGTTGATTTGTCTCCACAAAAAGGAACAACAGGTTGCTTCTTGTTTTGAGCACACTTTCCTCGGTAAAGAAAGCATGCCCTCAGGGCTTCGCTGTCTTGCCACGGTAACGTAGGGGATGCGGCGGACGTCCTTGCCGTCGGCACATCGTCTAGGCCTCTTTTGTCATTATGGTCGTCGAGAGATGAGGTTTCGCCGTCACTAAGCGTGGCGTTCCAATTGTCCGAGTCATTGTTGTCACTTCGCTCAAGCGACGCTTTGTGCTACTTCCAAGCATGCGTGATCCAGAACAAGAACAGAGATATTTCCCACCAATACAATTCAGTCACGTTTGCACCTGGCGAATGCAAATCAATTAAATGCATTTAACATTATGTTCAAGACATGGCAATACGTCCACAGGTCAAAACTGAGGCGCGTCTAAACCCGGAAGAGGTTAAGCAAGGCAAACGCCGGAGGAGAGGCAGGTGGAGAGGAGAAAAACCACCAATCAGGGTGGGCAGAAAGCTTGTAGGAGAAGCCTGCCCTGGTTTTCTCAACCTGCAAGAGGCTATGGTGGCAACCATTCCAAGTCACCTTTGAGAACCACTTGAAGCAGGCTTCCCGATCCGTGCTGTAGACGGCATTCTCGGCCAGGCAGTTCCAGATCTGGAAACAAGCGTCAAGCCAGGGGCCCAGTTAGTCGGCACTCGAACCGTCGCTTTACAAACACGCCGAAATTCACACAAATTAAAGATGAGAATTAGTGTAAAATTTTGAACGAATGCACACAGGCGAGACATGGGCTACGGTATTTCCATTTTTACAGTCAACTAAATTTTTGAAGAAAAACGGTTGGAAGGTTGTTTACCCTTCAAAATGCTCGCAATATCTTATCAGGCATGCTCAAAGTGCAGCTTTACCGAGATAATGAGTAGAAGGCACTGGCCTCAAAAAGTGAGAGAAGGTCCACAGCTAAAAGGGCAAGGTCAGTATGAAGTAGAAAGGGGGTTGTGGAGACTTAACCAAACACAGATTTAGAAACTTGCCTGCTTTGCTTGGGCAGCGCACAGCCAAAGCTGTCCATCTTTTAAAAGAAACCTGTGAGGCAAACGGGAAAATAAATAATATAATGTCTGAACAGCGTCGTCCTCCCGGCACTTGTGGGCATAGCACCAATGTTTGATAAGGCCTAAGAACAGCCCTGCAACTGAAAGTGTAATGTTTCATAGTCAGCAAATTCCCAACCTATAATCGGTGCAGAGGCTTCTGCACCACCCTACAATGTGCTCGAAGCACAAATAATTACGCTCACGGTACGGGAGATATTTATTCACTGCATTAGAAACTACCAGCTGCAATACAATTTGTACAATTTAGCATGAATGTGGGATAAGAACTTGGCAACTTCAGTGATAAAAGTTAGACAAATGCTCGTATAACTATGACGTAAGTACAAATAGTTTGGTGCATTCATACTTTTTATTATAAAATCTAAGGCACACAAGAAATATACAGAAACAAGCGGTGCCATGCAGTGTAACACTAAACTAAGCATTGCTTTTTCCTTTTGCCTATGAAGTGGAAAAGTAAAATAAAAAATGAAAGTGCCAAAAATAAATATATGAATAAATAAATAAGAGACTACTATAGCCAAATGGACGGTACAGCTATGGGTTCACAACTTTGCATCCAATTATGGAAAGAATTTCATGCACGACTTTGGTTGGGGCAGCACATAGACGGTCGCTGCTTTATAGAAATGTCCCCATTTAGATAAAATTATAAAACCAAAGAGGGAGCTCTAACTTCATTAAGTTTGGAGACAATGCTCTTAAAAACATTCTTATTTATATTCACAAAAATAAAATTGTTTGTATCGATGAACAAAGTTGCAGAAACGCTGGTCCCCACAGCTACTGAGAAAATGAACCCACCTCAAAAATTTTAGCCTCTCTTGAACTTGCTGGACGTGACTGTATCGGCTGTCTGCATACACCGTGTTGGGATCCAGGTCAGGATGCTCTGCAAGCAAACCATTTAACTCACTTTATTACTTCCAAAATCACCAAGTAAGGAGGGAGAGAGCACTGGAGAAAAATCTTGCTTATCAAAATACAAAATGCTCGCCCATCTGAATAGGTAAAGTCAGCCCTTCATTGTGCAGCAGGAGTGCACCAGACAGTAGACCGTCCCAGAAACATGCAGCGCATCCGGTCATCCTCTCGACATGCTACGGCAACCCAACGTATGGCGTGCGAAGGAGCACCCTTGAATTGAAGAAGCGGTTCAAATTGGTTTAGCATTTTGCAGTTTCAGAATGCAAAGAAAGCAAGACAATAACGAAATGGGTATGCGTCCACTTTGACATGTCCATTCGGTTTTCTTTGCATTCTGAACTCTTGGTGGTAAAAAAGAAGGAATGGACCCTTTTCCAGCACGCCTCTGCGCATGCGCACGCTCTCTCCCCTGGCCTTGCTTCCCCGCTGTCGTCGTTTTCAAAGGGCACCGCCTTGCGGAACAAACATTATAGACACCTATCTTCGCGCATATTTATTTTTCCTGACGATCCTTTTTTGAGCACCTGTAATACAAGGCAGAAAAAAAAAAAAGAAAAAAAAAATTGTACAGCCCTTTCACTTTACATAAAGGTGAGGACCAGCGAAGCTGTTATCTTTACAACTTCTAGGACAACCTCTAAGGCGACCTCGAGGACGACGCATAGTGGACGTCTAGGACGACCTCAAAGACGACTTCTCCGACTTCGAGGACGATGCCTAGAGGATGACGTCTAGGACGACCTCAAGGACGACCTTGAGGGTGACGCCTAGGATGACCTCAAGGACAACTTCTTGGAAAGATTCTAGAACAACCTCAAGGACGACGCCTAGGACGACCCCAAGGACGACTTCTAGGACGACCTCCAGGACGATGCCTAGAAATGATAACAAGGAATCAGGACCTCACTATGTAATAATGCCAAGGAAGGCTGACTCACGCATAGGAAGGCTGACTCACGCATTTTGCACCCTCCTTTAATTTTTATTTATTCATACTTGACACGACCAATGGGGAGTTTTCCGTCAACATTCGCGGACACATTTTTTTTCCAGATCCTAGCGTACATACAACAGCTTTGCTGTAAAACTGATACAACGGCGCAATACCAAGCTGTTCTGATGGCTGGAGTTGTGTCAGGGTGCACTTCATTCATAGTTCGCAGAGAGTCTCCCGGACGGTGCTTGTTACAGAAAAGGTCCATTGTGGTGCTTCCAGGATGTACAGAAGGTATGAGTTGGCCCGAGAGTATGACGAACGACGCTACAATTACCCGCGCTGCACAATGGAATGTGGGGTCGACGAGACGCCTCGTGGGATTTCCCTGAAAGGTCTCTGGCAAATCGCAACAACACACAACACGGGAAGCAGTCCTGCTTCAAGTCACTGGATCCTGGGAAAGTGGCACCAAGCTCCCCGTATGGTTGCCATTTTGGTTCATGGAATGAGCAGTTTCCCCTTGACCTCTCCATTCTTGGCGAGCCAATCTGAATTCCTGGCGACAGCTTTATAAAGACATTTCTTGTATACCGACATTTTGTTACCCACACACAAGCGAGACAAGTGCACCTCTTCGCACCGCCACCACTTGCGACGTCAGCACTTGGCGACAATGAAAAATAATTTCCCCATCTTCAATTACGGAAGAACAACATCACTATAAAAGATCTGGTGAGAAAAGCATGATCGACAAGTCGATTGCATTCACGGCGCCAAAGACGCTTATGTTGGAGAGGAATGCTTTCGGTACGCCGCCGCTGCATAAGGCTCTTGGCGTGACTGATACAGAACGATCCTTTTCGAAGCTTCAAAGGTTTGAAAGGACCAAATGGCAATTGCTATGGCAACACGGACCAACCAGCCAATCGCCTTGCAAGGTTTTGGTTATCTGTACGTTAGTATCTATCCGGCGAGCAGGCAGGGAAGGCAATGGCACTACCGTATTTACACGATTGTAAGTCGACCCCTCCCCCACATTGCACATCAGCAAAAAAAAAAAAAAAAAAATCTGTAGATGCGCATTTTACTGCGAACACGTGAGAACGGCAAAGTATGTTTCGAAAGCCGAGCCTCCAACACGCGATCGATGCCTTCTGGCGTGCATTAGCTGCGCATGCACGCGCGAGGTGCATGAGATGCCCAGGTGTTATCGAAACTGGGAAGTTCACACAGGAGGCGGGACAACTGAAGCTGCTCACTGTCGTTCTCACTCTGTCCGCGACTTGGCTACGACTCATCCGCACTGGGGATGTCAGTCCCATCATCATCACTATCACTTTCTCGAAGCACGTCGGCGTCCAACGGAATCTCGCACTTCACAAATGACAGGATCAACCGCATCTTTTGCGCTTACTCAGTGATCGTGTTGGACGTCACGGCTAGGGACCGATTGCACACTTTTGCGGCGTACGTTGCAAGTCTGACTTCCAACTCCGGAACCATATTTTGGCCTATGGAAGCCTCTTTGTTTGCCGTCACAGTTTAAGATCCCACGCCACTGCTGACACCACTGGAGCATCACCCGCTCCGACAGGTCGAACTTCCGTCGAACAGCACAGTTGTTGGTTGCTTCTTGGTGAAGAATGGCCAAAAACGAGCACCGAAAACCTAAGCTGCCCGGATCACGCGTGTCAATACAAAAAAAACATAGTTAGCGCTCCAGCATGATCTCGTCCCTCGATCAAACTACCGTATTTACCCGAAAATAGGTCGACCACGAAAATAGGTCGACCCCTATTTATTGAGCCCCCCGAGAATAAAAAAAAATAATTCAAATATAGGTCGACCTTTCTTCTTTTTTTTTTTTTTTTTAAGGAACAGGGGAAAGTTAGGGCAAAAGAAACAAACCTTTATTTACAGCACTCTCAGCTAAATCACAGGGCGATGTCAAAAACGTATTCATCGTCAGAACTTCCGGACATATCGTCGTCCCAAGCTTCGTCAGCTTGGTATAGAGCACTATATAGCTCCTTCGGAGCAGAGTAGCGCAATCTATAGTCAGTTACAGGTTAAGAAGGTAGCGGCAAATGCCCCTCAAAGGGAATCAGATATCCCTCCGCCACCTTTGCATCCAATAGCGTCCCACCGTTTCCGTGACGTCGCGGACAACGCGCGAGGAGGGTCTTGCCTTTCTGTACATATTTGCTTTATCTTTCAACTTTGACTTAGCATTGTGGAAGCCACGAGAGGGAGATTAGAGTCCTCCCCCACCGACGGAAACAAATACGACTTTCGGGGATTAGCTTCCCCCCCGATGGATACAAAGGCTGCTTTCAGGGGCTCGGTTCCCTCTCCGATGAATACAAAGGTCACTTTTTTAAAAAGTGGGATCGGAGACAAGTAGGAATCCATTGAAGCGGAACAAGGAGCGTTTCCAGTGAACTCTTCTTTCGACTGCGGGGAGATTAGAAACGGACGCATCACACTTATGGGAGGAGCTTCTCCTACCTTCTTGACTTGTAACCGACTATAGAACGCCGTCTCTCTGCGACTAGCGGCGAACGCTTGGGGGTTCCAACTGCGGTCAGAAATGCATGGGGAACGTGAGAAAATCGTTGTTTCTTCAGTTTTGTGGGGATGTGCGGAATTGAAATCATTTTTGACATAATAATGAAACATTTTAGAATAATATGCGATAAGTTTTGTGCCATACAAGGACGTAACTTTTTTTAGAAATTGCCTGAGCGGCATCATGCAGCAGACGACACGGCGACGTCACACCATTCACGTGACCCGCTCCGGCCAACCCGAAAAGCCCATCTCCGCTGCGAGCAAAAATCGTCTGCTTCAAACGCCATTGCCTCGGAAATTGCCTTCTCAAAATTTGCACACGCATCCGATATTATTAAAACTTTGATAAAGTGTTTAGCGCTTTACTAACTTCACGACAGGCTAGTTTTGAAAAATGTGAACTCGCCGTTAGTTTTTTAATCAGCCGTGTTATGTCGATCTCCATGTATTCTCCCATAGGGTGGGCCGCCTCCTGGAACCCTGAGTACCACGTGACTCGCGCCGAGCCGCTCTGTCGGCCATGTTGTCGGCAAAACACGGGGTTCAAAGGATTGCGCTACTCTGCTCCGTAGGAGCTATATAGTGCTCTAGCTTGGTAGACATCCTCGCAAATTGGCAACAATACCTCACTGACACCGTTGTAAAATAACAAGAAGAAACGAAAGAAGGTGGAGACGGGTGAGCGACCAAAGACCAAATACAAAGACACGAGTAACGCTGCGAGCCCCGTGAGCAACACGCGACCCGCCGGAAAAAAAAAAAACTAAAGTACCTCCGTTTTTTTTTTTTTTTTGTTGTGCGCGTTTGCGAGGGAGAGGAATGGAGCGCATAGGAGGGCAAAGTGCATGGCGCATCGCGTTCCTCTCCCTCTCCTTCCCCCTTGCCCAGCGGGGGGAACGCTACAGGCATGATGGCGAAACCCGACGCCGAGGGAACGTGCGCGAGAGCCGTAGCCGGTGGCCACGGGCTGTCGGCTGCTGCTGTTCGGTTGTTTTTGTGCATCAAAAGCTTTTTGAAACAAGAAGCCGCGCGGCTCTACCGCGACGTTGGCTAGGTGATTGATAGCTCCATACCCTCTGTAGGGTTTCAAATTTTGGTCGCGAATTAGGTCGAAATTGTTTGGTCACGATTATAGGTCGACCCTTAATTTTTGACAACATTTCCGAAAAAAAAAGGTCGACCTATATTCGAATAAATACGGTATGCGCTACCGTGAATCGCGCGAAAAACTGCGAAGAGAAGTTGCGGGGTGAGTGAGCCGTGAGGCTGTTCCAGCGGCCTCCCAAGTGGCTCTTACAAGAAGTGCCGCCACCCCCCGGGAGTCGGGCGCGCCGTGAGCTGTTCACCGCCGCATATTCGGGTTAATTTGCGAATCGCTATCAGTAATACTCGTTCGCGTGAGTAAAAACATAATTAATTTGTAAAATGAGCACACAGAATAGTGCCATGCTAGAGGTACGGCCGGCTGAAAACTCGTAACAAGCCGAGTTGTTCATGATATTACGATTGTTTCGTTTTTGCCAGTGGTGGAATGCTTTGGTTCAATTATAGGTCGACCCCCCCCCCCCCCCTTCAGATTTCAAAAACTGAAAAAAGGGTCGACCTACATTTGTGTAAATACGGCACTATGGTGCATCGAATGCATCTCCGACAGGTGTAATTACTGCATCCAAAAAAAGAAGCCGCTCAATTTCTGTTTGACAAAGTAAAAAAAAAAAAAAGTCACGCCGTCGCCGGCCACTATCCTGGCGACGTCAAGGCAGCGGTGGGGGACGTAGCAGACGCCTGTTCCGTTGCAGGTCGCTCTTCAGCCTGACAGTCTACAAAAGCTTTGGCAGCCAGAAGTTGGGATGCCGCGACGACGGCAACACTTGCATTCTCTCTCGCCCTTTCTTTGTACAACTTCTTGGCCCGACCGCTGGGATTGTGACACCTGACAGTGCGACGCTCCGACTATGGAACAATTTTGGGAACACTTTTGATGCACAAGCGGAATGGAACGCCAAACACACAAGCCGGAGATGCATTGGCAGCGCAGTGCTAGCTTCCCAAGGTCTAGTGACTTCAGACCCGCTCACCCGCTGCGAGCCTCTTGGCCCTGGCCATGTACGCCGACAGCCCATCCGCCACGAGCACCACCAAGGAGTGCTGCTGCTGCAGGCGGTTGATGACCTCGTGCCGGTACAGGGCCTGCCCGACGGGGGCGGGAGCGGCCCGGTGGGGACCCCCCGCAGGGGCCGGCCCCAAGGGGGCCTCCGAGTAGAGGCCCGCCACCTCCTGGATGTGGCGCAGGGCCGGCAGGGCCCACTCGGGGCCCTCCCGGAGCTCCTGTACGCAGCGGTCCAGCCAGTGCGACTTCTGGGCGTCCCGCTCCTGCGAGCAGCTGTAGTCCAGGATCTTCACGTGGAAGCTCAGCGCGAGCTCCATCATGTCTGTCGGGACCTCCCGGCTGTGGGCCAGGCTCCACAACAGCTGGAGCACCTGTGTGGATAGATGGATGAACACGTAAGGCTCGACTCTTTGAATTGCTGACGCGCGACTATGTCGCGTGGCGTTGCGTGTTCAAGCACCTCTACTTCCTGGGTTCTCACACTGGCTTCGTATTGATCTAAGGGTTCCCCCCAGCACCCCTCCGGGTTCCCCGAGGTCCCAGATTGCCTTGCCCGTCCTTGTTTCTTAGTACTGAACCGAAATTTGGATTTTGCAAAGTAAGGCTGCAGAAGTGTTGAACGGGACGCTACAAACCCCAAAACATCACTCGTACATCGATATCTCAAACGGATGGCCGTACTTGTGAAAAAGAAGGGCGCGATCAAGCGAGTTCTTTGACGTAACTGTCCTCCGGGGAATTTGAGAATGAGGAGAAGCGGCCTCGCTTCTCTCCTTTTCACTTCGGTTCACCAGCTTGGCGGGACGTAGCGAGGAGGAGAGAGAATTGGAATCGTGACGTGCCTTGTCTCGTCGGCCTCGTCGGCAGGGTTCAATCGCACACTTTTTTTTTAAAAAAATGCGGCGATCCGTTAGATATACCGTATCGCCGTATGAGTGATATTTTTTGGTTTTGCAGCTTCCCGCCTATCCGCCCGGCCTTGTTTAGTGAACTCGAAATTTCGGTTCAGCATCCCTTTAAGCGCTATTTTGGAAGATCCGAGTCATCCACTGTTGCATAACCACCTGCCAAACACACACATGTGAATCTTTGTTTACGAGGTCAGGAGACCCCTGGGCTGCTTCAGGCATCACTACCAGGATCGGGAAGGGTTCCTCGGCTAGCAGTTAAACGAGGCTGACTGCTAGTGACTGATAGCAACTGCTAATTGACTAGCAACAAAAAGATGAGCCATACTGTGCTAATCTACAAAACAGTCACAGCGATAGCTGCTACACGTCATGACGAAGTCGTTGGGCATTGGCGTCGCATTCACGCGCAGTCTAGTGCGTGAACAAAAAAGTTCAGAACACAATGGACATCTGATCATTTTGTTCTGAACGCTTTTGTTTCTTCTTCGTTCCGGAGCGTGTGAAAGCGTGTCTCCCGGCCCAATGTATTGGCATTTTGTTATGGGCTATATCTCTGCATTTTTCCAGAGCGAGCAGGGTCGGTATCAGGTACTACAAAGAATGACATCACCCTAAAATTAGAAGGACATTGCGGCAACCTAGTCAGAGCTGTGGCATAGCTCAGTGGCAACGCGCTCACTTCACACGGAGTGGACCCAGGATCGAACCCCGCAGGTGGCGGGCCATCTTTTTGAGGATTTGGCAACATTGACGACAGACACCCTACGCCCTAATACGACACTACGACAGATGTCATTTCCAGAGGCGGGAAGAGCCCATGACAGCAGTCACCGTAAGTGTTTGAGGACCCCCGCTCCATTGGAAAGTAAACCATGGCTTTAAGAAATCTCATACACATCCTAGGAGCCGAAGTAAAAAGAGAGGAGATTGCTGTAATGCTGCAAGCATAAATGAAACCATTACAGCAAAAGTAAACGCTACAACCCACCTTGTGCGCCATCACGCCGTCCTTGTCGTCCTCTGCGAGTCGCCGGATGAGTTCTAGCAGCTTCTCACGCTGCTTCTTGGTGGCGGAGGCCCAGCTCGACTGCGCACAACCCACACCGCGTCGCGAGTTAAAAACGGTACAGACTCAGGCACGTCGACGCAATTACAGCGTCCGGAACGTGTCTTCAACTGATGTGTTTAGCGTCCTATGCCGCCGACACATTGAAAGTGGTCCCAAAGTGGCAACAAGCGACGTTGCAGGAGACGGTGTGTCATCTTGTTGAACGTCCAACCCTTGCAGATAGGTAGTATGAGTTCCCACAGAAAAACTAAAGCAGATGCACATGTCGCCGTCGTAGCAACGTCCTAACTCTTAAAGCTTTCACATACTGTCAAGCCGCAAAGTGGCCTGCAGCGGGACGGGCGTCTGCTGCATTTTCCACCACAGTCGTCGCGCTTCTGCAGAGATTGCGGCAGGCAAAGGCATTACACTTCTACGACGTTGTCGGGGTGGAAGTCGGCGGAGCACTTTTTAGGACGCGGTCAGCACACCAGTCAGAGACGCCTTCTAGCACCATAAACGTCACGTCCGAAGACGCGGCCAACGGTTGAACGTCCCACCGTTCCTCACCTGGAAGCAGTCGAAGAGGTGGTCCAACTGCTCGGGTGCAAAGTCCCAGGCGAGCTTGGCCAGCAGGTCGTGGACATTCTTCACGATGGCCTCGTGTTTTCCGCTCTGGGCGGCCCACAGGTCGTCCAAGTCTTCCAGAGTCAGCGCTTTCTCCTTGATCACGAAGCGCACCATCTTCTCCAGCTTCTCCACGTACTGTGGACAGACATGCACATATACAGACAACTCACTTGCCCAAACGAATACAGATGCGTTTATGTTCGTCCCCAAGCACCCATCCACCACACAACCACGTATGAAAAGAGTTGTTCGGCTGCTACGCGAGTGCCTGGCAGCCAGTACAAACAGCACTTCGAGATACTTGAACGTCCATGTAAAGGAATGCTTAACTTGGCCACTTCGAACTGCTGCATTGCATTTGTACCGAAACGGCCATCATTCGCATATTCTGGTTGCATTATCACCACCCCGATCGGGGAACTCGAAGTGTCATAAGAAGTGATCCACAAGCATAAAGGAAAACAGCTGCTGTGTCAAGGCTTTCGTGCACGACACAACCAGCTCTAAAACAAACTGACATCTGCATTTCTTTTCACTCTAGATTTTTCAATGTTCCACTCATTTCAGAGGCTAAACAAGGAGTGGAGAGCATGTCGGGACACCTAGAGGTACGAAGAGATAGACACCCAAGCGACACCCACCTGCGGCTGGTGTAAGCTGTCCCGCAGCACAATCTGCAACACTCGATTCTCCTTGATCCACTCCTGCAGAAAGGCACACACACACCCACTCTTTTACGACCCAGGTAGCGAAACCAGAGTGCTCAGGAAGTTACTCCCAGTTGACGCGCAACTCGGCCCTAAGAACGCAGATACCATATTTTCTTGCAGATTACCAGCCCCATATTATTAATCATACTATTTAAATAAATCATATTATTTAAAAAATTTGCATACCCATGTTTGCAATTCAGAATGCTGTGCAATGTCATTTAAACTCGAGTGTAATTCCAAAAAACAGTAAAAACGTCAATGGCCGAGTGAAACCAGGGACGTCGGCAAATTAACACTGTAAAAGGCGATGGTTCTCAAATTAGGGTCGGCGAAGGCATTCTAGGGGTCTGCGAAGCCCTGCCATATCAGTCAAGCCCAATGATAAATGTTGTCTTTTTACTTTTAGATTGCGAAGAAACTTTACATTTTTCGGGACAGTTTTCTCGTGTGTATGTTAACAGGAGAAGTCTACTTCACACCAGCCCACATATAGTTATTTCCATTAAATAAATCATCATAATTAACCTATACCTTTCCCTTCCCTCCACCAGAAACGGGTACTCTATCATCTCTGCCGATCCACAAGGGGTCTGCAAAACATCAATGGTTGAGAACCACTGGTATAAGGCATAGTGTTTGCGTGTTCCAATATGCACACTTTGTAGACAAGAGAAGAGAAGCTGTTTAGGGCATTGTAGAGGATAAAAGTGCTAAAAGTAACAAACAAATAGAAGAATGACCAACACCACAAAGCACTTTGTGGCGTTCATTGTTTTTTTTACTTGTCTGTCATTTGGAACGCTTTTATTCCCTATTAAAAAATTACCAACTAGCCCAAGTGCGTACTCTTTCGCTGTCCAGTTTTGCAAAGTTACGAGACTGCTGAGGATTGCTCTCTGCCTCATCACTGCATCTGCGATTGGCCCAGCAGGTAAGCCAATCACCATAAATGAAACGAGAATCCACTGAGGGCAACTCACGGCCATGCGTTCTGCAGTGAGCCACTCCTCTTCCTCGATGCCCGCGTGCCTGTGGGCGTAGTAGGAAACATTGGCGATCACCTTGTTCACTTCGTTCAGCGCATTCATCTTGCCGTTGAACGACGAGATCTGAAGCAACCTGGGAAAAAGACGACGCGTGAGTGACACGTCGCTCTGGTTAAGCGGTTTTCGGTTTTGCCCCAAAAAGACTGCGAACTATAGAAGAAAAAAAAAAAAAGGGTTCAGACGATACTCTGGATTTTACTTCAGGTAAGCCTCACCCTCGGAGATCGGGAGGCCTAAAATTGCAGTGTACTTTTCATTTCATTTCATTTTCTTTTCATTTATTTGTACCTCACAAGCACCCCAAGGGGGCATACATGAGGGGGGAAATTCAACAGTACACAAAGAAATTAGAACAGTGAAAATATGAACAAACATAATGCAAAAGTACAATATAATGAAAACAAGTGGAAAACATACATATCAATTTACGCAGTATTGAGCACACACAATTTTAAATTCGTCAACAATGACTAAAGACACAATGTTAGCTGGAAGTCTGTTCCAGACGGAAATTGCCAACTGTAAGAGTGATGTCTGGAAAAGTTTAGTATGTGATGTTTGAAATAGTATCTTATGCTGATGATCAAATCGAGGAAAAATACGGTGTGGCAGCTTTAAAAGTTCAAGCTTGAGGAGTGGGTTATTATAATAGATGTTATGGCTGAAGGTTGACCTAGAAAGTTTTCTTCTGGTAGAGAGGAGTGGCAGGTCTGTTTTTTCTTTCAGCTGAGATACGCTTGGGTGTCGAGAATAATCTTTGTAAATAAATCTGCTTGCCCTGTTTTGAATTGACTATTTTTTTAATTGGGTAGTCCTGAGAAGGATTCCAAATGATAGAAGCATACTCTAATTGAGACCGAACATATGATTTGTAAGCGAGTAATGAAACGTCCGGAGGTGCCAGATATAAATTTCGTCCTAATGACCTACTAGCCTTGCTAGCCACATAATTTATGTGATCTTGCCAGTGTAGATTCTAGCTCAAAATAACTCCTAGATATTTGTAGTTATTTACTTTCTCGATTGATAGATGACCTATTGAGTAGTTGAAACTTACAGTGGATATTTTTGTGGAGAAGCTCATGAATTTAGATTTTGACGTATTGATGTTCAACAAGGTGGAAAGTTGGGCGAGCGCTGTGTCTGAGTGTTTCCTTTTACTGGTCCTTCGTCTTTTTTGCGCCATTTTAACCCATTCAATATTGATGTTCATTTGCCAGCGATCACACCACAAAGAGAGGGCATCTAAGTCATGCTGTAGTGAGAGACGGTCGGTCTGGTTTTTGACAATGCTATAAATAATGCAGTCGTGAGCAAAGAGTCTGACTGTGGAGGAAATGCTGGTGGCAATATTATTAATATAGATAAGCAATAACAAGGGGCCCAAAACTGATCCCTGAGGAACTCCAGACTTCACATTAAAACTAGAAGAAACATTACAATGAAAAGAAACTGCCTGTGTTCTGTTGGTGAAGAATTCCCAAATCCAGTTAATTAGAGAACTATCAATATTAAGACACTCAAGTTTTTTAAGTAGGCGTTTACGTGGCACGCAATCAAACGCCTTAGAAAAATTAATAAAAATAATGTCAGTCTGAACTTTTGAATGTATGTTTGTGTGTAGATCGGTTAATAATTCACAAAAGTTGGGTTTCGCAAGACAGGTTCTTTCTAAAGCAATGCTGGTTTATGAAAATGAAATCATTGTCTACAAGAAAGTTCATTATATGAGTGCACAAAACATGCTCAAGAATCTTGCATGGAACACTGGTGAGAGATATCGGTCGATAATTACAAAACAAAGATTTACTACCAGATTTCCTAGCAAACAAGTCCTAAATAAACCAACCAAATAAACACATCCAAGAGAGACAGAACATGGATAAATGGGGCTTGTACAAACAGCTACCCCAGACACTGAATGGGTTGCTTGTAAAGGAGCCTCAGATAAATAGATCACAAATAAAGTGGATCTTGCATCAATTGGGCATGTCAATTATTATTCTTTTTTGTTATGTGGAAATGATTTATATGGTGTCTCACATAAAAAAATCCCACGTGCAACATTCCCACACAAACAGATCCCAAACAAATGAGTTTTCATATCACAGCACAAGGTGGGTAAGCAACGTTTGCCCGATCCGCCACCTTTTTTTTTTTTTTTTTTTTACTTCCAGTTTTTTTGTTACATTGTTAAAAGACAGTGTTTTTGCTGAACATGCCCTCAGGCAAATGTAGAATCACAGAAGTCTAAGACCTGTGCCATGCTCGCACTTGCATATCATCGCTGTCGTCTTCCCTCTATGGAGCGAAATGTATCAACGAACCAGAACCAAGGCAAACGCCGCTCGACCACAACAAAGCACATTTCACTCCTCTCGCTTCCCCCCCCCCCCCCCCCCCCCCCCCCCCCCCCCCCCCCCCAGTCCTGGCCTGCCATCTCTAACGAAACAGACGGCGACAGTCAAGGTTGCCCGACCCGGCCGACCGCCCGGTGCCGAAAGAGGGGGCCTGGGTCTCACCTGAGTATCATGCGCAGGCGGAACATCTCGAGGGCCTTGACGGTGTCCTCCTGGTGGGGCACGCGTGCGGCCAGGCAGCGCAGGGCCTTCACAATGGCGGACAGGGCGTCGTTCTTGGTCTCGTTCTTGGCCTCCCGCTTGAGCTCGTCGTCCGTCAGGCGCTCCAGCAGCGAGGGCACCAGGGACACCAGCGGGAGGAGGAAGCGCTCCACCGTGCTCACCGTGAGCAGGCTGTGGCAGAGGCCCAGGGGTCGGATCAGGGCCGCCATCAGGGGAACCGAGAGGGCCCGGCCGCTCCGGAACCGCTCCAGCAGCAGCGAGAAGCCGCCCAGAGAGCCGAAGCGGTTGATCAGGTCCACTAGCCAGCCCTGCGTGGGAGAGGAAAGGAAGAAAGACTAGTTGCGGACACGGAACATAGGCGGAGCAAGTTGTCGCCTGATTTGAAGGGTTCGGCCACAGGTGCTCGTGCGGGAAGGGAAAGAAGAGTAAAATACAGCACATTAATGGCGCTAGTCTTTGTCCAATTCAAAGGATTTGGCTACAGATAACTGCACAAGAAGGAAGAAAGAAGACCAGTTGCAAACATGGCACATAAGTGGCGCTAGTTGCTGTCCGATTCAAAGGGTTTGGCCACGAACTACTCCAACGAGAGGACCAGAGTGTATCCCCTTTCACGTAAATGAATGTTTCCAAAGAGAGGGGAGTTTGGCCACTATGTATCCATCCAAGAGGCAATGACAAGCAAGGACACAAATGGCGCTATGTTCACTCAACTGGCCTCACCATTCCTTTTAGATTGCAACAAAATGGTGAGTTGGGCCAGTTGGTTCATAATGGAAAAAGACAAGCGCCGAAAGACCAGGACAAGGTAAGAAGACGACGACACAGGGTGCACTCGCAACTGAAGATTTATTTATGGAAAAACATAGTCTTATACACACTTTTAAAAAACACCCACGTCACTTTCCACGTGCCCACTCTTTATCCAAGAATAGACACTCTTTTTCTGACAGAGTCACTAAAGGCCCGCTTATGCACTTATCTGCACCCTTCCTTATTGCATACGCCTCATGAATTTCCCTTGTCGTCTTTTTGCTGTATCGCCCCAGGATTGCCACGTCATTGAAAACTGGTGTGCACTCACATCGGTTGCAATGCACAGCCAGGTGCCCCGAAGGTGACTGGTTTAAGGAAGGAGCATGCTCTCTTGCGCGATCATTTACGCAACGCCCAGTTTGGCCTACGTAAGACTTACCGCAAGAAAGCGGAATGTCATACACAACACCAGTGTGACATTCTACAAACTTGTTCTGGTGTTTTTTCTTACACTCGTCACTCTTCCCTTCGGGATCATTGATTTTCCTGCATAACGCAGAAAGCTTTTTAGGGGCTGAAAAAACGACAGGAACGTCGTAACGTTCCGCCACCTTTTTTAAGTTATGAGACACTGCGTGAATGTAAGGCATTACAGCGGTTCTTACTTTTTGCCGTTCAAGAACGTTTCTTTCCGCACCCCTAAATTTCTTTTTGAAGCCCTCTGCAGCTTCAACTATAGATCTCAGCGGAAAACTCGCACTTGCGAGCCGATCGACCTGTAGAAGAAAACTCCTTCCCATTTCCTCAAGACAGGATTTGTTCAGAGCGGCTCCGAGGCACGAAGAAGCAGTACCTCTTTTTACTAACTTGGAGTGGGAAGAATTAAAAGGGAGTACAGCTTTCCTGGAGCGAGGTTTGTAAGCCCAGCACACATGGTCATCTAAGAATTTTAGTTTTAAATCCAAAAATTGTAACGAGCCCTCCGTGGTCCTCTCATGAGTGAATTTTAACCCATGAGAGCAGGACGTGAACGTGCCAAACAAATCCTGTCCTGAGGAAATGGGAAGGAGTTTCCTTCTACAGATAGATTGGCTCGCAAGTGCGGGTTTTCCGCTGAGATCCATTGTTGAAGCTGCAGAGGGCCTCAAAAAGAAATTTAGGGGTGCGGAAAGAAACGTTCTTGAACGCCAAAAAGTAAGAACCGCTGTAATGCCTTACATTCACGCAGTGTCTCATAACTTAAAAAAGGTGGCGGAACGTTACGACGTTCCTGTTTTGCTGTCGTTTTTTTAGCCCCTAAAAAGCTTTCTGCGTTATGCAGGAAAATCAATGATCCCGAAGGGAAGAGTGACGAGTGTAAGAAAAAACACCAGAACAAGTTTGTAGAATGTCACACTGGTGTTGTGTATGACATTCCGCTTTCTTGCGGTAAGTCTTACGCAGGCCAAACTGGGCGTTGCGTAAATGATCGCGCAAGAGAGCATGCTGCTTCCTTAAAACAGTCACCTTCGGGGCACCTGGCTGTGCATTGCAACCGATGTGAGTGCACACCAGTTTTCAATGCCGTGGCAATCCTGGGGCGATACAGCAAAAAGACTACAAGGGAAATTCATGAGGCGTATGCAATAAGGAAGGGTGCAGATAAGTGCATAAGCGAGCCTTCAGTGACTCTGTCAGAAAAAGAGTGTCTATTCTTGGATAAAGAGTGGGCACGTGGAAAGTGACGTGGGTGTTTTTTAAAAGTGTATATAAGACTATGTTTTTCCATAAATAAATCTTCAGTTGCGAGTGCGCCTTGTGTCGTCGTCTTCTTACCTTGCCCTGGTCTTTCGGCGCTTGTCTTTTTCCTTTTAGATCATTTTGTGATGGAGAGCACACTCTCAATGCTGCTTTTGTTTAGATGTACAGCTGTCATAAGGTACTACGAAATATACTGCTGATCTGAAAACCCAGGAACGGTGGCAGTTTCCCAAAACAACTAAAAAATCTTTAATTCTTCACCATCACCATTTCCCCCTCACCATTTCTAATGTCACCTTGTGACATTAGAAAAAAATGGTACCAAAGAAAAGGAAACAGGCTCCACACTCGCCATCCATGAGCGCAGGCCCTGATATTGTTTGCATGCTTGCCATCCTGATTGTTGGTACTTGACCAGTTTGGTCTATTTTCAACGGTATGTGCAGACTAGATATGTGAAATGCTGCTTGTTTTAAGAATCAGATTATATATAAGTGTTTTTGATGGCAAGTATTGCATAAGGGTCGGGAAAGTGCTTATAAATGCAAATAAAAAATATATATACAGAAAAAATTTAATGAAGCAAATCTCAGGTGCTTGAATAAAAATGTTTGTGGTTACGTTTTACTTTTTTTTCTTTGACAGTAGTTTTTAGTTCCGAGGCCTTTGAGGCCTTAGTTGCATTCTAAAACTAGAGCAATCAAGTGAAAGCTTTTCGTAATTATGAGCATTTGTAAATATACACCTAAGAAAAACAAAATAAAGAACATGCCCAAGCATCACAAAAATCATTAAAAAAAGAAAAAAAAAAATGATTTTGCACACAATAACCAAGACAGAACCCAGATATATGAGCAAAGGGCAGAACAGCCACACTTAGAAACCAAAATAGAGACATGCCCAACCTAGCCATCTTCCATACAAAAAAAAAACAAAAAAACAACTCCAGATTCTGCAAAATACCTACCACAAACAAAAGGTAAGTACAAGAGGGGTGGTAACACACCTTGGGCGTCCTGGTGTCTGTGGGGCGTGCAAACACCTCTTCGTCCGGGATCTGGGAACCAGGGGGCACAGAGTCCGAGGGACGACTGCCGTTGTACGAGTGGAACCTGAAGCACAAGTTTGCCGGGATCAGCCCAAGCTTCTGTCTCCAGACACTCTGCACGTAATGTCTCACGGAGCCTCCGCAGCAAGACCCCAGAGCCTCGGCGACGACACTTCGGCAACAAGTTAAAGGAGCTGTGCAACAATTTCAGGGCTTTGCTTAAATAATTGTGGAAGTTGATGCCTGACACTTCTGCAGTCAACTACAGCAAACAGATTTTGCCTGGATACCCTAGTTTTAATTTTAAAAAATGAAAAAGATCCAAGTTTTTGCCGTCTCTCAACTCGTGCATCGTCTTCCGGGTCACGTGCACAGTGACGTCACTTGAGTAGGCGCGGAGTTCCGGAAAAGTTCTCTCTTTGGAGCCATCAGCGAGCAGCGAGAACTCACCCGCTCGCGACCGCATGACCACCCGTCCTTGCCCACCCGGCGCTGTCCCCCTCCCCCTCCGGCTTCTGGCGGCTGTTCGCGGTTTTGTGGACCTAGGATAGATGGCGCCACTAAAACTCCGTATAATAAAAGTTTTGTCGATGATACCAGGGTTTTGACGCATTTATATATATATGTTGGAACGACAAGATTTATAAAAAAAGTTACCTTTTATCGAGCAGGTATTCGCACAACTTGCTATCTTTTTTACAACTACCCAAGTGACGTCACGCCGCCTGTTTCTCATGGCCGCCGCTCGTGGCTGCAGGTCGGGAAATATTCCAAGTTTTGCCTCGCTATTACGCGGCGGAATCGCAACATTTCGATGAAAGGAGGTGTGTTTTCTGCCATTTGTGATACAGTGAACAATATCAAAAGCAGAAAATGCCAATTCTTTCAATGTTAAAATCGTTGCACAGCTCCTTTAAAGAAGAGATGGCACCCATAACTACCACAAAATCCCGTAAGGGTGCCCCCTCCCCCGAGAGATCACCCATCCCGTTTTTCTGGCTTAATATCTCGAACATAAAAATGATGAATCCTCCCCCCCCCCCCTCCGATTTCCGTCGGACATTGCATGGTATCCGACGGAAATCGCATTAACCGCGCGATCTGCAGCACCGGTACGTGTGACAAGCAAGTTCACAGTGGGTTCCCGCGTTTGTGTTCGCGATCAGCGTGTGCAATACCGGTTCTCATGACATGCGAGTTCGTAGCGAATTCCCACGTTTCTTGGTTCACAATCTGCGTGCGTGACATCGGTTCCCGTGGCACGCAAGTTTAGCCGGTTTCCGTGTGTTTGTCGCACTATAAAACACCAATCTGCTGCATCTGCAGTCTGCGGTATCCTTTACCGTGACACAGCAGTTCGCACCGAATTCCTGTGTGTTTACTGTATTGTGAAACACGAATTTGCCGTGTCCATGATTTGCGGCATCAGCTCCCGTGTCACTTGATTTGTAGCTGGTGCCCCATGTTTATCATTCATTTTTTATAAAGTTTTGCTGTCTCATTCCCAAAGGTGGCCCACCTCATGTTTTTCCACATTTATCTCTTCATTTTGGGAGGGCCACCCTTATGGGAATTTACGGTAGTGGAATTTTCTCAATTCCCTTAGACTAACGAACAAACGGCAGTTTTCGTATAGGACACAGCTTGCTGAAAGGCTGCACAAAGTATGTATTTTCATTTCTGCATCAAAGGGAACAAATAAGTTTTGGTATTTTGTTGAAACATTAAATGACTCCTTCCGGGAATAATTCACTTTTAACAATGTTCATGGTGCCAACAACAAAAGCCAAATGCCTGTATCTGGCCATTAAACCGCTGCCAACGAGTGGAAGGCATCACCAAAAATCCATTTTTTGCGACCGGCACCGAAACATTTTTTCTTTGCTGACCCAGAAAAGGCGACAACATTTTGACCTGGTAGTGCCAAGGAGAGGTCTGCTCCCGCTAAAAGGCGAAATTCGGCGGCGGCTCACTTGTTGTGTGGGTTGAGCACCATCGCCAACAGGTCTAGCAGGGGGAACCAATCCTGTTGCAGCTTGGTCACGCACAACTCCACCAGACGCTCGCAGTTCCTCATGATGCAGCGCTGCAGACAGACAAAAGCACCCCTTGTTAGACACTGTGTCCCCAATCGTTCCAAATGGTTCATGTCTAGCTGGTGCATTATGGGGGCACTAAAGAGGATTCTGCGATCATCTGCTCTTGGTCGTAACTGATTCTACAAACCCTGAGCATCCAAAAAATAAAAAAAAAAATTACAATCACATTATGCCGATTTCCCTATTCAAAATGTGGTGAAAGGTCGGGACACACCACTTTCCGAGTCGATTTTTCCACTCAGGAAGGGTGGGGCGCATACCTGAGCAGCGGTATCAGCAGGGTGAGCACGGGCACTCGTTGACCAATCGCAAGCTGCCTCTCTCAGAGAGGTGGCTTGCGACTGGCCGACAAGCGCCCATCATCACCGCACTGACGCCGTTGCTGGGGTATGCCCTGCCTTTCCTGAGCGGATAAATTCGCTCAGAAACGGGTGTTTCCCAATCTTTCATTTTTTTAGGAAATTTTTTTTTTTTTTTTTAAATAGGAAAATCGGCATCGCATGATTATAATTTTTGAATTTTTAGGGTGTTTAGGGTGTTCTTCCTGAGTGGACGAATCAGTTATGACCAAGAACAGACGATTGCAGAATCCTCTTTAGTGCCCCTTTAAAGTTAAGCAACGAGAGCACACCCACCTCTTCGGGTCTAGCTATATGCGTGAAAGACTAAGGAAAGGGTGTGTCCTATAGGTGGCACGCAGCTAGAGGGCCTCTATCGGAATTTTGACAAACTAAAATTGCACATCCCTGCCTAACTTTACCTCCAAAAAAAGTTACAAAGCTACAGTTGAACGACAAGGTCCTTGCATCAAGGTCGTGACTCCGTCAGCATGCTCACTAGTGTTCACACCAAACAGTTTGAACATGTCTGGCATATTTGCCAGGCTACATAAAAGCCCATGAAACTTTCTTAACCAGTTTGTCAGACAAATAAATAATCCCAAAGGCTTCATCAAGATTTCACCTCCATTCAGACATTTCCGATGCAGTGTCCTCAAATACGGTTGTGAAAGGGGAACTAGGACACAGGAGCAAACTTTGTCACTTTTGTTAAACCTACTGGGCAGCGGTACGGAAACTGTGAGACGAGTGTTAAAGGGACACTGACAGGGTATTTATGCTCACTAAGGTTTTTATTTGTACATGAAAAATGAGAGCCCAACTACCCAGAGCACATTTCGCGGCTCAAAATTCATTCTCTTTCCGCCCGGAAACCCCCGATAGAGAATGCGCTCCCTCTCTTCTTCCGTAATCATGTGCCGTTTTCTATGCTTTAGACACAACCACCAAATATAATCAAATCGTGGGTCATTGAAGGCACACACTCAATATTAAAAATCGAAAAGAAATATGATACCCATGTTTTGTGGCTTCTAAAAAGGTGCAAATATGTTCAATGAAGAAAACAAAGTTGCACAGCCACATGACTTACGCCAACTCTCTCCTCCTCTATATTTCTTCTTCCTCCCCAGTCCAGTTTTGATTTCGGTTTTGAGCAGTTGCGTTTTTTTTACTTTATTAAATATATGTGCGACGCTGTAGCAAAATATTGATTGGGTAGTCTTCTGACACCCATATTGAATCGCCTGGCAAAAATATAACAAAACTTTGGCGGGGTGTCAGTATTCAATTAAAAAGGCACGCAGGAGATGGCTTAGACAAACATAAGTTTTGGTGGCATCCTGCGTATTGGTAACGGGTGATACCGAAAGGTAACTCTAACACGCAGGCCCGTTCCAGTTTGTTTCACCCACAAGTATACAAAAATGCTTTCACAGTACAGAGAAGTATAGTCCTAGTGTAGCGAAGAAATTCAAGACACCACATTAATAAGAATGCACACACGCAATAAAAATAAACAGTGGATGCATGGTCAGACTCACATGTATCTCGAACTTCCATCCGCTGACCGCCTCATCCGTGAGAATCTTTGTGAAGGAGATGGTGAGGCCCTCCCGAAAAAAACGCTGGCACGGCTCGCTGGCTACGTCCCGGCCTGCAAGGAGAAAACAAGCTCACGCATAACAGCCCACCACATCAGCACAAGGTCAGCACTGAGATAGCACTGAGCTTCGCACTTAGTGCCGCACTGCATGTGTGAACTGGTCAAGGCCTTCACAGGCAAGGAGGGCTGGCAGTCCGACATCCTTTAAAGTCTTTTTTTTTATTATTAATTAAAACAAAACTGAATTCAACAACTATGTGAAGTCCCCTTTTGCTCCAGTTTGCCAGCACATTTATTGGGCAGTAGACATCTTTTGCGTATGTATGGTGCCATCTATAGCCGATAAAGACTTGATTTTGAAGGCTTGCTGATAAAACCAGAATCATGCTTGATACTGCAAGTAACAGAGCAACAGAGTCCCGACAAGCTAGAAAATAGAATGCACATCTACTACGGCTACACACCACTACTGGCTGCCGATACTTCCGGAGATGCGCACCAAAAGGTTTGGATCTGCAGTTAGCAAGGGTTGCAACTACAAACCTGCGTTCAGGTCAATTTTGGATTCGGTTTAAAGTTTGACACCATAACTGTTGACCGGAACACTCGTAAGAGAGCCAACACCCACCCAAGCAGCGTGCAGCCAACAGCAATCTTTTGCATTCCAAAGATTGCACAAGCATTTCCTTATAAACTGCTCTGGTGAAGACTGAGGTATCACCCTAAGCTATTCCACTGGCACACTGAGAGCAGCGCGGGTCACGGTGACTGGCTCACCCTCCTTGCAGAGGGTGATGGCTGCTTCAAGGAGGACCTCCAGCTCCCCCTTGGCCAGTACGGGGACTACCCAGCGTGGCCGGTTGATCATCTCGTCCAGACGGGCCAGCTCCGCCAAGGGGAACTCGGGCTCCTCTGAGGGAGCCTCTTCGGATGGCGCCTGGGGAAACGTGCGAAAAATCACCTATAGCCTCAGGGCAGTGAGCAGGGTGTTGTAAGAACATCGCCTGTCTGCAATGTTTATGCACAGAAATGTTTCACCATAAATGAAGAAGCAACTTTCTTACAATAGACCCTTTCTGAGCATCGGTTTGGCCACAATGTCAAAGGTTGAGCTGGCCGACTTCAATAGCGTCTTCTCCCAAGGAAAAGCTTTCCTGCAAGCTTGACCCCTTCAGCACACGTTTAATCGAAGCACTCTTATTAGTGCTTGCCCCACTTAACTGAATTCTAGTATTTCAAGGTGCACACTGACCCCACTCTAAAAATACTCAAAAAACAATACCGACGCTGTGCTTGATCAAAACTTTCTTGCGCCACATTGTCAAGGCTAGCATAGTTCCTTTCCATCATGCTCCAACACTGTCGAAGCTACTTGAACGAGCATGCGGCTTGATGCGGCGTCCCCTTTGCACAAGAGCAAGTACGAACGAGACTCAAGACGAAGCCACGTGTTCTCGTAGCAGTGCAGGGCTGAAGCACTGTGGGAACTATGCTAGCCTTGACAACCTAACACAAAAAAGCTGTTGCCAAGTCTAAACGACTGCAAGCAGGGCAACTGGCCGCTGCAATGTCTCTGATCGTGCTAGCTAGCACGTGCAATTTCAAGCCTGCCAAAGCTACATTCACGCATGCACGCTGCACATTCTTGCACGCACTACACCCCGGTCGGGGTGTTGCCCTTGCAATAGACCTTTTGCTAGATTACCCAAGCATCCAAGAGAATGTTGGGAACGTAGATACTCACGCTGCATGTGCTCACCTTCCCTATAGAAAACATTCAAAGTAAATAACCAAAATAAAGTGTCCGTAAAGCGCGCATGTGAAGTGCCATTTGTTTTAGGTGTTTGCTTTTGACAGTTAGGGCTGAAGACGCCAGCACGTGCAGCACGTGTACCTACGTTCCCGGCTTTTCTTTTATGCTTGGATGATTCGGCAAAAGGCCTATTGACTATAGCTCTAATCACAACAAAGGCGCCGCATACAATAGATAGGCACTGCAGGTACCCACCGGGGCATGGGGGCTGGGAGGGGGCTGTTCCGGGGGCGGGTCCCCCCCTCCCAGGGGGTTGGCGCGTGTCACCAGGGTCATAGGGCCTCCTTCCCCGCCGCAAGGGGGGCCCACTGGTTCTGCCTGCTCCCGCTCCTGCTCGCACACCGCATCCAGGATCCTGCAGGACAGAGAGGCCAGGAGGCGCGAGAGACCACCATGGGACGCGAGCGAAATCCAAGGCCAGACGGGAAACAGCTATACTCCATTCACCATTAAGCTGACATTGCGGTTGAGCCTACAAGCTCGTTGGACTAGTCATAGGCCTGATGTCCATCTTGAAACCACGACCCTGCCCCGACCCACAAGCAGAAAGCGGGATCAAGTGATTAAAGGAAGGCGGTTGATCGGTCTGGTGAGTGTGTAGCCCCCACTACACTGTCAGCTTAGACGTGAATGGAGTATAGATGTGAGCGGAACTACCGGGTACTAAGTTTAAAAATGAGCCGTTTTGAGAGGTAGGGGAGAGTAGCAGAAATTAACATGTCTTTTTTGTTAGGAGAAGAGCATGCTGAGCAAATGTCAGAATAGAAATGAGTGCAAACAGGAAAAAAGAGCAAGATTTATCCCATAACATACCTTGTCTTCACCTCTTGCTTTTATTCATCTGTGTTATAAAAGCTTCTTTTTGAAAAAGACACTACCCAAAATATTTTCCATTAGAGTCTCACGTGTTACTTGATAAAAAATAAACAACGTCAAACCGAAACCACAGGACCTGATGTCATAGTGCCCAGGAATTACTCCTAGCCACAAAACAGTAGAAATTCCTTTAAATCAAGACATTCTCGGTGTTCTGGTGGTCATAAAAGTGATGTTTTATGCGTTCTACTTTCTTTGCTAATAGATATATGTTCTAGATGGACTACAACTTAAAAATATCTTATCTGCTGCGTCATCACCACATGTGATCACGTAGAAGAGGGCCCCGACGATATACCTCAAGATTCAATTCTTGACCAACAACTTTTATACAAAAGAAAAAAAAAATTTCGACCTGCATGTTTTTTTTTGGTTAGCTGGGCCCTCAAAGATAGTTTCAGTAATATCTCGACAAACATAAATGCCATGTCATTGTCCCTTCATACAGTCCAGTTCCCAGTAGAGAAGCTCTTAGAAAGAAACCACCTCAAATGCAAGGCAGAGACCCCTTTGAAAAGTCACTGAAGTGACCCAGCCCAGAGCAAAGCCTGGTGTGAAAAGAAAGCAGCATCCCACAGCACCTCTAAACCAGGAAAACGAAATGTCTGAGGTTTTAGAATAGACAGCAGAAAACCCATTTCGACATACTGGCTTGTGTATGTTGCCTTTGATTCCCAAAGGTGAAGGTGTGTGATTTAGACAACTTAGTTCTTCAGTAACCACCATTAGTCCGAAAAAGTTTTTGAGCTTCTGTGACTGCCACTAGATGGCTCTGACTTTTGAAGACGGTCTATTTGTAGCACCTGATGAGGCGAGGCCATCTAACGACAAAGATGTGCCTTTCAGAAACGGAAGTTCATACCTGTCGAAACATGCAGCGAGAACTTCCGCAGCTTGGTGGCACAAATGTGAAATGGAGGAATGAAAATTAAATGCACAATACTGGAGTCGTGAATTGCCTTGCTCTCGAGGTGAAACCCATTTCAGGGAGTTTCTCTGTACTGGTAGCCGCACTATTTAAAGGGATATTGACAAGGTATTCATGCTTGCCAAAACCTAATCCTTGATATGACTGACAGTCCCAAAACATTACCAAGTTTGCACTAGCACAAAAGTGGATGAATGGCGGCGAAGTAGTCAAAAACCAAATAGGTACCAACAGCCCTCAGAAGCTGCCAAACAGGCACACAAAAGCCAAACACTCCGATCCTAATAGCAAGCATCTTTCTCAGGATGCATTACAGTTACAAGTGCCCATGGCACACGTTAAGCCACACATTCCAATCCATGGCTCTTCCCCAGTTTGTTCTTAGGATTTTTCCTTTCTCTTTCTCTCATTGCTTCTCTCCTTATTTTTTTTCTCAGTCAGAATGAATCACAACACCATCTGTGAGGCTCAGTTCACATTGGAGCCACTGAGGCAGCCAACAGTGTATGTGTGTAAACAGAACATGTGCACTCATGTTGCTTAGGTCACCTGTTTATCAACCATACAGTAGAAGAAAAAAAAAATTGTTCTGATATGTATGATAGTGGTAATGAAATACACATCGCTCTCGTGAGTGTCTGTGATCATTTCACTTGTCCCCCAGAAAACAGGCCCGACAAAGCCTGTATTATGATAAGCTGCATAGCAGTACTACGTGGTTCAAAAGGAGTTTGAATGAGTAGTACATGTTCACTGCTTGCCTGAACAAATGAATAGTCGACAGATACCATTTGATGATCGCTATCATGTGTTTGGATACAACGGAAACAGCCTACTTTCCTCAACTGTACGCTGCAACAAAAGAACAAGAAAAAAAAGCAAGGGAAGTAAAAATAAAACGGAACAGACTCCGCCGGCCGGCAGTGTGCAAAGACTGCATGTATGAAGTACGGGTGCACGGAATGGAGAAGAGGCATTTCGGTCACTTCGCGCAGGCTTTTCGCGTCACTAAACCGGGTGACTAAGTTTTCGTCCTAAACGGAGCCTCAAAACAACACAATCGATCGGAACTTTCTTTATAAGAACGATTTCAAACTACGCCACACAGACCACGTCAGTAAACGACGGATGCGTTTTGACCGCGGTCACTTAGAGAGCCACGGGGTGCAATCGGTTCCAAACCCATTCGAATCGTTCTCTCGAAAGAGAAAACAACATCATCTCTTAGCTGGCGACAAAAAGAAACAACACAGGAATATTTGAAGCCATTGCACCACTGACATTCAACGTCTCGTAGGTGCGAAGCGTAACACTGCCCCGTAGAGCCGATCAACGCCTGATTGAACCTCGTATTTTCGCTGGTAACGAGCCAGACAACGATGGGTTCTTAGTATCGTCGTAATTTCGAGAATGACTCATGGTACTAGCAGCGAGTGTCTTCGACGTCGAGGCCAAAGAGCTCCGAGGGGGGTGCTGTAGAGGCGACGCCATCGCACCTCGCGACAGACCACGACAGGGCTGCTTCGGACACGGGACGGATGACGTCCCTGCTACCTTGTGACGCGCTAAAGAAATGTTCGGGGCGTGTAGGGAGGCGACTTAGGGGTCCAGAAACAGAAGGACAGCGAATCTGCAACACTGGCATCAGCGGTTGTCAGCACTGTCGACACGCCTTCGCGCTGGGGGTATCGGGCAGAAACCGCGGCTCGAGCCTCGGTACACTCACTGCTTTGGAATCTGGCGGTTGCTCTGTTGTTCTAGGCGGCCGTTATTCCTTTGCTGGGCACGCACACAAGCGACATAACGACACCGGCGGTGAGTGTAGGCCTGATTAGAAATTCCAGGGACCTCGCAAAATATCGCTAATCAGGGTTGCCTCCGCTTGTTCGCTTCCATAAACTTTCCCATAAAAGCGGCGCTGGAAGTAAAAGGCACCAAGTAGACGCCAGACAGCGCTGGCGTCGATCCCAAACTTGGCGTCATCCGCGTCATCCACTCGCACCTCGTCGCTATGGTAGCGACAATAGTTTCGGTTTCGTTTTTACGTTTTCATTGTTTTTCGTTCGTACGACGCTTCGATCTAGTCGATGGGAGCTGTGTCTGTAACTCACGTCGTATGTATGTAGGCGAATTTACAAAAAGCATAAAATATTAGCATGTGCTCTGGTAAAGAAAAGCTTTGAAGTAGCAGCTTTTATCTTCCTCCTCACGAATGCCTCCAGTAAAGACAAAAGCACAGGCGCGTGATCCTAGCTCAGCGGAATGCTTTTGTTTGTACGAGAATTCGTGCATAGGACGCATTTTCCGAAGCCACGCGCTCGTGCCCATGCCTTTGTCTGCACTGCAGTTGTTTATGAAAAAAAAAAAAAAATTGTGTATGTTGATACAGCCTAGAACTTAGTCTGCCTCAGCGGGCGACTTGTTTCCCAGCTTTAATGAGAAATTTAGCCAGTGCAGTATAACCGCTAGCCTGGGGTCTTTAACGTGCACCACGCAGTAGTGATACACGACCGCACGCCGGTGTGATGCTCATCCAGATTGAAGCGGGCAGGGTTGGGGATTGAACAGTTGTTGGAGAGATGGAGTATAATAGGCGGGAACGGCGAACAAAATACTAATAATATACCGGCTACAGCGAATCTGTACTTCTCTGCTATACTGTACCACTCCGTATAAACCACAGCGTTGTCTAAACTGACTTCATGGCAACTTAGACCATGCACTTACCTGGCGAGCCCGAACATACTGGGAAGCTAGGCGCCACGCCACCTCAAGGTTACCCAGTGATTGAAGTCAATCGTGTCTAATTATGTCGTAAAATTAACCAAGAAAGGGGTTAAATTCAAGGAAAAAGAAACTGAAAGGGGAACGCGGGTAATTTTAGAACATTTTAGGGCCTCTTTAGCACTATTTTAAATATTTACCACATCTAAATTGAGCTCTAAAAAAAAAACCATAAAACTTTTTTTTTTGAAACGACGTTTGCGTGCCCAGTTTCAGGAATGTACGATTAAAATTCAAATTTTACGTGTCAAATATGTACAGATGGTCTTACGGCCTCACCATACATGCATTATTTTTTACAAATATATATATATATATATATATATATATATATATATATATATATATATATATATATATATATATATATATATATATTAATTATTATGAATATCTACTATGTCGAAGCACATTCAGAAAAAGAAAAAAAAAAACAGGAAATGTGATGAAAAGAAAATCAACAAATTTAAAAGGAATTATATATTTTTGCGAACGATTACTCGTTGAGTTGAGAAAATGTTTTATTTTTGGAACTGAGGGTGGGGGATGCCTGTCGCCCTTGAAACTGGACATTGGTTACAGGAGGAAGGGGAGGAAGGTGAAGGGAGTTATATACAATGTACAAGCCCCGCCGACTTTATGTAGTCGATCAGAGAATCTAACATTGCCTTCCGGTTTTCGGGGCAGCCGACAGGGAGGATCCATTCTTGCAGGCAGCTTGGTCTCACAGGCTCGGAGTGCGACTCCAAAGCATTCTTTCTTTCTTCTGCACTACTTGGACAATACCAGAATATATGCTGTGTATCCGCGGGCACAAGGCATTCTTCGCATATTCCGGCTTGTGGGTCATCTTGGTTGTCTTTCCTATTAAACTTGTTTCTTCTGGCTGGGGTCATGGCCGTTCCTGTGCGTAGTCTTCGCAGGCACACCCTCTCCCATCGGCTGTACGACGTCGAGGGGAGTGGGTGTTCGTCTTGTTGGAGTTGTTCGTTGAGACGTCTTCTTCTCTCTTCACGTTCTTGTGCTTTAGGTTCAGCCGGATCGGTCTCTTCTATTGTGTCTTTTCTGTCGACGGGGCTAGTTGAGCCTCGGCCGGGCAGGGATGCCTGTAGCTGTTCCCGTGTGGCTGTATGCGCCTCCTCGTTCCTTTGGATACTTTGGTGACCAGGGATCCATCCAATTTTAATGTCATATCCTTCAATTCGAAGTTGTTTGGCCGTCGTCTTGATTGTTCTGACGGTCTTGCTGTGACTGTCGTGTTTGCTGCATTCTTGCACTGCTTCTTTGCACTCCGTGTAGATATAAAGCCTGCGTTTTAGTTTGACGTCTTTGAATTCTATTCCTGTTTTTTTTAATAGCTTGAAGTTCAGCTTCCTTGAAACGATTACTCGTGAAAGAGCCAACTATACCGGTCCATGATGATGAACATTGTGTGGATTGTGGTTGCACATTCGTTTGCCATGTCACGTACCTTTAAGACTAAAATGATCTTGCGCGGTCACACACTGCTTAATACATCGTACAAAAACTGTCTAAAGACATGTTCGAAAGCATACATATGTGTATGGAAAAAACATACTTCGATCGTGCTTGAGGCGTTTCCGCGGATAACTCGGTCCATTCCCAGAAATTTGTGCCATCGCATGCTGGCGCCATCTCTTAGCGGGTCACGGCAGCGCTCCCATAGAAGTCCAAGGATTCAATATCCAAAAATAGCCATAACTTCGAAACGTTACGCTTTGAACAATTTGCCACGTTACTACTCCATTTTATCAAGGAACGTTATTCTTGTGCCAAAATTTCAAGATGATGGGGTGTAAACTGCGGGTTTTTCGTCTAACCAACTTTTTGATGTATTGCTACTACAGATAACATCCAAGTTAATCGAAGTCTAGAGTTTACTCTTAGGTATAAACAACTCGTTATAATTGTACAAATAAAATAGGATGCCTCCCAATTATTTTGGCGAATTTCGTAGTGTCTAAGATGCGTATTACATCTGTAGAAAAAATATATATTCGGAGGCACCTCACTCATATTTTTGAGAAACAGCGATGTTTAAACGAGCACAATTTAAAAATACAGCAGAATACAAGATTTGCCATTCGGCTGCAGTAATTAGGGAAGATGGATAATATGCTGGGTACGTTTTGGTTTTTATCAAAATTATTTTCTTGGGTTCCTGAGACCAATTTGTCAAATTCATTATCTACTGACATCAAGAAAGAAGCAAACAAGAACCACTCGTTGTATTACGACAATATAAAATTAGAAAACAAATATATTTAAAAATATTCTCGCTAATTATAAATTTTATGAGATTATAACGGTGATTTTTATCATAAGGAAAGGAAGCACTGCGACTAACGAAAGATTTAATTGAGTTGCTTTATACAATTCCTCTGTATCGTTTTTTGTACAGTCCAGGCCCAGGGTAGGATGATAAAGCGAGTCAAGCGAATGGTGTCACCCCCTAACACAAAGACTTTTTTTTTTTTTGAGTTGCATAGTCAGACGTTTTTAGTGAAAGCCTGGTAGTCCCATGCAGTAGCTTGGTCTAACAGCTGCGTACTGTACAAAAAGTAAGGTCGACCACGTTTTCCTAGACTTTTGGGACGCGGTCTTTTTTTGGGGCGTCCTGCAAAGAACCCTCAAAAAGGACTTCCCACTAACGCCCCATGGCATACGATTTTGAGTGGTAGAAGGGGAAAATGACGTTCCCTAGGACATGATTCCACCGCTGGACCTGCAAAACATATGGCGTTGCCGCCATATGTTCGCCCCGTGAATGAAAAGTGTTTTATTGAGCGCTTTCTAAAGGAAATGCATCAGGACCAGCAACCTACACCTGAGTGACTGCCACTTCTTGAAGTGTTGTCTATCCTCAAATACTTGTAGCACGTTCAACAATAGCCAAGATGGCTGGTGTCGTTTAGTGTTTTATCGCGATTATATGTGAGCGAATTCTGTCATCGTCCAAAAAAGAAAAAAAAGAGTTGCGTGCGTGGCGGAGTTTGCAGCGCATAGGCTGTCACGCAGAGGAATGGGGTTTCGATTCCGCTCAGCCCCAATCCTTAATTTCATTTATTCTGCACTATTCCAAGAAATCACAGCCCATTCACGGCTGTCATGAAGTGGTCTTGTTCAGAACATTCCTGAACGTGCCGCGTGTATGGAAGTAGCGGTAACGCGCTGCTTCGGGTCAGTCACTCTTCCGTCGCCGACGCAAGATACGTGGCACGTGTTTGAGGCACAAGTTGGCCCCGTTAAACGTTAATTTTTTGCTCTAAATTTATGTGCTCTTTTTATTGGTGACAACATTGCACCAGGCGGAAAGTGGACACAAATAAACGCGTAAAAAATCATGTGACTGAAATACATAAGCTGACAATATATGCTTAGATACGTCCTGCGGAATCAACCACTAATAACATCGTGTGTTTTATGCCCTGCGCTCACTCACAACACAGTTATCTCTGAAGGTACCCAACTATATCGCACTCTAAGGAAACTGTAATAACTATAGAAATGCGTGCGATGACTTCTGCGAAGTTGTTTAGAAGTTCCGATGTTCATTTTTTCGATTGCCATGAAGTGGTAAGGGAGAATGATAAAGTTATCAGTATATTGCAACCGCAAGACACTCATTATCTCATCCTTTATTTTATCTTCGAAGTTAGAGTTTTTTTTATTTATTTTTCACTCGGCACACACACTCCGCTTGGACGGGAATTTGCACACGGCGTAGTAGTTGAAGGTGAATATGCCACGTGGGGACAGATAAGTGAACTAAAAGCGTCTGTCACAGATCTCTGGCCCTGCGTCATGTCCGCGGGGAAACTCCGTCTCTCCGCGTTAAGACATTTCTCTATTGCACGCTTGACTTTATTGAATTTATTCGGGTGTTATAACTGCACCCCGCACATTCGTTTTGTTTTTCTTTTTTTTCACCACGATTGTTTTTTTTTTCGTTCCGCAGCCATGTATGGCCGCCACGTTGCCCTTCGCCGAGGCAGCTCTTCACGATCTGACTGCGCGCGATATTTCCGGTTAATTTCATTCATCGCGTAATACACAAAGATGTATGGTATTCGTACACACGTTACACAAAAACCGAACTTGCGTACGCTATTAGCCATCGGTT